CATATCATACGCAATTGTATTGATACTAAATTGTGGAATAAATTTGAAGTGTTTGTTAAAATGTCAAAGTACTACTTTGTTTGCCAATCAGCACGCGACAATACGCTGTTCAAACTATTGAACGAAATTGTGTGGACTGTCGATAAGGCGGACATTTTTAATTTGAATTATAAGTTAAAAAAGAACATAAGAGGCAGAGAAAACGTAAATATAAGTACTGAACTGTTTTTGTATGATATTTATGATCTATTTGAATGACACAGCTTTGCAAGCAAACGAATCATAATGCGCTAGCGCGCATTATGTTGTTTGCTTGCAAAGCTGTGTCATTCAAATAGATCATAATATAAAAACCATACAAAAACAGTTCAATGCTTAAGTATACAAGAGACCAACTAGACAGTTGAAGGCCACGCCCTTACATTGGTGTTGAGTTTATCAGATAAATAGTTTACATTCGGTTGTGAACCAAGTGAATAAGAATATATAACATTTGAATGACATTTGGTAAAAACGATGGAAATGAGAGTTAGGCAAAATGTTGTTTCAGCCGATCAGATGGTAGGGTATGCATTTTGGATTTAAAATCAACCAAAAATAACAGCATCCATTCAGAACCATTAAAGCATTATTCATATCAAGTTTGATAGTCATTTTGCAAAGTGAAACTTGAGAAGGTGAAAACATTTCATATGAGAGAAGAGGCAGCCATATTTATTGTGAACAGAAAAATAACCACACTTGGTCAGGACCATGAGGTGAGCATTTTTAATAATTATCCTCATACATATAAGTTTTATCAAAATTTGCCACATGAAATTTAAGTATAAACTGAAAATGTCTTTCAACCAATCAGAAACAAGGATTTCTTGGATTTCATTTCTGTCTAAAAAAAAATCTTTCAATTCCCCCTATCCTGTATTGAACCCTGTCTCTTTGCTCAAGAGCAACACCTTTAATTGATACGACACTTCTCTTCACCTAGCGATACTACACGTAAAATTGGGCCAGAATCTCATTATTCATACTAGGAGTAATATTTCAAAGATTTGCCCCTACTTCCCATATTTAATTTTATTAATTTGTTCTTAAATAATCAAATTATTTACTGCGTTTTGTGTATGTGTCGTTCTTAAAACGACATTGGCGTAACAGCCCTATTTAAATGAAATTGGCGAAAATAATTAACCGTAGTTATTTGAGCGTTTGACGCAGGGGCATTCTCCATGTAAATCGGAGACTCTCATTGAACATGGTTAATCTATGACGTCATAAGTAAACCATGTGTGTCACTAGAATATTTGCTTTCATACTCAAATGAAATGCATTTCTGCTGGTGGGGTTGCAGCGCAAATGTAAATACATTTTTGTACATGGATTCTCAACATCAAAGTTAGTTGTAATCTCTTTAACTATTCTTGACTAGTAGTTTTTTAAGGGAAGAAATGACCATGGGCGAGAGACTGATGAAGGACATTATGCCACAGCAAAAGCTCACTTGAGTAAGGAGGGCTAACAAAAATAAAACGATTTTAAACATGAAAACTCACATGAGCTGTCATCGTAGTTGAATCTGTATTCAATATTGTTGTTTGGAGCAACATCCAAGTCGCATGCCTCGACGCGGTAAACAAACGTCTCTGCTATCAAATTCTCACGAACACTGACGGTCACCACATCCAAATACTGAAAATGAACACAAAATATTTACAAAATATTGGTGGTGAAAATACTTTACACATTCATATGATTAAAGAGAACCCCAAACTTGTTACAATATCATCTGATTTGCTCAAACATGTTCGTTCCGCAGCTTAGTTTTTTTTTTTTTATATATTTCTGTTAAACAGCCAGTTACTTTATGAACCTACAGCTTTGCTGTAAAATTGTAAATTTTCACGATGTGGAAATGCATACATTTTTCCTGCAAACAAGGTTCTTCCACCATCTGGTAAATTGTTTAAAATTAATAATGAACAAATATTGATTTTAAAAAGCACATATAATTCAATTTTTCATTTTTCACACTATCAATGTTAACATTCACGACGTATTCTAATCACCACCCTCACTCATTTACATTCTTTCAACAATTCATACTTTGCCTTTATTTGCCTAATTGTATTTGTAGGTGTCAGATAAATTTGTTACTTATAGGGCTCACTCTCGAGTCTCCAGTTATCTGTATTCTATTGAAATCAACATCAGAGACGAAAGGAAAAACACAAATAGTACACAATAATAAAGCAAAAAAAAAACAAAAAAACACCATTATTTTGAAGTGAACGCTTTAACATTGAATTTGATTTTATGTACTATTTTTAGCAGAAGAAAAAACACCAATACAGTAGCCAAAACAATTCTTGACCTCTGAAATGTCTGGGACTGGTCATGAGGCATGGTAGTCCAGTGGTAGGACGCCGGGCTCGTGACCGAAGAGTTGCGGGTTCGGGCCACGGCACGGCAATGTGTTGTATCTTTGAGCAAGATACTTTAGTATCTTTGAGCAAGATACATTAGTATCTATGAGCAATTTACTTTACTCTACTTGTTCCAGTCTACTCAGCTGTAAATGAGTATGTGGTTGGGCAGTGCTAGAATTGTTGGATGCTAGCTGTTAGCGCCGAAATGGCAGCTCCGGCTGTATGCTCCCCAGGGAGTTGAGAAAATGTATTGGCTGGTTGCAAAGGCCCTATAACCACGGACAATAATTTGTTGTGAACCGCTTTGAGACGACCTACACACTAGGTTGTGATAAAGCAGTATATAAGAACCTCAAATTATCATTATCATTATGAGATAAAATTGATCTTACTGTTTTATCAGGGCAGCTCCGGAATGAGGGAAGATTGTCGTTGATGTCGAGGACCCTTACGGTCAGACGTCGCGTCCCCTGGAGGGTCGAATTCAGCGAATCAGTGGCCAAGATGATCAACTGTTTACAAGAAAATTAACATCATGTTTTTATATTTAGTGTGCAGTGACAATGATAATTTGGAAAAAAAATAAACTTCATTAAAACACCAAATTGCATTTAAGGCAGAGAATCCCTGTGACCACTACTTTTGCTTAAAATTTTCTTTCATTTACATATTTTCATACGAATATAATTATAAATTGTCAGCCTTTTTTAGGAATTTAAAAATATTTTGAAATAATTCTCAGCAAGGCTGCAGAAATGTACTAACATAACAAATACCCTCTTACCAGTGGCAGAATAGCTAAGATCTCTACCTGAAATACGAGTTGTCCAGGATATCAAATTCCTGCTTTTTTTTGTGTGAAAAGACAAAAAAATGAAATTCCCAATGCCTGTGACTTTACAAAACAGAATTATTTGACCTTCAACTTACGTCGTAAATGGCCTTTTCTTCGCGATCGATGTCACCAATGATGGTGATATGTCCTTGTGGTGTAATGGCAAATTTGTTCAGGTCCTGGCTGTTTGACAGGAAGCTGAAAAGGATTCCGGCGCCTTGGGTTCGTGGCGATGCGGATGCATTGAATATGTTTGTGTTGATTGCTGTATGCTGAAAAAAACAAATCAACATTTATATGAAACAGAAAGAAAATATCGTCAATCAAATTAACTAAATTTGAAGCATTGTATCTCATTTTATAACGTCCTTTACTCATACACCCCTAATGTCACATTTGAACGTTACCAAATCAATGACTCGGCAAGTCAGATATCCAGTTTAGATATGTAGGGGGGAATGAGTTTAGGATACCGGCACTGATTTTTTTCTCTTAATACATGCACTGTAACTTTTCTCTTAATACCTGCACTGCAATTTTTCTCTTAATACCTGCACTGTAAGTTTTCTCTTAATACCTGCACTGATTTTTTGTGTATATACAGTAACCTCTTTTCAACTTCTGTTCAGATATAACTGTAGAACAGTTGGGCCAGGACGCTTCCGTAGACCAGGACGCTTAGTTGGTTGTTGGTGCGATAGTATAACAATCTCAAGTCCAAGGTTCACGACCTAGTCTAGCTTTGCTGAATGTTTACACGTAGAACACTGTCGTTAATCTTTTTTTGTTTATTTCATCTCTTTTACTTCTTTTTTGTAAAAGTCCTGCAAGATACATTTTCTTTTCAGGAAAGATTGATCAAAGCTATATCTTATAATAAGTCGTGCAGATGAAAAATTATAAGTTTCTAATGCATAATTGCTGTTTTTGGCAGCGGTATGCCCGGGAACCTTATTGTTAAAAGGGATTGTTACACAATGTATAACCATGCAAAAAGTTCCTCTTGTACGGAATAAAACTATTTTAAAACACTTTCAACTCAACGTAAGTCGAAATTCTTAAAGTGTCCAGAAAATGAAAAATATAAGCCTTTAAATTAAAAGTTTGAGCCAACTTTAAAAACCTATACCTCCAAAATGTTAACAAACGCTCCGATGGCCGGCTGGAACCAGATCGGCTGACCATTGTCCAGTTGTCCACTGCTCACGTTGATGTAGACATTAGCATAGGAGAACTCGAACGGAGTCCCGCTATCCCTCGCCCGAACCTTGACGTAGAACGAACCGTAGACCGACGCCCCTTCCAGTGATGTCATAGTGACCACATTTCCAGAGTTCGGGAAGATTTGGAAATATCGGGACACTGTGTGATGAAAATGATATAAAGACAATAATCATTAATCCAATGCACATGGTTCCAGAATGAATTTACAGATTTTTTTAAAAAGTTTTCGGCACGATTTAAGGTTTAAACCTGTGTCTAGTTGCTTGCGTAGACTGATGGTGGAAGTCGGCCTCATAAAAACAAAACAAACCACTGAGAGAATCTAAGGGCTGTAGCTCTGTAAATAGCGGAGCACGAAACCTGACTAGAGTTATAAGCAACACTACATGGTATCTCAAAAGGTACTAAAATCAAAAAATAATCTGGCAATCATAGTTGACAAAATATCTGAAATATATATGCTCAACACAGTTATGATGTAAACTACGGGTCTTAACACTGTATGTAGAGGGGCACACAAGGCCCGATTTTAGTATGCGACATCAAGCCACCCAAAAGGTATTCACAAAATTTGGCAGTTATACATGAAAAAGTATATGAGGTATATGGTATTCCGTCTTTGAGTATTGCAGAGTTATCTTCTCTTGGGAGCAGGTATTGATTGTTACGTCATTGGTTTGTGCTGGAAAATTACGTCGTTTTCTCAAAAATTGATGACGTTACTCTCACAAACAAGTGACGTAACAATCAATAGCTGCTCCCAAGAGAAGATAACTCTGCAATACGCAAAGACGGAATAGGCGAAGTGACACACTAACAAGCTATAATGGGCGGTTTTCTCACATCCTTGATGCTCCATGGGTATAGCGCTCCCTTAATTCTCTCTCTGCACCCGTGGAATATGTGATAGCAAAACTGAAGGCACGAGACTAGGTATTTGATTGCATGGCCCCAGGTAAAAATCCCTGACCAATCGCCAGGCTGATACCTGTCCTTTGAAGATTACAGAGAAGCGACACCTCACTTCAAAGCCAGTCAATGTTACTGTTACTAGTGACCTCTTTTGATGAACATGAAAAGGGTCAAACTATAGTCTTCCCATCTCATTCAAAGGGTGGTACACACTGAGCCTTCGATTTTGCTATGACATATTCCAGGGTGTAGAGAGCGTACGTATGAGAGTGTTCACCCTGGAGTATTGAGGATGATCGCGACTTTCTCAGTGAATTGGTTTGTAGTCTCCAACAAGGATTTCACCAATGTAAAAGCATCATAATCAGGAATATGAGATAGTAAAGAATAGCAAACCATGCAAATGTTGACTGTCATTGAAAATAAATTGGCAAAACAAAAAAGAGTCAGGCCAATTTCATCACTTTTTAAAATTTTAAACATAGATAGACAAATTGCAGATATACAGTTCACAAAGAAAAATTCTGAACATCAGAATGTCCTACCTATCGCCGTAGCGTTGACGAAGTTGTAGGTGACCCGGCCATTGCTACCTGTATCTAAATCGGTCGCCGATACCTGACCAATCACGTTGGACCCACCAAATGTTTCCACGGTGAAGAAATTATAAGTTTGTTGCGAGAAAACAGGTTTTTGATCGTTGATATCAGTCAGTCTTATGGTTAACTGAAAGAAAATGTCAAAATTCGTTTTTTGAAAAATATATCAAATCTCAATACTTCTTGTTATAAATAACACATTGTCTTTTCAAATAATTTTCTGAACTATTTCTGTTAAAACCAACATAAACTTCATACAAAAATATATAGTTTTTAAAGTAAAAAACTTTTGATAAAATTATGAATATCAAGGATCTATGTCCTATTGCAGATAAAACCCTAAATAATTCCACTATTGTTCTTTTTACAAACAGTAGCCTCCCTGTACTTTTGTTAGTAGACCAACTTGGCCATGATAAGAGTAAAAGAGTAATGATAGGAGGTCCAGGGTTCAAATCAGGGTCTAGTCGGGCGGCTGCTGTATATTTTACTCGGAACGCTATTGTTGATATTATTTTTCTGTTTATTTCATCTTTATTATTTTTTTGATTATAAAAAAGTTCCGAAAAAGTATCGCTTTAAATTTAGAAATGATTTATCAAAGCTACAGTCATGCCGGCAATAACAGCTTCGAAAATCTTAGTTTCAGTTTTTGGCAGTAGTACGATAATCCTTAACAAGAAAGATTTCCAATTAATATGTCTCGCCTGTGCCCCGCTTTGACCATCAATGCACATATCGGTGAAATAAATTCAATGTAGATGACACTTGAAATGAATCTAACTTAAACGCAAAAACTTAATGTTGATGGAGATGCTGACAAAGTCAATGGACCATGAAAGGTGGGCCGCATCCAGCATTTGATGCATGGGCTGAGATATACTAGATACCTAAGATGCATCTATGGTCCAAGTTTGGTTGGTCTAGCACTTATACTTTCAGTGAAACTAACTTAAATGCTAAAAAAATTGTTGACGTCGTCATCGGAAAAGCAATTACACCTTAGTCTTGTTTATGCTACTTCGTGGCGGCAGGACAATAAAAAACTATTTTGAAATGTACATACCTTTATGGAGGTTTCTTTGTACACGTCAAATCGGCTGACATCAGGATTGTCACGGGCGTGAAGGACGAGATTATACTGCTGAGTCGTCTCGTAGTCAAGGATAGTGTTTTGGGATACTGCAATTATGCCCTGTCAAAGTTAAGTTTACGTGTTAGCCAGCGATAAATATGACATTTGTTTATCCTGCATCCAGAACTGCATGAACATCACAAATTTTACCTTCTATTATCAAAACATTATTCATTTGTAGATAATATCAATTAAAACTGTATTAATCCATCTTTTTTAATCTGGGAATAAAACAAAATCTCATAAATACATTTATCGAATACTTTACTCTGAAAGTCCAGAATTACGGTCTCTTTCAAAACTAATCTTAATAGAAGTTATATTGTAATAAAAAAACAGAGGTTTAAAACTTCTTTATAATGTGGTTTGGATATATCTTAAATGTTCTTTCAATGAAGAGAAGATTCCTCAAATTGATTTTTTTTTTTTTTATTGTGTATACATGTATAAGTGCAAAGACTCCCTGTCAGCTATGGGAAAGTGACTAGCCAATCTTGAAAGTTGGAAAATGTTTAGATGTACATAATTTGTATAAAAGTAACACTTCATCAAATAATTTGGAGTTTTAAAAAGTTCATTAATCAATTAACAGCAAGCTTCCTAACATATTGCATTATAAGCAATGATTAAACAATAAAGCATACCGTCACATTACTCTTGTCGGGACAGTACCCAAATCGGGACAGTACCCAATCGGGACAGTACCCAAATCGGGACAGTAACCAATCGGGACAGTACCCAAATCGGGACAGTACCCAAATCGGGACACTTGAAGGAATGAGTCGCAAGAAATTTGCATCCCACGCTACATGTGCAAAGAAGTATTTTCAAATTGAAAAAAATATTGATTTAAAGGTGCTTATATACCAATAAAACATTACATGAACTTTATTTACTGCCACTTATGGTTACAATCACAGTTTTAGTTTGTAAATAATGACGAAAATGTAACGTTCTAAATTGATGCGCCATGCAACGTTATGGAGACGTGATTGATTTTCAATTTTTTGTATGTGATTTTTCACAATCCTACTATTTCAAAATTAACTGATGGTAGTTTGGAAAAGAAATTCATTCAGAACGACCATAATTAACTCTTAAATATTCCAAAGATATGCCATGTTCTGCTTAATACTTTTTTCATCTCCAAATATAAGCCAAAACTGGTTGGCCGGTGTCCCGATTTGGGTACAGCTACACCTGTTTCGCGATTACGTAACCATGACTATATTTCCGGTTCTATTTATAGAACCATGCACCGGAAATATCATCTTATAATTGACACTGGGAATCGGAACTATGGTATGAAATACATCAAAATTTCACTAAAAANCCCCCCCAGTATAATGGTAAATATACATATTGATGAAAATTTCACATTCTGATTTTAAAAGCCTGCTGTAATCTTTGTATGGGTGTGTGTAGTTAGGGGGTAAACTAAAACATTAATGGAAATGTCAACGTGCCACAGCATATATAACATGGATAAATTAAATAGTTTTAAATTGAATGCACGTTAAATACATTGGTAAAATGTTAGTTAAAACCATTTCAAATATCATAATAGACAAAACAACCTTTGTTATATAAATATCCAATGGATTTTGCCGATATCATTCGAATGCAAAGGTGACCTAATTAAATGTGACCCAAATTCACAAACAGTGACCATAAACAAAACTATCTACAGTACTAAATCGAATAGCTATGAATTTTAATACTAAGTTATGGTAACTGATTTGTGCCATTTTTTTTTTGTATCTCCCCCCCCCCCCCCCCTAAATCCTCAATGTGTTTCATCCTTGTTGTTTTGACTTTTGCCACAAAGGACAGGAATCAACAAATTACAATTTTCAACGAACTGTTTTTACTGTTTTGTCTTTTCGCCCTGACAAGACAAAGGAATGGAATTGAAAAGTTTCTAAATGTTGTCTTTTGGGGCGAAAAGACAAAAGAACAAAATGGCACAATATTATCAACCACCTTACTAAACATGCCGAGATATGGTAGATACATTGGATTGGGCTAAAACAAGGTCCAAGTTTATAGTTCATCTCTTAATATTCACAGGTCAAGGTCATGCAAATAATATAACAGGTAATGTTCCAAAGTCATTTGATAAAGAGTTTTTGAGTATAAAAAAATACTAAGGTTGACATCATTTTTTATTTCATGCAAATTAAATCTTGGAAAAGATCAATACTATTTAAAATTACCCATTATGATACATGTATTTCAAAATCTGTCCCAATTTCATGCAAAAATCTGATTTCACCATGCAAACACTTAAAGATACCATTCTGAACCCCACGTACCCGTACCAGTGACCTTGACCCTAATTACTGTTCTATGGACACTACTGAAAAGCCAAAGCAATTTTTTTTGATGCCTTAGCAACAATGAAGTAACCAATTTTCCTAAAATAATCCTTTGATCATACAAACCTTAAATAAAATCATGAATAATGATGATTTAATTTGTTACAATCATTATTATACGCATTATCAATAAAAAGCTTGGTTGCAAAATAAATGCAATTATTTCCTTGAAAAACAAAATCAATGCAGCACAATTTCAACTATAGGGCTCATGCACTAAAAACATAAAGTGAAAATAAAGGCGGTAAGGTGAAGGTCAAATCAAAATCTTTGAATAGTACTTACTGTGGCGCTTCGCTGAAAGAATGGAGAAACGAAAAAAAAAAGATAAGCAGAGTGTTACGCGCTGGTGAGACAGTGCCCATAGAAACCAGACGCTAGAGTCACAAGACGTGTGTAAAAAAATGTTTCCGGATACAGTGAAGATTTCCGGACTGGTGTCACACCATAAATGGATATACGGTTAACATAAACATTCCAAATATGGATACAATATACAAACATACCATATATGGTTACAATACACAACTAAACCAAATAAAGTGTCACGACACAACAAACATACCATATATGGATCTTATTTGGTTACATATACATGTATAATACATAAGCACTCATACCCTATGGACCTATTACCATATATGGTTCATTGGTTACAATGTACAATCATACCATGCAATCTTATATACCCCCTATGGGTAAATCATAATCATACCTTATTTTATTGAGTGTTCTGAATAATTTGGTAATTTTTTTTCTACCTTTCTCAGATTTTTTTTATCAAGTTTGGGACTGTTTAAAGATCTTCAACTCATTCACCCCTGAAGTTTGAGATTGAACTATTCCAACCTTTGAATTGGTAGAGTTCAAATGTGTCTTTAGGGGTGAATATATTGAAAAAGATATTTTGCTTATGGTTACCCTTTTTATTAGCTAACAAATCAATATTTTTATGTGGTCAAAGTTATTTTTGCATTTAAAGTTATAAAAGGAGATGGATAATTTTCATGATTTAACTTAAAAGCGTTTCCTATAAATTTGTATTCTAAAAATAATTTCTGTTTGAAGAAGATTACGGTATTAAAAAATTTCACAAGAAATCATTTGCTATCTTTAATCATGGAAAACCCAAACTTGTGGCAGTGCCTCTAATTTTGTTGTTCAATGTGGTTTAATTCATGCATGTTGACATGCTTTAATTTTTCTACCCAAATCATGATTTTGATCAAATTGAATTTTGGCTAAGACTGATATTATATATTTGAATTTTATTAGTTTCTATGTCTGACGACTACTTTTCAATATTATGATCAATCCCCTCCCCACACCAGCTCAAAGTCTAAAAAGAATCCCGGAGAGTGGGAAAAAAATATCATAATAATTGTCTATTTAACAAAAAATGTATTTTTTCTGTAATCCTCACATAAAGTTAACCCTTTCACCACTGTAGACAGACCATAATGGACTTATCCAGATCAAGGCATGGTAGAGTTGACTTAAGTTTGACTTAAGTTTCTGAGGGGTCTTTATATATATATTGTGATAGTCAGGCTTCCAATTTTTGAATTCATAACTAATAATTCTATCAAATATTCATACATGTTGTCAAAATACAATATTCAGCTACAACACCAGAAATGAGTGTTATTGAAATTGTTATAAATTGAATGAAAAAACAGCAGGTTAACTAGAGCATCACTTCTATGTGAAAAAACAAAAATGAAAAAATTACCTCACTAAAACTACAGATGTATTAAGTCTTTTTAATTAGTAAACAGTATGATTTTTAGATGCATTAATTAACAGCCTAATTAATGAATTAACAGTTGAAGTCTAATTTTACACACAATTAACTCATTCACCCCCGAAGACATATTTGAACTCTTCCAATTCAAAGGTTGGAATAGTTCATTATGAAATTTCAGGGGTTCATGAGTTAACAATCAAACTTCACAGATGTATTTAATGAGTAATCAGGTTTAATTCTAGGTTCATTGATTAGCAATCTGATAAATAGAAATTCTAATTTTAATCAAGTGACACACCAAACAAGAGAAAAGAGTTCAAACAGTAGTTAATTAATGTTGTTCGATTCTTATCTTATTACGGAGGATTAAAAACAGTCTATGGGCTACAAACTTCTCTAGTCATATATACAAAATACACACTACAAAGGATCGTAAGATTTAATTTTAGACTTACTACTTAAGTCAATAAAATAAAATGAGATGATTTTTTTTCACTTCTAAGCGAGATTTGATGACCTGTTGTTTTTTTGTTTTTTTTCAAAGGGACAGTAGTGGGACAAATTTCGTTCATTCTACTTAACATTTGCCACAGTGTAAGGAGCTTTTGTTTCACAACTATATATGTGGTGCCAATCTGCTTAACCTGATGCTGTGAGTGTTTCTTCTGCAGGATAACAGGTGAGTTACTTGTATAAGCAAACTTGTGAAGGAGTGATCAAGTGAACGTGAAAATGATTGAACGAATAATTGATTGAACATGCCGTGCCGTTGATTGAAGTTGTGAATAATTGAACAATTTAACAAAAAAAAAATACAATTATCAGGTATAAATAAAGACTATTGTTATAATTATTAATCTGTGTAGACTTAAATAATTGCTATTTATTTCAGTATCAACAAAATACCATAATTAATGAAATTAAGTAACCAGCCCTATAAAGGGTCAGTAGGGTTGGGTCAGGTCTTTGTTTCCATCAAATTTATATTGTAACCGAACGGGAAGTTTGTTACCGATCAGATTAGTATTCACTCTTAAGTGCTAACGCTAATAAGTTGGTAATTGACTTTATAAGTCTAACTACTCTACATAAGTCACAGCTTTGTCTGCAGGGATTCGAACCCATGACCCTACACATACCTGTTTAGGTTATATACCAATTATTCTGTAGGGGGGTGACTGATAATTGACCGAACCCGCTATATCTTATCTCAAATTCTGGTAGCATAAACAATTTAGGAATAATCCAAATTAACACTTAAAAACAAAGAGAGAACTCATGGATATGATATATGTAAATATATAAACACACAAACTGAATACAAATCTACTGTGGCTACCGACAACACGACTCAAAGCGTGAGAAAGTTTTGCGGAATACACCACAACCATTAACCAATCAGAATCAAGAACACCCTTAAGCCCACAATATGACACACTGATAGGATTTCATCACAACATAACTTAGAAATAAACGTGAGTGTTACTTACCATGTTGTTTCCCTTAAAAAGAAGAAAATGTAAATATCAGATGAGTCATAAATTAAGAAAATTGCAATAAATATCATAATTATGATGAAAAATATTCAAGATCTTGATCATTAATGTTTCCAACTGTTTAGAGTAATTTTTAAATGTTATACACACCTTTTAAAAATGTACCATATACATGTACTAGTTTCAGTTAGACTATTCTATGACTTAATGCTCTTAATTATAAATATCATTTTTTGGTTAACTTTGTACCAGAAAAAGTCTTAAGGTCATAAACGGAAATAGGAAGTACATCCCTCGTTGAAAATCCAATGTAGGGAGACAGTATCACAATTTCCGCATAATCTAATGTTTAATATTAAAGTGATGAATATTGTATGCTTATTATTGACAGAACAGTGTGTTCTTTCAATATTAAAGTATTGCAAAGCAATCCAGGCATTAATTCAGGTTTTTTTTAATTAATGAGTCACATGTGTCCATTTTTCTGTACTTCAGGAAACCGGCTTCTTATTTCACTGCTGTGAAGTTTTTCAAGAATGATAACTCTTGCATGCAATTACTATGTGTATATGGTTTTATTATCAAATGTCAATTTTTAATTGTTTATAGATAATTAATTTTACACAATTTCAGTATTTATGAAATTGATATACATTAATGCAATACTAATCTATGTTAGTATCATTTTTATTGACATTATTTTGCAAAAAATTGTGTGTTTCAAGTTTTTTTTCCAAATTCACTCCTTTTTACATAAATTTCCATTTAAAATCCTTAAAATTCTGACAACCTATATTTTTTTTGTGGCAGAAAATTTTCTTTACTTCAAAGCAATATAACTACAAAATTTGAATAAATTCTACTGAGAAATGGTGACACAATCCTATTACCTTAACCAAGGAAATGGAGCTAGTTAATGTAACACCTGACGAAAGTCAGTAAAGTTGGAAATATAGGTCACAGTGACCTACATTTTATGGACTTCTACAAGTTTTGGACTTCTACAAGTTTTGGACTTCTAGAATAACAGTTATTGAGTTTAACACAAAGTCTAACCAGGGATGGACGGATCAACCGATGAAAAAATAAACGTTAAATGCCTCCTCCGCTAATTTTAACACATATATAAAAATGATTGGAAAAAAACAAGGGAACTAACTGCGTCACTAGACTTACCACCATGAAGATTGTGAAATGGCTGGAGTTTGTCCCTGTGATACTGAAGGAGATATTGGCGTTACTGCTGCTGTCAGCATCATACGCCATGATGTTACCGACTTCCTCTGGGTACTGTTTGCCTTCCGATACGGTAAATGTGTAGTTCTGCAAACAGAAAAAAAAATCACATCAACATTTCAACATTAAATTAATAAACTGAATTTCTGTGAGGTCATTAGGTTATTTTTGTAGACCTGAAATCTGCAATCAGAAAATTTATTAAAATACAGACTTTCGATGATGTCAACATGTTGTTTTTATGGACCTATAATAGTGATATAATGACAGAGGACAATGTAGAACTTAATCTAATCACAAATAAACTACACGAAGACAGTAACATGAAGCACAGCAATCAACATCCGCCAAAAATGTTTATAATAATGAGACATCGAATTGTCATCCGCAGTTTACATTTAGAAGCAATTTTGAAAACAAGAGGCTCAATTGGCATGTATCTCTCACTTGGTATTCGTTGCTGTGATTTTCAATGTATGACGAAATAAAATTCATTTAAGTAAACTTGATATACCTTTTCTCTAGCATGCAATAGACTAATATAAGTCATGATCCTAGGCCTCATGGGTATTCAGAAAAACTTAGTCAAGATTTAAACACATTTTATCCCTATGACCTTTAAATTGGGCCAAATTAATCTATTTTGAAAAAGTAAATGATGGATTTTCATTCCAGCACATGCTTCTGGCTAAACATTATCTCGCGTAGTCTCTTGATATTCAGAAGATGTCATTTAACCCTTTCACCACTGTAAACCATAATGGACTCATCCATATCAATGCATGGTCAAGTTTACTTAAGGTACATCGGTGTGAAAGGGCTGAAGTTCAAAGTTGATGCTAAACGGACAACGATGTCAGTCTACCATCAATAAGCAAGCTCACTGGGCCCTCTGGCTAGGTGAGTAAAAAACTCTAGTTCAATTGAACTACCAAACTTACGGGTTGCAAAAACATTGGAGCATTGTCGTTGATGTCCTGGATCTGGAAGTTGATGTTGGCTATTGACGATAGGCCGGCGGGAGATGTTGCTCGCACTGTCAGAGATAAGATCTTCCTATCTAACGTCTCGTAATCAATCTCTCGGTTGGCAAGCACCTTTCCTGAAAACGTATCATTAATAAATTTAAGAGAAATTTATATCGCCATCGGTCTATGTTCTCTCATTTTCTCTACCTTTTTGGTATACCTCTACCTTTTTGGTATACCTCTACCTTTTTGGTATACCTCTACCTTTTTGGTATACCTCTACCTTTTTAGTATAACTCCTAGGTACCTGATGGGGGGTACAGACGTTTTGGTACTCGATCATTTCGGCACCAAGATGTTTCGGTACTTCTAAAAAGTCGTTAAAGAGTTTTTTCTTTAAATCTTCAGCACTTACTCTTTAAGTTTGTACTTTGTTTACTTTTTTGTGTCTTGTTTGTTGTTGATTTTACAGTTTCAGATTCTTCAGTATTCTTCATCTTCACAAAAAAAAGTACCAAAACATCCTATTTTTAGGTACCAAAACAAATGGATACTGAATTTACCGAGATTCCTTGGTGGTTAGACAGTTGTCTGAATGATGTGACTAGATCTGCCTTGATCCAAGTTGCCAATTTCTATATATAGTAACCGTCGCGACCTTGACCTCAACCTTTGGTTCCTGAAATATGTACTCATTAGAAATACACATGTATAATTCTCATACTTGACTTTTGATCAAAATCTGTTAACAAATGGATCGGAGTTGCTGGAGTGATGTCAATGAATTTGCTGACAAATTCTCTGAAAATAGTATTAATGTTGACCTTGACATTGACCATGAAACATTGCAACAAACTCATTCAATGTGTTTTGGTACTTGACTGGATGATGTTTAATGAAAATTTGTTTAAAAAAATGAAGTTGCTAAAGAAAGTGAATCAATATTTGACATGATAAAACAGACACTGGTAACACTACACATAGAAAATGGGGGAGGTTTTAAAATTTTGAATCGGATTACTCATCCGAATAATTGTTTGTTCAAATTGAAATCAAGTTGCTAGTGAATTGAGACAGGACAGTATGGGGATGGCCATGGGTTACTATGTGATTCACCCATATGAAATGGTCGGGGCATAAAATTCCTTTATTTAATCATTCAATTTTCAAAACATCCCTAAGGTACTAAATGCGAAATGTGCTGCCCGCTGCCCGCATTTTGTACCTTAGGGATGTTTTGAAAATTGTACGTTGTTCTGATCACGGCCCACCTATAGTCGGCCGAAACATATGTAAACACAGGATTAAATTTGCCGATATCCCAGTTGATGTTTTTATGGTCATCTCTTATCATTAGTGATTCCATACTTCTATGGCCGGACTAGTGAATTCTATTTAAAGAATCCATCAACTGGGATATGCTTGCTGCATGACCTTCGCTGATCTTTTATGAAAACTACCGCTGACTGGACGTTGGATCTCCACCACCCTGCATTTATTTTATCATTGTTTGAAACAATTGTTGATATATATCAGGTGTTATTGTTCCATCCCGAAGAAATGTATGTACCATTTATTTTTATTTTTAATCCCAGCAGCAGGGCTCACCTGTGGTTCTTTCAACAACGAAGTAATCTTGCGTGTCGGTTCCCGGGACCTCCTGGAAGTCTCTGATTTGCTCCTTGGTACTGGGTACATAGGCGATCAGTGTGATGTAAGTGAAGTTAGACTTCGCCTCAGGAATAACGTGGTTGTAGGACGGATTTGCTTTTGTCCACGGTGCGTCAAACTCCGGAGTATCATCCACATCTTGTAGGATATATATGAGAGCAGTTGCTAAAAAAAAAAAAAAGATTTATTACATTTTGTTAAAACTGTAATAAAGGACCACCCTAGGAAAGTCTAAAAAAAGTGGTCTCTTAACACAGGTGGTTGCCTAATACAAGTGGTCTCTTAACCCAAGTGGTCTCTTAAAACAGGTGGTCTCTTTAAACAGGTAGTCTCATAAAACAGGTAGTTGCCTAATATAAGTGGTTGCCTAATGCAAGTGGTCTCTAAAACAGATGGTCTCTTTACACAGGTGATTGCCTAATACAAGTGGACTCTTAACACAAGTAGTCTCTTAAAACAGGTTGTCTCTTAAAACAGGTGGTCTCTTAACACAGGTGATTGCCTAATACAAGTGGTCACCTCATACAAGTGGTCTCTAAGTACAGGTGGTTGCCTAATACAAGTGGTCTCTAAACACAGGTGATTGCCTAATACAAGTGGTCTCTTAACACAAGTGGTCTCTTAAAACAGGTGGTCTCTTAAAACAGGTGGTCTCTTAACACAGGTGATTGCCTAATACAACTGGTCACCTCATACAAGTGGTCTCTTAGTACAGGTGGTTGCCTTATACAAGTGGTCTCTTAACACAGGTGATTGCCTAATACAAGTGGTGTTTTAACACAAGTGGTCCCTTAAAACAGGTGGTACCATAATATAAGTGATTGCCTAATACAAGTGGTTTCTAACACAAGTGGTCTCTTAAAACAGGTTGTCTCTTAAAACAGGTGGTCTCTTAACACAGGTGATTGCCTAATACAACTGGTCACCTCATACAAGTGGTCTCTTAGTACAGGTGGTTGCTTCATACAACTGGTCTCTCAACACAGGTTCAGTTCACAATGAAATCACTACCATGATGAATATTAAAATGTAGTCTTTTAACACAGATGGTCATATAGACAGGGCAAGAAGTTTTGAGAAAATATAATCCTATAAACATTAAAATCTTGAATTTCAAATATTATTGGCATAATCAGCATATCAACACGATAAAATCATATGCTATAAGGACAATAGTAGATCAAAGAGAAATTAATTAGTTGGCTATTTTGTATTGGAACAATGAAACAATGGAAATGTACGAAGTCAATATCAACCAATCAGAATGCAGTATGCTAATGAGTTGTGTACAGACTTTTCTCAATGTTGACTTTCACATCAGTTCAATAAAGGTGTAGATTTTAAGATAAGTTATGTAATTTAATGGACGCGCGAAAGAAGGACATTATTCTTGATATATTTATATTTATTCTCCAAAACTGTGCATTTTTTAGCTGTGCCTACAGTTTGGTCCAATTAGTGCATTCGTTATCGTGAAATATTTCTGCACCACCTGGAGCGTTTCAACCGTGATACGCGAACGAGACCTTTCACAAAGACGTGTGCATCAGTGTTGGTATTATCTCATTTAGAGCAAACGTTTCTTCAGTACTTTTCAAGTGTGTCACTAAACTTTTATCAAATTCAAAAGGACTGCTTACAAAATAAAACAAGAGACTTATATTTAAGGGAGTTTTTTCGCAAAGGAGATTTAACTCACTCACCCCTAAAGACACATTTGAACTCTTCCAATTCAAAGGTTGGAATAGTTCATTATGAAATTTTAGGGGTGAAATTGCTTACCTGTGGCCGTTTGTTCCAGTGTCGCATTAACATCCCGAGCTTCAACTATAAATTGGATTTGTGAGGCTTTGTCGAAGTCCAAAGTTGCATTGGTATAGATTATACCAGATGTGCTATCTATACGAAAAGCTTGCTGTAAGACAAACAAAAAAACCCAATAATTTTAAATAATTGTAATAATAATTCCAGGTTCTTATATACCACTTTATCACAACCTAATTGTAGGTCCACTCAAAGCGCTTCACAAATTATTATCCGTGGTTCAAGGGCCTTTGCACCAGTGATTGAAATTCGGAAACCAATGTTTAAACATCATATGTCAGTGTTTCTTAAAATCATTTCTATAATTTATCATGGATAAGCCTGGTAATAAGCCCACCTTTGCGAGATACTTTTTACAAAAACTTCAAAATGTCTCACATCTTGTTTTTTTTTTTTAAATTTGTTGTTTATGCCTTTGGAAATATTCTGAAATAAGATGAGATTAGAGTTCCAATAACCCCTTGTTTGTAAGTAGAAGGTCCAGTGTACTTTTTAAAAGTAAGATATGGGTCTTGGCTTTGAAGGGAAGGGAGAGTTGTTACTTTACCCTGTAGTTGTAGTCAAAGATGGTGGCAACTTGTTGACCGTTGGCTTGGTAAGCAATAATGGTGGACAGCCTGATTGAATATTGAATGGACCTAGCGGAATCGAGGTCAGTGGCATTCATCCTCAATACGGATGTACCGACTGGTTCAGCTGCAATAAACAAGTACTTTCAAAATCTGGAATATGAAATTCTGGGTAAAACAATGTTGTGGAAAACAATGGGAGGAAATGAGTTTTATAAGATTTTGAATTTAACCCATGCCCGGTAATAAGCCCACCCATATATAAATGCTATCTCATTGTCCTGTAATAAGCCCACCCTCTACGATGTATCGGTGATTATGTTTTGACCACTGTATTTATTGCAGGATAAATGTAATGTATGCATAAAAAAAGAAACACAAAAAATCGAAATAGAACAATGATAATTATCTATTTATGACGTCGCAATATACGTTATCCCTTTTATTTATAGCACAATAATTTGTCACTATTTGTAAAGAGAACATGGTACATTTATATAGAATAAAATAATAATTATCCAAGATCTACCACTAGGCCTTTCTGCCTTATAGGGCTTCTTCCGAAGGACTGAAAAAGCCCTAGAAGGCAGAAAGGCCTAGCAGTAGATCTTGGATAATTACTATTAGGTTATTCTATATTTCCTTCGCAAGAACTAGTTTATTTATTATCTACTATATATAGTTCAAAGTTTTTTGTGCATTGTTTAATTATAGAGACATAAAAAACCCAACATCATTTGTCATGTTGATTTTTTATGGCTATAGTTATATATGTTTGTATGTATATGTATGTATATAAAATATATGCAAATTTTGACCTACTTTCATCAAGTTTCTCTACGTAGAGTGGAATGTCAAACTTCGGACTCTTATTGTTGGCGTCTTCCAATGTGATGTAGACAGTGGTGGATCCGGTTCTCGGAGGACTGCCACGGTCAATGGCTTCCACCTATATTTAGTACAACAAGTCATAAATAGAATTCCTCAGCAAACAAATGAATAATAAATATGTTATTTCAGTAAGTGACAGTACATTAAAAAAACAAAATCTTTTGAAATATTCAGAATTTAAAAAAATTATTCAGTGGAAGATTGTAATCACATCCTGAGTGCTCAAGAAGGAAACGAAGACCCATGTCTTTACGTCAGTATTGTAGGCAGTTGCATAGATGTCATGGATACACCACCCTATATATCTTTATTTACATGCGTCTTGAGAAAAAAGGCTTGTTACCTAATGTATAATGCTGATTTGCATGCCAATTTTTCTACTAAATTTATAACTGTCATTGAAGGAATACTGTTATTCACGTGTTGTAAAGCGCCTTAGAATAATTTTACAAATTATAAAGGGCGCTATATAAATGTTTTATACTATCACTTATTATTAGTATAACTAGACATAAAACCTAATGTTAAAGTGATGTTATAGAGTTTACCCTGATGTTATAGTATGTTATAGAGTTTACCCTGATGTTATAGTTTACCCTGATGTTATAGTTTACCCTGATGTTATAGAGTTTACTGTGATGTTATAGAGTTTACCCTGATGTTATAGAGTTTACCCTGATGTTATAGAGTTAACCCTGATGTTATAGAGGTAACTGTGATGCTATAGTTTACCCTGATGTTATAGTTTACTGTGATGTTATAGTTTACCCTGATGTTATAGTTTACCCTGATGTTATAGAGTTTACTGTGATGTTATAGTTTACCCTGATGTTATATAGTTTACCCTGATGTCATAGAGTTTACCCTGATGTTATATTTTACCCTGATGTTAAAGAGTTTACCCTGCTGTTATAGAGTTAACCCTGATGTTATATAGTTTACCCTGATGTTATATAGTTTACCTTGATGTTTTAGAGTCTACCCTGATGTTATAGAGTTTACCCTGATGTTATAGAGTTTACCCTGATGTTATAGAGTTTACTGTTATGTTATAGTTTACCCTGATGTTATAGAGTTTACCCTGATGTTATAGTTTACCCTGATGTTATAGAGTTTACCCTGATGTTATAGAGTCTACCCTGATGTTATAGAGTTTACCCTGATGTTATAGAATTTACTGTGATGTTATAGTTTACCCTGATGTTATAGTGATGTTATAGAGTTTACCCTGATGTTATAGTGATGTTATAGAGTTTACCCTGATGTTATAGTGATGTTATAGAGTTTACCCTGATGTTATAGTGATGTTATAGAGTTTACCCTGATGTTATAGTGATGTTATAGAGTTTACCCTGATGTTATAGTGATGTTATAGAGTTTACCCTGATGTTATAGTGATGTTATAGAGTTTACCCTGATGGTATAGTGATGTTATAGAGTTTACCCTGATGTTATAGTGATGTTATAGAGTTTACCCTGATGGTATAGTGATGTTATATAGTTTACCCTGATGTTATAGTTATGTTATAGAGTTTACCCTGATGGTATAGTTATGTTATAGAGTTTACCCTGATGTTATAGTGATGTTATACAGTTTACCCTGATGTTATAGTGATGTTATAGAGTTTACCCTGATGTTATAGAGTTTACCCTGATGTTATATAGTTTACCCTGATGGTATAGTGATGTTATAGAGTTTACCCTGATGGTATAGGCGGCAGTGTCATCATAGTCCAGCGTTGCACTAGATCCAACGTATATGATTCCCGTGTCTGATTTGATTTTGAAGTCATCTTTTGCCCCCACAGTGATGGAGTAGGTTAATTCCCCGTTTGTGCCGGAATCAGTATCTGTTGCCAGAACCTGCAGTACAGTGGTCCCTGGTGAGGAACGAAAAAGAAAAATTAGAGAAAAGAACAGAAACAGTAATTACAAAAAAATCGTAATATTTGTGCTGAATATTGAAGATCAAAAATAATTCCTTTCTTGGTTAAAATACACACAATTCAAAAGAACCTTGTTATACTGCCATCATTTGTTCAGCAAACTTTTGGCATTATAAAGGTGTGGTAGGGTTAAAAAAACACACAAGTATCCAGTGCTTCATTCTATCTATTTATTAGGACAGGAGCATCGCCACGTAGATAAATACTGGGAAATAAACCCCTGTGAATACATAGAGCCATTGTATAGTACAACAGTATGATTGACAGTCGGTAAATCGGTATAATATCTAGTCCGCATAGAATAATTATACAACAGTAATTTGTCCGCGTTACTGTCAATGGTAGATCTGTCTGACGTAGGTCCTCGGCCGTCTATACCTGGCCAGTGCGTCGCTCCCCCCAAACATTCCACTTTATACGCTCACAAACACGCCCCTATTCACGTTCAAACTCACACGCATGCACTGCACACTCTGACATACCTGGACACAACTGAACAAACAGGTTACAGATAAATATAGACACAACATTACCTAACTACCGGATGCACATGGACACTATCAATAGACACACAGGTAAACAGAGAACACTCCCTGTAACCAGTTACACACATAAATAAACATGACTGAATACATGACAATACAAATGAAGATATAACTGACCCTATGACAAAAGGGTTTGGCAATATGTAAAAAAAATATTGATATATAAAGGCATAGCATGGTTTGGTTTTATTTTGTTTAACATCCTATCAACAGCTAAGGTCATTTGGAGTAAAGAAACATGGGACATTGAGATATGCTGACGGAATTCAGTTAGGTGGCAAAAGGAAAGATGGGGCGCTGTACTAAGCGTGCAAAAAGATTTTAAAAATGTGTTGGCTCAAAGCTGGCTAAAAGCAAACTGATTTTGCTTGCAACTGGCTTTTAACCAAAACAATGGTTACTTGTATTTGTATTTTATTCATGCATACACGAATCGCATGAAAAAATCACAGCCTCTGATTGGATTATATAACTACATTATGTTCTTTCTGAATTTGATGTGTGATTTGTATTAAATCCATTACTTCTGCCTTTTGAGAAAACTAATCTACAGACAGAAGTAATATATAGGTGCCTGTACGTGTTCGTTCATACGAAACAACCCGTTTGTTTGTTTTTAAATGTAACATTTTCGTGTATAAATCCTGGCGAACCTTACAAGGCTTTGTCAAGGCTCGTCTGAAAGCAGCACCAGATTATACTAGGTCTGACCTCATTTCACAAACAAACAACACTGGTCCAACCGGTTCAACCGTTAGGATCTTGATAAATGAAAGAGGCCCATGTGTGATGACCGAGTTATACAAAAGAATTCCAAGCAAGGGAGGTAACTGCTATATGTTCTTACCAGTAGCCACTGATTCACTGATTGTTTTATTGTAGCTGGTATTGGGAAATGTGGGATTGGCGTTGTTCTCGTCCTATAATAACAATAAAGAAAAGTTAACAAACATTCTTTCTTTCCCCGTCAAACATGTCAACACTCCCAAATATATTATTGCTATCTTAAAACACATTTCTTCAAGCAATCATATAGTAATTTTACCCTGGAAAATAAAAGCAATGATTCAAACCGTTGCTCTGGAGTGATGGTTATTGATTTAATATCGTTTTTGAAGCTGACTTGTGACAGTTTCAACTGTTTTAAATATGGCTGAAATGTTTCCATTTTCTATTTCTTTGATGTTCAAATGAAAAATGTCATCTTTTAAAAAATGAAAAGTGACAAATAAATACTCCATAATTAAATAAAGCCTAAGAAAAAGAAATCAATAAATTGGATTTTGACTTTTGAAAATCGTCAAAGATCTTTAAATCATCTGTTACCATAGCAACCACTTACTCTGACTTCTACCGTGATTGTGACATAGGACACTTGACTCGGGTTTCCACTGTCAGCGGCAGATACATTTAGGTTAAAACTGCAAAAGATTTAAATAAAATCCATAAATATTTTATAAAATTATTTTCATTACAATGTAACACTGTGGTCAGATAAGTCAACTCAAGTTACCATTAAGTACAACTTGGGCAAAGTATATCATAGCCGACACCTTTGGAATTATTCACTGTTAAAAAACAACAAAGGCCATAACTCTAGAAGGAGCACAAAACCAGGGGCCTGTTCATTTATGCAGACCAATATATAATTGATTCCTCTTTTTCAATAAAAGCAATAATTCAGGGGTAAAGCTGCAAATGTTAAAAGTAATCATTGATCATGTGACTTACAAATCCCAATTATTGATCATGTGACTTACAAATCGTAATCATTGATCATGTGACTTACAGATCACAATTATTGTTCATGTGACTAATAAATCATAATTATTGATCATGTGACTTACAAATCACAATTATTGATCATGTGACTTACAATCGTAATCATTGATCATGTGACTTACAGATCACAATTATTGTTCATGTGACTTACAGATCACAATTATTGATCATGTGACTTACAGATCACAATTATTGATCATGTGACTTATAAATCACAATTATTGATCATGTGACTTACAAATCACAATTATTGATCATGTGACTTACAAACCACAATTATTGATCATGTGACTTATAAATCACAATTATTGATCATGTGACTTACAAATCGTAATCATTGATCATGTGACATACAAATCATAATCACTGATCATGTGACTTACAAATCACAATTATTGTTTATGTGACTTACAAATCGTAATCATTGATCATGTGACTACTAAATCATAACATTGATAAATCACAATTATTGATCAAATGACTTACAAATCGTAATCATTGATCATGTGACTTACAAATCGTAATCATCGATCATGTGACATACAAATGATTATCATTGATCAAGTGACTTACAAATCATAATTATTGATCAATCATGTGACTTACAAATCGTAATCATTCATCATGTGACTTACAAATCGTAATCAATGATCATGTGACTTACAATCCGTTTTGACCAGGTGTGTCTTTGTAGTTGACCTGTGAGATGAGTGACAGGACACCGAGGTTCGGATCAATCCGGAAGGCATTGTTAAGAGTGTTGCCCCCGACGATGCTGTAGGTTACTGCGAAACCATCAGGGTCACTTGCCTGGAAACACACAAAAAATAACTTTGTATAAATATCAAAAAGTATTATATGATAACTTTAAAATCATCATCTTGTTGAATTTACCACAATTCAAGTAACAGCTGGTTGGAACTACAAGCAAGGGTAGACATTTACTTTTTCCACAGGCAGCAGCCTTCAGAACTATCAGGAAAAAATATTCAAGCACTGATGAATTGTCAAAGTCCTGTCAATTCAAGCAGGAATTGGCTAATAAAAACCATTGAACGATGTTTCATTACGACTAGCCAAGAAGTGTAAAAAATATGTTATGCCATAAGGATCCCCTATTGGTGCCAAAACCTGTAACTATACATTAGAAACAGTTTTTTTACCGATCATAACTATAGCTTTGATAAATAATTTCAAAGATGTATGCAGGACAAAACTGTATTCACAGATGGAGGGACAAACACCCAGATTCCTGTATTCCGTCTTTGCGTATTGCAGAGTTATCTTCTCTTGGGAGCAGGTATTGATTGTTACGTCATTGGTTTGTGTGAGAAAATTACGTCGTTTTCTCAAAAATTGATGACGCTACTCTCACAAACAAGTGCCGTAACAATCAATACCTGCTCCTAAAAGAAGATAACTCTGCAATACGCAAAGACGGAATACATGCGAGGGAACAAAAACGGCAGCGTTTTATACCTGTACGGTAACCGGAATGAGGAATACGGTTGATGATTCCGTAACGGTCGATCTGTAAGACGACAGTTGGAAGACAGGTGGAAGATCATTGTAGTTCAGCACGGTTACAAGGAGGGAGGTAGACGCCGTTTCGGTGGGATTTCCTCCGTCTGACACAATCACCGTCATTTCATACTGGACAGCTCCATTGTCATAGTCCAACTGCTGGGCTAAGGTCACGACCCCTGTGGTTGGGTTGAGGTTAAACCTGAAAATATGTAAATACATTTCATCATTTTATTATCTGCAACAGAAAAAAATATATGACAGAATTCAATGAAATTTGCAACTTTATTTCATACTGTGTAAATAATGTTTTAAACTCATTCACCCCTGAGAACAAAAGTGAACTCTTCCAATTCAAAGATTGGAACAGTTCATATGACAGTTCAGGGGTGAATGCGTTAAATGTTTCTAAGGTCATATGAAAAACAAGAGCTGTTGGAGAACAGCATAGCTCACCTATTGGTGATATAGGTTGTAAAATAGCATATATCAATAGAAACAAATGTATAGTAAAACCTTGATATAATGCCCGTCATTTCTTTCGCCACCTCACTTACCGTCAAACATATTTTCAGGCCCCTAAAGTATGTTTTTCTTGATAATCCCTTATATGTTTCCCTCAATTTATCACCAAACCCCTTTATAATGCCAACATTTCTTTGAACAAATGATGGCAATATAACAAGGTTTTGCTTTACTTTAACATGTAAGAAGAGATGACCAGCCAACATGAAATCGTTAACAGCGTATTGATGGTGGTGACAGATCCAACACTGTCTGGCAAAAACTTGCCCCAAAACTTTAACCTCAGAAGGTGGGATGCCAACTCCGGGGTGACGACATTAGCCCCCCTATTCTCCGAACAGGCGAGCTTAAAAGCAGCGAAGTGAAAGAAAAGACAGAGATACCATGTACATGTGATTCAATGGAGGTAGCGGATCAATTTTTGTTTCTTCAAAGTTCCAAAGCAGAACCCCCATCCCCTTCTGACTCAGAAGGGTGTCCAACATTAGTTAACTCATTGACCCCTGAAATTTCATAATGGACTATTCCAACTTTTGAATCGGAAGAGTTCAAATGCGTCTTCAGGGATGAATGAGTTAACCCATATATTCATGCAGTGGGATAGATTGGGATTATTTTTAAATCAAAACACAGCTGTGATGTCATCCATAGTTATTTGCGTACTATATCCAACAGAATTCATAGGCATCACCTGTAGCCGTCCAAGAAGTTACCTGTAGCTGTCCAATGTTCCCTGTAGCTGTCCAATGTTGCCTGTAGCTGTCCAATAAGTGACCTGTAGCTGTCCAATAATTTACTTGAGCTGTCCAATAGGTTACCTGTAGCTGTCCAACAAGTTACCTGTAGCCGTTCAATAAGTTACCTGTAGCTGGCCAATAAGTTACCTGTAGCTGGCCAATAAGTTACCTGTAGCCGTCCCATAAGTGGATTCTTTTGTGTACTAATTGGACAGCTACAGGTAACATATGGGACAGCTACAGGTAACATATGGGACAGCTACAGGTAACATATTTGACAGCTACAGGTAACTTAGTGGACAGCTACAGGTAGTAACTTATTGGACAGCTAAAGGTAACTTATTGGACAGCTAAAGGTAAGCTTTTGAATGAGCACATAATGAGGCTATACAATGGCAAACATAGTTATAGAAAAAATGTGAAAATAGATATTTATTAAATGTAACACAGAATTTAAACATCAACATTGTTTAAAGTATATCTAGTATTTATATTCCCATAGTCAGATTTCCCACGTGCCTCTGACTGTCCAATATTTTACATATAATAGATAGTTTTCGGCTTATATCCTTTACTTACAAATCTATTTCAATGAAAAAGCAGGTCATGGGATAATGTCATATTAGGCGTAAGGGAGGTAATCAGTAACGAAACATAAAACTTACATAACAATGTTCGGATCTACGAAGGTGTAAGTGAGTGCAGCATTGGTTCCGCTATCACTGTCTGTGGCCTGTTGAAGGGAAAATCCATTTTTTTAAATTTCAAACAATGTTTGCTACATATAATACTGGTAAATATATAAGCAATATTAAATAACAGAACAATTTTGTTTTTCTACAGATGTGAAATAAATATAGATCTCATGTTTTCGATCTCATAAATTACACTAGAAATAATTTCTGTTGTTAATAAACTACTTTAAAATTGTGAATATGAACGTTTTTGATGTTTTATAAATATAGATGTTGGATGCATAGAAATATTATATCTTAAAACATATACATGGAGAAGGGAAATATAGTATAAACATCTTATTTAATAAGCAGCAAAGTTTTTGCCTAAATTACAGATCCGATTTTTTAACATTTTTCCCCTCATTTCTACGACACTATAAGACTTTAATGGAGGCATCAAGTTCAGTCTCACTTAAAATTCAAATTCGACACACCATTCATATACAGCACACTGGAATGTAAAATGTGTAAATATAAGTGTAGATGAACTGAACTGGGTCGACCGTCGGCGACTAGGTGTCCTCATTAGGTAGAGTGTCCGTCTTGAGTTTGGAAGGTCTTGGTCTCAAACCCCGGTCTGGCTGTTACATTTTTTCTTTCTCCTATTACAAAATTGGCGAGCTTGCCAACCCTTGTTTCAAGCACTGACAGTATGCTTAGCAAGGGGATACCAGAACTTTATGTTGTGTCTGCGGGAGTAAAGACTGAGAAAAAGGAGGGAGGAATGTAGCGGAATTAGACTGGGTCGGTCATCAACGACCAGGTAGCTCAATTGATGGAGCATCCGTCTAGAGTTTGGAAGGTCCCGGGTTCGAACCCCAGTCTGGCTGATACATTTTCTCTTTTTCCTGTTACATATTAAGCAATTTGGAGTATTTAATAAAAAAAATCCAGGACATGAACCTTAATGCAAATCTGCCAGATCTTACAGTGCATTGAAGAGGAATAGAAAGGCATATTTAGTTGAATCAAACTATATTAAACCTACTCTAATGGTCTGAACAGTCTTTCCTGGTAGTTCATTTTCGGACACACTCGCCGAGTACGAGGTTTGCAGAAAAACTGGAGCATTGTCATTATAGTCAATGATGTTGATGTTGACAACGGCCGTAGAAGACAAACTGTTGTTGTTGAAATCGACAGCTTCAATCTAAAAAAAAAAAAAAAAAGCTCTGGGAGTCAAACTGTCATTAACTAGCATATAGGTTATGTGATCTATTTGCTTTTTTAAGAATATAGCAGACTAATCCAGAGCATCTAGAAATCATTTGGGCCGTGAAAAAAAAAACGGGATTTAAACATACAGAGATGTTTAACTCTGTACACTGTGGTATTTTTATGATAATGTCAAAATATACGAAATCACACATTTCTTATTCTGTGTTTTCCAGAATGATAAAATATCACAGTATTTTACATTTTTTTTTTTTACAATATACAGGTCTATAATTCTTTAGATATAAACAAATATGAAATGTACACTTCACTATTTTCATTTAATTAACAAATTAATTTGATAAAATATATAAAAAATTACATGAAAATAAAAAAGGTCTTGAAATTTATACCATGAATACAACGAACAAAGATTTCACTTAAGGCTATATGATGTTATAACTATTATACCTCTGAATTGTGACAGAACTGTCTCCCTTTATAATTTTCAATAAATATTACCTGGTAAATGTTGTTTACTTTCCAATTGTGTAGTAATTTCATTTACTGGGTCCATATATATACAGTCATTAAAAAAAATCATATTTCAACTCTTTTAAATGGAAGATACATAAAAAAGTTGAGTAGCATACATCCTTAATAGATCAATAACCTTTTCTTTTATTTTGTGAGAAAATCAGGTTTTTGACAGCTAGTGATTTATTGCAACAAAAATATAAGTTCAGATATGTTACAACAATAATGTATTTCTTGTGTGAAAAAAAGTAAGCTTGAATCTTGAAATGAAATTAAAGATTTAGATACGTTACCACGACAACTCTTGTTCGGTAAGCAGGAACTTCGTAGTCCAGATTCATGTAGTTATCTATGACAAGATTGAAGCTGGCCTTGCGGGTTCCACCGTCGTTGTTCAAATGGAAGGCAGGGGGACTGCTCTGCGAAATTATGCTCACGTTGAATGTCGAATAACTCAACTGCAAGGAAAACATTCACACAAAACTTCTTATTATCAACTGCAAATCAAAATGACTTGATCAGGTTTGTTACCTAATTAAACAATTCAAGAGGCCCATTCGATCTGCATCACTCCCAAGGACCATTATTATCTATTTAGAAATAACTGTTGGAAAATACCAAATTGCAGGTTGATCTGCACAAATGCATGTGACCATGAAAATTTTGGTACAATATTATAAAAAAATCCTTTTAGAAATGTTAGTTCAATTGAGTTTTTTCAGCACTGAATGAAATTTAACTGTTTATTTTTACCGATTTGCTATTCTACATGTTTAGGAAAATAAATCAGGGCAAATATCAGCTCCTAAATAATCAATAATAAATGATCAATGTTACATGACTAGTTTCTAAAAAAATATGTATACTTACACCATCAGCTGTCCTTGTCTGAAAAAAATAAAAAAACAAATAGAAAAAAAAAGTTAGATATGTAAACAACAATTCATAAAACATTTTTTATCAATACTACAATTGCAAAAAATATATGCTTTTAATTTGTTTGTTCAGTTTCATATTTTTTCATATCATATAATTTGGACTTTATCTTAAAAATACTTGTGCTCCGATTCCTGGTGACCTTGTTGACCTCTGGGACTATGCATTTATTGGTAACATATAGCACATCTGTACCTGTGACCGCTAATTTGACCCCAGCTACATTGGGACATCGGCTACTGTGTTGCCATTGGTAACCTACCAAATCTGTGTCAGTGACCTCTGGTGACCCCAGCTACGATGTTGCCATTGGTTACTTACCGTATATGCATCAGCGACCTCTGGTGACCCAAGCTATTGTGTTGCCATTGGTTACCTACCAAATCTGCATCAGCGACCTCTGGTGACCCCAGCTATTGTGTTGCCATTGGTTACTTACCACATCTGCATCAGCGACCTCTGGTGACCCCCGCTACTATATATGTTGCCATTGGTTACTTACCACATCTGCATCAGAGACCTCTATGGTGACTCCTGGTACTATGCCATCATTGGCTATGGGTTCTGTGAGGTTTACATTGTACGTGTTCTTGGTAAATATCGGTGGATTATCGTTGATGTCCTCAATGGTCACTTCGACAGTAACCTCCGCCATTGAGTTCGTCAGTAGGCCAGTGGTATCATCAATCTCAATTGCCTGAAAAGCAAGCAACAATCCATCACAATAATTAGGTTCTCAACAAACATGAGGCTAAACAAATCGATTGTTTTGTTTTCATGTTTGGCTCTCACAAAATTATGGTACCAGTAAGTACAACTAGTGTATTGAATGAAGACTATTTGTTTCAAAATATTTTTAAAAAGATTATAAAGCGAGTCTTTTACACTTGTGAAGTTGCTGTTAAAAATAAGTGAAGACAATGATAGATTATAGACACTTATCAAAAGAGAATTCTCAGCATTTTTATCTCCTTAGGAAAACTCGTCAAACTTTTCGTTCAAAGCACTATTAAAGTTCTGTGATGTCATCATATAGATCGCCATATTGCGATACCTTTATACTCATCGAACAGAGCGATATCAAAGCAATGACAAACGGGGAAAAACATTGTGAACAATCATGTGTCACACTTCTCCAGAAAAACGAATCAAACATGAACAAAGGGCCATAACTCCGTATATAAGGGAGCACGAGACCTAATTTTAAAACATTTGTTATATATCATAAAAGTAAATATGATCGGGCTTCTAAACCATTGATGGCTTCTGCTGCAGACACTGCGACAGTTGTGGTGCCTCTTGCTCATTTTTCTAGAGACAATCGTTATATAAGGGAAATCATAATGGCCAGGAAAATTGTGAGGGGAACACAACGTTTTATTTCCTTGTCATGTGATTAATATAATCCAATCAGACATGCTGTTATATAATATGATTATAACAACGTGATTGCTTACAACTCCTAGCTATCTCCTTCAAAGATATTGTTACAAACATTATCTTGATAATTACTCCACTAGTCAAGGCAACAAAAATTACTTGTCTGAAGGACCCGCATAAAATTTGTTCAAATATTATTTCCTTTTTCTTTCTCAACACAGTTAAGTAACTTGTAAGGAACTCCGGATTAAAATTAGAAAGAAATGGCCAAAATGAGCCGTCAGACATACCTTTATTATGAATGAGTGACCGGCTGGGTAGGTCTCACGGTCAATATCACCCTTGACCACTATTACCACAGTGTAGACCCTCGTGGCAGCATCCATTGTGATGGACAGGTCAAACAGGTCAGCGGAGTCTGTAACACAAGGAATAATAGGAACTGACCAGTGGTCTCAGATGTCAGAAAATTTCCATATTGTCGAACGAATTACAGTCAAACCTGTCATAAAATACCACCTAAGGGAAGACCAAAACATGGCCTCTTAACACAGGTGGTTTCTTAATGGAGGTGGTCTTTTAACACAGGGAGTCTCTTAATTGAGGTGGTTGCTTGAACAGGTTTAACTGCTTGATACCTTTATTTTTAACTCTATTTGAGAACATATATGGACTTAATTTTATCTTTTAGAAACAAACACAAAAAAAATCGAATTTTGGTAAGACAAATTTAACAATATAAAGAAAATGAAATGTTCATTTCTTTGAAATACAAAGCTAACACATGTAGCTTAAGCTTAGCTGATTTTTTTGGCAAATTAATTGGTCCCTTCTTCTAAACATATGCATTTCTAGAACACAAAAGCATTTATTTTTTCATTTTTGAATGTACAAATCCAATATTATTATTTTTTTTTTTAAATAAAAAAAATAACCGTTTTATTTTCATTTTTCATTATGGCTTACGAAACAAACACATTGATTTATCTGATAAAATATCAGTCTCATATACTGTTTCTCAAATACAGCTAAAGGGAGTTTCATCAAAGGGACAGAACTCTTGCAGCAGCTACCTGAATTAGAAAGGAAAGAGATTAAAAGCAATCGATGGCAGTATATATATTTTTACTAATTGTAAGATATTCTACTTAATTAGTACAATATCCGGAGAATGCAGCTTTAGACACCAACATAAATAGCAGAGAGTAAAATTATGAATTTTAAAAGTTCAATGATATATTATTTAAAGTTAAAATGAATTGACAGATATATACACCAAACGCCTCGTTAACTCCAAGGAAGCAGTCGAACAAAAACAGCATTTTAAAAATGACAGTCAAACCTTGTTATGTGTAAAAAGTTCAAACCATTTATTTTTTTCCGTAAAAACCTCGGGATAAACGAGGTTTCAATCTATCAGTGTTAAGACATATGGAAATAAAACGTAATGGCTCAAAAACTTCTTCAAGGTAGGGTGGGGATAAACAAAACAAAAAACTTTTGAAATAAATAACCTTAGTATTTCAGACATCAATGTTAAGAAAATAAGGTACGTATTTTCCTGGGTATTTTACGAAATGCCACCTTTGTTAATGGTGCACTTATATAATCCATATGAAGGCATTTTCACACATTTTTTTTTTTTTCCTAAGGTTTTGTTTCTGTTTTTTTTTTTTTTTTTATGTCTTTCATATATACATCATATTTATAATGAAATTAAGCAAACGAAATTGGTTCTGAAAACTGTTTTTGCTTGAAAAACTATTTTGAATTTGAAACAGAATTTCTACACCATTTTTGGGAATGGAGCTGACTTTCAGCCCCAAATAGGATTAAATTACAAAACAGAATAAAGTCTTGAATACATCAGAACAAAGTTTCATGGTGCCAAAACATAAATTTCAAGTATAGATAGGTAAATTGTGATATTATAGACTTTGTAATAACAACATTTGACTGTAACATATACACAAGAGCATTTTATTTAAACAACATTATTTTGCATTTTGACAATTTTAAACACAACTTTATGAAGCTCAATAGATTGTTTTTAGTGCTTACTTGACCAGCAAAATGTTTACACAATACAAACATCGACAGAAAGAAATAAGTTACATATTTTTTTAGATGATTAAAAAAACAAAAAACTTTATATTCACATTTTTTTTTTTTGCAGAATGGATGATCAATATGGAAAATGTTGACATATACACCACATTTTCTTCCTTAAATAGCATTAAACTGACAATTTTCTCGTGTGCACGATATATTTTTTGCATTTATTCGATTATTTTTTTCGTTAGAAACAGAAACTGCAATGCAAATAAACGTATTAGAATTTTTTAATTAAAGCCACGTATGATTTCTTTCCTATTTTTCACAGAGTTATTTATTAGATCAGTTAAACTCATGCTTAACGATGACATGCATTTCAATGTCTGTTTTAAATTCACTCACATGCATACTATATACTGTGGAAGTGTTCACTTTGGAAAGTTTGGGCATTTTCAAATCCGATCACAGGACACAAAGATATCACGAAATTACAATTTTTCATAATATACTGTTCAAACTGTACAACATTGAATTTTAGTGTACAGTTATTCCGTTAAATGTGTTCCATGTGTCGTTTTTTTTTTATGGGGATTGGAATTAAATTTTGCTTCTGAATAACAATAAATGTTATACATTACTTGTGTAAATGTTTCTGACTGAATTTTGTTAATCGTTTTATCTTCACATGATATTTAGATATTTTTCTTTGAAATTTCTGCAAAGCGACATGTGATATTGAGTCACTGCCGAAAAAAATACAACAACTGTCCTGAAAATCTTCACCAAAGCCAATGTATTTAAAAGAAAATTTTACATGATCAACTGTTCAGATTTTTCATTTAATTTGGAAATAGTTTTGATAATGGAAGGTCTTCTCAATTTTAACTAGTATGTATGTGGAACATTTTCACAGTATACAATTTACCGTTGTTATAAAAACTCACTGTACGAAGCGTATTAAGCATGTGACACTCCAGCGCCAGGCACATACGAACAACGCACATGCAGAATGGACATGCATTATTAGTTCAATCACATATCATACGTCATATCATAAACAATGCGATAACATTTCATGAAGAAGAGACACCAAAATCCTTACAGTATAAGTGGCCATGAGTTTGTTCACAAAACAAAATTTAATCTACTGTGTATCTATCGTCAATTTCAATTGAAAAAAATAATAAATCAATGTTCTTAACCGATTTTTACAAACTTTTCAGCAAAAATCGAAGAAATGTTTTTCCATTTTCTGGTTGATTAACGGAAACAATTTTAACACAAATACAACTATTAAATATAGATCATAAAATTTTAGAGTGTGTTAAACTCGCTGCTATTTGTGAATTGAGCAATGACAATAAGCAATGATTTAATTTAAAAAAAAAAAATGTAATTTCTGTTTTGCGGAGAACATTTCATCAAAAATGAACAACAATTATTCTACGAAATTGAAATTTGATTTTGATATGAAGTAAATAAAATTTTTGCAACCCCATTCATGGCCACTAAAGTACCCAGATACAAAACCAAGAACAGATTTTTTTTTTTCAAAGTATACCTGTACCAGGAAAATAAATATTTGGTATAACTTTAACTGTTGAAAGTCAGATACTTAAGTTCACAGAAACGACATCCTTTCACCAAAAACAAGTCAACTTTTTATTAATTTGATATCCAATGTAAGTAGTGTATATGTGGTGTAAAATCACACAGACAGAAAGAAAAAAGGAAGGGGCTGAAAAAGGGAAGGTTTGTTTCGACCGCCAGAAACCATCAAATATTAAAAATGCATGCGCCGATTTATTAAAAGTAAGGTAAAGAAGAAAAAAAAAAAAATTTTGCCTGATCTGAAAATATTTTTTAAAACATCAGCAGTGGGTTCAACATCAGGTCTGTGCAATGAAATATTGATCAAACAAGTTTGAAATAATTTACAAAATTGATCAAAGTTGTTTAATTTGAATATAACATTGAATCATGATCAAATGTCTTTGTTTTTGCTGTAAATTTTCAAAATTTTCAACAGTTATGAAAAAATTATTTAATTCGTGTATGTTGCCATGGAAAAACTGTTCCAAAACTGAAGACATCTTTAAATATAAACAAAATAAATTTTCAACTATGGATCTAAAGCAATTTCTATGTGACTGGAAATTATTATTGAAATTCATTTTTAGCATACTTCTTTGCAACATAATAATGTTTTTTTCTAGAAAAGGTTGATTTTTAGCAAACTGTAAATTATGACTAGGGTTTCCGTTCTAGATCTTTAATAACTGCACATCATATTTATGTATATTTATTTACTATAGCAAGTAACTGCAACACAACTAGTTGTTGCTATGGCAACTATACCGTCTTTGCATATTGCAGAGTTATCTTCTCTTGTGAGCAGGTATTGATTGTTACGTCATTTGGTTTGTGTGAGAAAATTACGTCGTTTTCTCAAAAATTGATGACGTTACTCTCACAAACAAATGACGTAACAATCAATACCTGATCACAAGAGAAGATAACTCTGCAATACGCAAAGACGGAATAGACCAATCTAGTCCTCAAAGCAGTAATTATGGGTGGGATTCTTAGTTTTACGGGAAACTTTAATCCAACTGTTTTGAAACTATCAAACTAAATTTTAAGATCTCTTACAGTGGAAGATTATTTTTTCTTTCAAAAAATTGAACTGTTATGGTACAGTTTTACAGTAAACTCAACCACATTTTATTTATAATTCAAAAGTATGTAGGACACAGCACAAACATTTAAGATTTCGCTCCCAATCCTGTCTAAAATTTCTCAATTTCAAAAATTCACAAAAATAAATGAATGAAAATTATAGAAAAGATCATTAAAATTGTAAGAGAACTTTTTGAATACACCCAAAGCATCTTTTTTTTGGTCAAATTTTCTTTGATCTTTATGCAACAGTGACTGCTGCTCAATAAGGTCAAGGTCACAATTCCTATAAGTATTAGCAATATACCATGTCCAGTCGTACAGTGACCTGGTAATGTAGTTTGAATCTAAAAATGTATGTAAAAGTAATACATGAATATATCTTTTTTTATTTGGACACTGGCAATTTCTTTTTTTTTTTTTTAGGTTAAAATTGTATTTTAAAATTCTTAAGGTCCCTTGGCGCAGTGCTGTGAGCCTAAAAACATAAAAAAAAAATAGAAATGATTTTCATTTCCCCCTCCATGAAATATTATGTGACCTTGACCCCTAGGACTACAAAAGCCATTCAAATCTCAATGTGAGTACTTTCTATATCCTAAAACTTTAAAGGCATGATTGATGTCTGACAGCGTCAATTTCACTGTTGTGAGTCTTCCTAACCTAATGATCTAATTTAATGGCACTCAAACATTAATAGTTTTTATCCAAACGACATGCAAATCTGGTTCATAACGGAGATTTGTAGGTGCTCATTCATGATCGAACCATGGAACACGATACACATGCAGACCAAATACGGACGTAAATACATATATAGGTAAATAAACATAACGGCGGATATGGCATGCAATATAAAGCATTCTCGCACAACAGGTATAATCAATAAGGTCGAGAGAGCGACCTCCGCAAATACTTACTGCCCGAGACATCTGAGTGGGGGAGGGATCAAAAACATTGGTTAATTAGAATTCATGGGAAAGTCTGTAAATGCAATTTTATTTATCGTGATTATCCTGCAGTAAACACGAGAGGTAGACAAAATATCTCTTACTTCAAAAAAGTCATTGCAACAGTCAATGTAATACGAAGATGGGGACTTTAAAAAGTGGGGTGGACTTATTATAATTCAATTAAATACAATTTGCTGGAATTTCTACGGAAGAGAAATAAATAATATGAGTGGGCTTATTACCAGGCATGGGCTTAATGCTGAATAAATGAATTAATACAGTACAAGACTGAAGCACTCCTGCAACACAAATGGTTCTTGGTAATATATATATAAATATTGGTTTGTTGACATTTATTTGTCTGTATGGTTGCCTAATTTGTCATATGGAAAGTGCAGCATTTTAAGATCCTCAACCAAACATTTAACATATATTAAGCGCTGACATTTAAAAAAGAAATAATAACAAAATAAAAACATGTATATCAAAAAGCATCCAAGTATTGTTCAAAATAATATACTTTCAAAATTGATCTTAAAATAATTTTTTATAAAATATACCTTCGGAGAATCTCAATTCCAAATATTATTCCAGGTAAATCTTTCAAATGTTTATAAGAAAATACCAAAGTAGTTCAATGTAAGCCTACATAAACAACATAATCTATTTTTTAAACGACAGTTTTTAAACAGATTCAAAAAATGAATCTGAATCATGAAATATTGCNAGAAAAAAAAAAAAAAAAAAAAAAAAAAAAAAAAAAATGTATAAAAATAACAGGAAAATTCGTGGAATATATCCCCAGCTTACAGGACAAATTGTAGGTTAACATTATTGAGGCTAGGTTTATAAACATGTGAGTATCGCGCTGTTGAGACATAATGTATAGCTTGAAACTTGTAGAAAACAAAAAGCTGTATTCCTCATTGATTATCCATAAATATGCATCAATCACATCGGTTGGCAAACTTAGCATGAGTCGAATGTACATACAGAATTTGAACACTGAACACTGTTACTAAGTTTGAGGACAATCGGATAATTTTTGCGTGATTTAATAAACAGAAACGGCAGATAATGACGTTTTTCATTATTCAAGGGGCCATAACTCTGCCAAATAAAGTCCGCTGGTCATCGTACTTGGCCGAGCCCTTAAGGCATTTAACCCTGTGACCAAGTTTGAAGAAAATCGGTTCATATTTGTTGTAGTTATTGCACGGAAACAAAGCGCGGCAGTTAATGACGTTTTTCGTTATTCAAGGGGCCATAACTGGTCATCGCACTTGGCCGAGCCCTTAGGGCATTTAACCCTGTGACCAAGTTTGAAGAAAATCGGTTAACATTTGTTGTAGTTATTGCACGGAAACGAAGCGCGGCAGTTAATGACGTTTTTCCTTAATCAAGGGGCCATAACACCGCCAAATAAAATCCGCTGAAAGTGGTCATCGAACTCGGCCGAGCCCTTAGGGCATTTAACCCTGTGACCAAGTTTGAAGAAAATCGGTTAACATTTGTTGTAGTTTATTGCACGGATACGAAGCGTGACAGACAGACAGACGGACAAACCCAAATTAATATCCCCCATTTCGGTGAAAGCACCTAACCATCAAACTTGAAAGATGAAATTGGTAACAGCTGAAATTAAACATGTTACACAGTACGGGAAGGGTAGCTTTAATTTATAACAACTGTTTAATAATTCACCCCTGACATTTTATAATGAACTGTTCCAACCTTTGAATTGGAAGAGTTTAAATTTGTCTTCAGGGGTGAATGAGTTTAAGGAAGCATGCTTACTTCATATTCAATAATGAAAAAAACATCTTACTAAATGTATATCTGGCATGATTTTCAAAACTCATCAAAGCAAAATTTTAAAGAAATGCAGGCATTTTATAAGAAATACTACAAAGCTGTGAGGTAAAACTGTAAATAATATAATAGATGTTGCATAATGTAAATTGTAGGATTTTTTGTAGTGAAATTCCTGGAAAAAAACTTTAATTTACAGGAAATAGATTCTGTAGCTGTGTGGAAGTTCATATGAAATGAACACCAGTCATTTCATTTGAAGATCGGTATTTATTAAAATGTAAATATTTCAATGAAAATGAGGTTGAAACAAAAACTTATATTCAAAATGGACATAGATTTTCTGTAGATGCTAGTACAGTTGTTGCATGTAATATCATTTGTTTGTGATATCGGTGTTTATGCAAGGGACAATTTTTCATATCATTCTAATGTATTATGGTCAAGAGTCTCCGAAATCAAAATGAATGGCTGCCATTTTTTATTGGCCATCTAAAATAAAGATAATGAAATTGGTATCATAAAACCGTAAACTGGTAATGACAATCACATCTTTTGCAAATTCATACTGAATAATATCAGAATTGCGACGGTAAAGTGTAAATAAAACTCCACTCGAAATGCCAAAAATGGCAATATTGTGAAATAGCAGGAATTATTTTGACATAACTTTGAAAATTGTCCATTCGAAAGAGAAAATAGGTATCATGTAATAGCTGTTTGAATTGTTTAAGATCATTTGCTTGATGAAATTAATATATGGAATGTCAGATAAGTTTAACTGTAAGTCTACCATACCAATGATCGAAATGTTCAGCAGACGTGGGTTCCCTCGGTCACCATCTCTCACAGTTACTGACGACAGACGCTTGCCCTGTATCAAATTAATTTGAGTTCATGTTATGTTTATGAATTACATTTTAATAATTATTTCAAAACATACTACGTATAAGATATATTGCGATTGAGGCTAGATTACAGGGTTCATACAGGAATTTTTCTAAGAGATTTGCGGCCTTTTTAGGGCTTTTCAGTTAAAATAAGGCCTAAAATCTCCCGTCATTTGTGAATGTTTAGAATACAAAGTCCAGGGCCTGTATTCATGCTCAAGCATGGATTTTGTTATACCATATCTCCCACAACAGCTATCAAATTAATTTGAAATTTCATATTTATGTTTTTCATTTATCCCAGATTATTACTAATGTAACAACTAATTCTTAATCTCTATAATGACGCCATAAATGACCGTCGCCTCCCTTAGTCCTTTAAGCCACCATTACAGAACTTGTGTTTCATCATCTAATGTCATAGTTGTTGTAGACAACTTTTTGACTCTCTTGCTCAAAATCGTAACTATAAATTCACATACCACCATTGAATGCTCATGTACGAATGCTCGCAATGTGTTCGTACTGAAAACAGGCGGGGAATCCTGCTCGTCAAAAACGTCGATCGCGATGTTGACCGTCACTGGATGAGAAACACCGCCTCCCTTTTTATCTGGATTGTCCTGGTAACAGAGCAATTACAAAAATTATGTTTCCGTGTGCATGCAAACTTCAGAATGATCGAAGGTCTACAAGATCGAGTTAGCAGGATTTTACCGTGCATGAGCTAAGCCCTCAATGAACATACATTTTGTACAGCATGGTGCCAAAAGTATTCCAATTTTTTCCGGATTTACTGTATCTTTCACTCGTCTCTATATCTTTTTCCTTGAATTTTCCCGGAGCCAATTATTGAGCCAGTTGACGGAATTAGACGCTCCGATATTACTTGATATTTTATCTGACAATATTTCATATATTTCGGTAAAATGATTCACAAAATACCGTGGGGGGTTTTCTCGGAAATAAAATTTCACGACATCATTTTGTAAGACAAAGAACAAAAAGGCATAGTAAAATCAATTTCATCTGAACAACTTGTCACACATCAAAAACAAGTGAACGTAAATGCATGAAATGATTCTCAGATTATTACGTAGAAATACACATTTCAGTATGTGACATTTTTTTTGTTCCAAAAGTGTTATAAATAGGTCCCTGAAAATTTCAATGAAAAATTGTAAAAGTGCATGTAATTTAAGAATAAATTTGGAAAACCGTGAAGACTTTTTTTGGCACTATGCTGTACTTAGCATAGTTTTAACTGCAATTTTTAAAACCCCTGTCACAGTTATTCAGAACCAGTAGAAATAAGGCAGAACCAGCTGGAAAGATATTTTTTTTTAATTTTTGCTACATTCGGGAGGAAAAGTCAAATTGACTCTTGAATGCAGCTTGAATGTAATAGTTGGAACATTGTAGGAATATTTAGAATGCTGTTAGAATCCAGTCAAAATATTTAGAATGCACTTCAACTGCCGTAAGAATACGGTTGGATTGTTGCCCGAACACCGCCCAAAGTCTGGTCGGAAGGTACCTCGAATGCTACACGAATGTTTGCAGAGGATTACTGCTTGGGTTCTCCTTCCAATGCGATCAAAATGTTTCGAATGCTGTCAGAATGCCGTAAGACTATTCAGAATGTAGTCAGAATGCAGTTAGGATACACATGGAATGCTGTTTGATATTTCTCCACTACGAATGCACCTCATAAGTTTTGAGCGTGAGCAAAACATTAGGACTGGCCACAGGAATGGACCAGATTATTTGGAATGCACTCAGAATGCAGGCAGAATTTTTAGAATCCAGGAATATACCACAAATTTTCATTCCGACGACATTCTGGCTCATTCTGTCTCTAGCGTGACAAGAGCTTTAAAGGGACAACTTACCACTGCTGAGATTGTCATGGTATACTCTTTCTGTGTCTCATAATCCAGAGCTTTCTTCACATAAATAAAGCCCTGGGCCTTTAAGTCCGGATTTTGGGGATCGTTGACAGGTGTCTCTGAAAGTCCAAACGTGTCACATGCCTCGGCGCTCTGTAACGAAAATTGGTACACAATAAAGAAATAGCCTAAAAGTATAAGGTTCTAATCATAACCCTTGAGGGACAGAATAAGTAAATTAATTAGGCATCTTTTAGACATCTTTTATTTGAATTGTGAAATCAGATACTTTCATGGGGCCAATAAATTTCATTGTTCATTGATTGCCAAACACAGTGTATCTATTTTCAGTATTTAGAATCGAACCACCAAATATATCCAGATACCAACAGCTTAAAAAAGTCTGTGATTATTAATGCAATTAATCATGACCTTTGACCTTTGGAATTTCTTACCTTGGTGTCGTTGGGCACCACCATGCAGGTCATTTTAATTTGAGCATACCATCCTAGATCAAGGTCGGAAACGAAGATGTTACTGAAGACCATCGTTCCATTTGCAACATCCTACGGAAACATTCAAAATAGGTACAAGTTAAATTTTCAGTTTACATGACGATGACGACATGCAAGGAATTGGGAAGTTCATCAGTGGTCGCTATGGGGGTCACCCATACCTTAACCAGTCACAATCATGTTATGTCATAGTCTATGTATTCCATTTAATGTCTATTGTCATGTTTGGTTAATATCATGTTCCATTTAATGTCATGACAGCTGTTTAATGTCACATTTCACTTAGTCATTCTCTCCATTTTTGTATGTAATTCTGTCTGTCCTACATCATGAAAATTTGACATGAACCAAAAGAAAATCTGGAATTTTGTGATTTAATGTTGTTTTTTTAAATCCCTAGGGGTTTATCTATTCAAGCTGGCACCCTTATAACATGAAATACAACAGGCAACTTTGGAACCCAAATTTTTCATATCCTCACAGGGGCAAACCAAACTGTGTTAGCCACTAGGAACATTTTGCAATTGAAACAATTTCAATCACTAAATCAGTTACTCACTGGCAAAACTTCAGTCCTTTTTTTCATCAAATATAACAAAAAAAATTATCTGACCAAATGAAATCGAGAACACGTACTGTGAAAAACAAAGAATTAATAATTCATATAGAACTAAATGGATGTCTTTCAGACATCATCTTGGTGAATATATCAATATGTACTTCTTCGGAGGCAAAAAATTCTACTTGCAGAAATTTGCGAGTAAGTGGTATTTTAACATTAGCATAACCTTAAAGTTAATAATAATAATAATAATAATATACAACATTTGATATAGCGCCCTATCTAGCTAACATAAGCCACTCTAAAGCGCTTTACAGTACATAGAAATACAATTAATACAATTAGGATATACAATTTTTGAGGAATTCGCAGGAGCTGCCTTATCAGGCGCTAACTACTAGTCCTATGCCACCTGGCTAATATCTCCCTATGTGTGTATGCCTGCGTGTTTGCTGGAGATGTATTGTGTTCTGTTTGTAGTGGGACCGTGCTTCCAACGGCATCTTTTATAGTGCCACCTCACTTGAATGCTACATCACAGATACCGCAACATCCACAACATGCATTTATAATCAATTAGCTTGTACACATGCGGTAGTTTTGGACCCTAGCTGGCTCACATATACCCCCTTCATAATTTCATTTTATATATACCCCCTTCATAATTTCATTTTATACATTTACATAATGAAGATATTTTATTTATATATATATTTATATATATACCTCAGACACCTCTACGGCCAAGCCTTCAGTCCTCTCAAATATTGGGATGTTGTCATTTTTATCAAGTACACTAATCTTGATTGGCGCTCTGGTCTGTGAAAAAGACATAAGTTTGGTTAGTGTCAAAACAATGTATATCTGGAATTTTTCATCTAGCGTCCCACACTGGCAAAATCAGTATTCACCCAATGTAATTTTCGCTTTTGATCACCGCGCTCATGATGCTTTTTACTAGTGTTCGCTCCGATGATAAATTTGCCCTTATTACGGTGGGCGAAAAAAGGTGAACATTCAATAGCGACAAAAAATATCACGTTATACAGTGTACATGTACATATGCATAAAGATTTGTATGGTAAATCATTAAATTTGTACCACCAATTCAAAATACTTATAACCTTGTCACTTCAATGAAATATTTGTTTAAGTCCTTTTTCGACATAAATACTTGCAATGTATATATCATATATGAATACTTATACCATATATATTAAGACTGTTGTAGTGCATTTGATAGAATCAACGTTGTTCGGTTTACTTATTCAGATTACGAACCTATAATTGATTTAATGATTTTAAAATGATTGCCCGTCACTATAGTGCTAAGATATGTGACGTCATAAAGAGTGAATGGTGTAAAACATGTTAAATATATCCTTTTGCTTTAAAACATGCAACTATACACTCAATGAAATCTGATGACTGAAATTAATGGATGAGAAAAAAATGTTCATTCTCAATCTTGGTGGTGTAACAGAGAATTCTTCAACCCTCAGGGTGATTATTAAGGTTTTCTAACCCCCGGCAGATCTTCAGGTTAATTAACAACAACCTAAAAAATCACTCATCAGGTCCGGAAATTCTGTCACACCCTCCAGCTAGGAGAAGATTCCGATAGACTAGATAAAAAATATTCCAATAGGCTACATGGAGAAGATTCTGATAGACTACACGATTAATTAATTACCACAACGTGAAAAACATGAACATTCTACTTATACAATCAATTGCACTTGTATTTCTACTTACTTCTACAGTTTCGAAGGTTGCAATAAACGTGATGAGAATGGTGTTGGCATTACTGAGCTAAAACAGAAAAAATAGGCAAAATTATTCAGGACAAAGAAACCTGGATATTTCAATAATAAGACCTTCAGGTTTCTAGCTAAATTTTATTTATGAAATGTATCTCTCAAATATGAAAACAACTTTCACCGACATTTTATTTGATTGTGACATTTTATTGATATCTATATCATATCTTATACAGCACATTTAGGCCAAATAAAAGTATTTGAACCCTGGATGTCTGGTTATTACAGTATTGATCTTACCGACATAGTCAATAGCAGTACTTTGACCCATTCACAGTACTTTTATAAACTTAAAACAAAATTAAAGGGACATTACTCTTTGTATGAAAAACACCAGTGGAACTCTCCAGTTTGTGTTTTTACATTTGTCTTCAATGGAATGGGAATCCTTAAAATGTGATTTTGTTTGGTCAAATCCAGCTACTGTAATAGTCCAGCAGGTTAACCCTTTCACCCCTTAAGCTCAATAATGCACTTTTCCAGATCCATACATGCCAGATCTCACGGCGTGAGGCAAAATCTCACGGATTTGCACCTCCGATAAAGTCTCACGGTGTGGGACATGAATTTACGGAAAGTCCTGAAAACCTGATCGATCGGTGAACCATTGTCCTGTTGTTGTTTACTCGAAGTCTTACAAGATTCCATAATGTTTTTAGTGATAAATCATGAGAGCTCTCGAGTACATGTGGACATGTGATTGGTCATGTGATCGAAGAGCTCTTCTGATAACTTCCGGAATTTAGCTGGTTGAATGGCCGGGTTGAAATTGCGAGTTGATTTCGGTGTCTTTTACAATAAGTAATCTATTTGAACTAATTGAAATAAATTCATATTATAGATTTAGTTTGATCCTTTCTTATGCCATTAATTCCTGTGATACAACAGAATGCCTGACATGTCTTAACCACTGCGCGACGGTGTCAGTTTCAGCATCAAAATGTCCCGTGAGGTTGATACCTCACACTGACAGTAGAATTAGCACAAAACACGTTTTCTGTCTTGTAATTAATGTAAGGTTAAATCATTGCTAGAAACTTTGATAAATACGATGTCCGGCTAAGTGTTTCTTTACAATTATAATTTCACTACGAAAGTAAAGAGAACGACCGGTAAATATATATAAGGGGCATATGTCATGAAGAAGATGGAAAAAGGCTTTGTTCTGAATGCCGAGATATGTAATTTAAAAGTTCAAATACTGAACACAGTTTTCTTCACTTTCACAGCTGATTATTTCTGTCCTCTTGTTTAATGTGTGTTTCAAGATTCTGTTACATTATCAAGAAGTTCAAATGTAAATGAACACTAGACAACTATTACCCTTATTTTTACAAACCCATCCAAAAACACAGTTCAAAGTTTAAACTGAACATCAGTAGTACTGTGGCTGCTGTGAATAGTGGCCTGACCAACTAAATTTCGATATTTAAAGTAAAATCTAGATCTGCTTCTTCAGTATATCTCAACTATGTGATATTTTTGTTTTGTAAACTTTGTGCTATTAAATATATTAATATTCATATTCAATATATACAAAAAACAAACCCTGCAAGGGTCAAAACAAAGTTCCTTAATTAAAGATTTTGTGCTTTATTTCATTAATTTAGTTACTTTTTTTCCGTGAAAAACACTGCTAATAAAACCTCCCTTATTTTAACCTCAATTCCCTTAAAATGACTGTAAAATTCACAGATTGGTCTCCACGAATTCTGGCATGTATGCAGATCAAGGGGTGAGAGAATCTATAAAAGTTATACTCAGGGGTAAACGGTTTGAGCTAAATGGTCTGTTACTTTTATATACCTCTCTGTCCAGCGGGGCATCAGTGGTCACTTCGCCAGTTGGCGAGACATCCAGGTAGTTGTCTCCCCCTATCTCTTTACTGTAGACAATGTTGGAGTTGCTTTGTCCATCTACATAGGCGACCAGCTGACCAATGTAGGTACCTTGAATGAGCAATCACAGAACCTTGAGATTACTAAGGTTGATGGAAAATTAACAGATTATACGAATACATGTCCACAGGTTTCATCTTAATTTTTCTCAAATCCACTTCACTCCGAGAGTTTACGAGAGATAACATATGTGAGGCACATGAAGCCGCTTTTAGAGTACAGGAGAGAAAGGAAAATTGTACAGAGGCATGGGTATATAGGCCTTTTTTATGAGAGAATATGGAATTCCCCTCTCCAATTTGTGCATTATTTTGCCCTATTTCATTTTTTTTTTAATTGAAGATGTCATCCATGCCTCCTTCTCGTGGTTTCCCCCTAGCTCTGGCGTTGGGCTTTAATGCTCGGTGGCCATAGGCCAACCTTCCAGTCAATGGGTCATGCGACTAAACTCATTCACCCCTGAAATTTCATAATGAACTATTCCAACCTTTGAATTTGAAGAGCTGAAATGTGTCTTCAGGGGTGAATGAGTTAAAGGGACTAACCTTCTATTCCTACATTAATCCTTGAAAGATAATGCATGTATGGGAGGGGTACATAGATACATATCTAGCTTTATACTTATACTCTTCAAAGAAGGATTAGTGAAATCTCGAAGAGTGAAATTAATTTTAAAAAAAATCAAATATATATATATATATAAATGCATAAAATCTATTTATTTTACAACAATTATATGAAACAACTTATTTCAACTTATATATATTGATCCCTCTTGTTGGTTACAATGGTAGAATTTTAATGTGGGCGGAAACTGGAGTACCTGGAGAAAACACATGTGGTTGTGGTCAGGTGACCCCCCATACCTTTTCACGTTCTAACATAAATGAAACAAACCACCTTGGCGACAGCCGAGTGCATTACCACTGCGCCACCTGACCACCGCTTTGATTCAAATCAACGATGGTGAGAGATTACACAAGTTTTCAGAGTCAGCACAATTGTTTAAATAAATACAAACCATTGCAAATGAAAATAAACAACTGATAACATTTATTTTATAACTTGTAGTCCACAAGTTTTTAACACACAACCATGTTTCATAATAACCTCACCTCTTTGCGTATTTTCAAGAATACCATTTGTAAGTGCAACTTTCAAGTTGCCATCTATTCCTGAAGTTTGTTGTTCCAGAAACTTGATTTCTGTAAAGAGAAAAGAGAAAAAACCCATAAAGAATGACCGCCGGTCAAGTGTCAAGGTCAAAATCGATGTTAAAATAATGTTTTTGGATGGCATTTTCAAATATAGTGAAAGTGTACGTACTTGTCCATGAACCAATAAGAAACTATTGAAAAGAATGCATCTTAAGTATTTGAACTTAAAACAACTATATCCTTGTTGCTTATTTAAATAAAAATAAATTCAATTTAGTTAGAGTTGTCAACAGTTATAGCAGGTTAGGCAGTTACTCGAACGGAAGGCAAAGAATTAGAACCACTTACCAAAATGAATAACCAAATACCAGATAGTCGAACAGTTATTTAAATCATGGGCAGCCCCATGTCAACCTTGCTTAGCCCTTCAAATTATGTATCGTTGAGACCAAAATTGGATATTTTGGTAAGTTATAAAAACAGTGTTCAGACTGACCTCCGGTCACTAAAAACAAGTGATTTTTTTTTCCTGGTTTTACAACCTTAAATTAAATACATCAAGAAATTATAAAATCTCTAAAGTGTTTCTCTGTACATATTTAGATCAAATATTCAGCTACATGGAAGAAAAAGGATTTTATTATAAATGTATTTAACACAGACAATGCAATATATAATATATTATGATGATCGTGTTTTCAAAATGATGCATATAACTGCATGTACATACCTTGTCCAATGACAGGAGCCAGAAAAGCTACAATAAAAAAAAGTAAAAATTGAGTTTGAAAATACTATATAAACAGAAAGTGAAGATCCTCCTGAAATAAATTCCTTGCTAACGTTAATTTCACAAAATACCTGACCATTTCAATACCCCAGGTATGTATGTCGGCTATAAAACATTTATTTCCTCAGATGTTATATCTTATGCAAATTAACTCTTTCTGCAATTATATCAAAGCCTGTATATATATATATAGATTATAAAATTGATGAGCCCGCATTATCTACCTTAAGGATCCCTGTCCCATGTACTGCACTGTGTTTTTTCTTCTATACAGTATGTAACCTCCCCTTAACTTCTGTTTGGATATACAATGTCACAGTGTGACACGTCTGTTTATCTAATAGAGCAATGGTATAACATTAACATTATCAGATAACTCAATCAGTGATTGTATAACAACCTGAAGTTCAGGGTTCGAATCCCAGTTTGGCACTTCTGAATTTTCACACTAAGGACAAAGTTGTTGATTTGTAATTCGTTTATTTTGTATTTCTCATAGAAGTCCTGTAAGGTCAAGTTTTCTTTTCAGAAATGATTTAACCAGGCTATATTTACACCCATTGCTGGATAAAAGTTTGCCATTGGTAGTTACAGTTTTGGGCAGTGGAAAGGGGATCCTAAAAGAAATTTGACTTTCACGTTTCTTACCTGCTGACATCAGCAGTAACACGGTAAATACCATCTTAACTGAATGGCTGCTTATGTCCGATCTGTGAAGAAAAAAAAACAAGAAAAAAACACTTCAAAATCAGAAACATACGTGTACATGTATCAAAATTTTGTAAAAAAAAATATGTAAATTTCTGATGAACCATTATACAAATCAAGATAAGAAGTTTGCTTACAATTCACCAAAAGGAGTGATGTCATAAATAATGCACATAAATTGATGATGAGGTAAACTAATACCCTTCTTCCCTGAACATATATATACACGTATATACAAGTTGTTTCTCGCTGATAAAGGTGATAATTTGGCAAAATATGAATAATGATCTAATGACACTTAATTGATTTTATATATATATTGAACTGTGTGAACAGCTTAAACAGTAGTTTTGGCTATCGTTGATTTCTTGGCAGACCCTACAAGCCATTTATATTGCCAGTCCAGCTAACCCTCAAACATTATATTCATTGAAAAGAAAAAAAAAAGAAAAATAAGGTGCTGGAAATAAGGCACTAGTTTTTCTTTTTCATTTTTGGATTTGTTTTTATGCGATTGTCTTTTCTATCTATATTCAGACTTTCTTTGGTCTTTCACAGACTTGCAGCAAACTTAACACCATGTTAATGCAGGTGATTCAGAAGAAGAAGTCAGACCAGACAACAACCGTAAAATGGGGAGTCTCCTAAACTGCAATCCAGTTTACATTTCCCGCTCGGTGGAATGGGTCGTCATCAAAACAAAAACCAAATTTCAAAAAATACCTCAAGTACAAAAAGTGGTGCCCTTTTTAAAATTTCTAGAGACAAACAATATAACAAACTGTATATATAGTGACAAATCTTCAATAGTGAAACAGAACAAGATTTAACTTGAAATATATGGGCTTCATTATAGACACTCACATATCTATAAAGTTTGAATTTGAAGGACTTTATATAATTATATAATGAAACAGTGACAGAGATATATATGCTACAGAAATTTGTATTGCGTCATATTTTAATTCTTCAGGTCAAGGTCAAAGGTGAAATTAAGGTCAGAGTGAATGTCCTAACCAGCCAATGGGGTCAAGGTCAAACATGAAATTTAAGTCACAGTGACAGAAACTTGTATTATGTTATATTTTAGTTCTTCAGGTCAAGGTCAAAGGTGAAATTGAGGTCATAATGACTTCATTTTAAGGTGTGACACTCTGCTTTCCTGGGACGAACCTATCTAAATACAAAGTTTGAAGCCCATTCATGAAGGTCATGAGGTCAAGGTCAAAGGTTAAATCAAGGCCAGAGTGAACTTGATGCACTGTGGTTTTTCTTATACAAAATATTGGCTGCTTAAATTCAAACAACTTTCAATGTGAATTAACATCTGCCAAAACAGTAACTGTATATGTTTATGCATGTATATATATATATATAATTACCCTCAATGCTTGGAGTCAACCTCTACCCACTGCGAGTCATATGCTGTTGCTACATATTGGGGTTCAAACACTGAATTATTCTACACATGCAGTAAATTTTAAATCACAGACTTAATCATGCACCTTTATATATTAATTATAGTCTTAATTAAGGGTTTCAAAATATTTAACTATTTTGTTTTTTAAATAAATGACATTATTTATAAATTATATCATAATGACCTATACTTAGTCATTATACTAAATTTAGAACGTAGAAAACATAAAAAAAATATGAATGTATGCAATGCCTCTTGTCTAATTTATTATAAAAGATATTTAATGAAAATAAAACTACGGACTCAATATATCTAATCTAATTCCGTGATCTATCTATATGTAATTATACTCCACGGATACCAAAATGTTTATAAAACACATAGTACATGTTTAGAAAGTGCTAACAACGAATATTAGGCCTGCTACTTGCGATAGCAATAACTATATTCAATTTTCCGAAATAACTGAGTAGCCGATCGGTTTATGATTTTAGCCCTAAACCATGACAACAACGTTAACATCATATGCAATTCATAAGATAGAAAAAGACCCGGGTGACCCTCTCCATATACCAAATTGTATCCCTCCTCAATTTCTTAATCGTGATAAAGCGACATCATCGCATATCACCAAAATAACACCTTACCTGTGACAGGTGCGATGCCCTTCTGCAGTGTTATTCCTTCTTTAGGTGAGATACAAGAATTACGTTCTCCGAAAGTTAATATTTCCCAAATGCCATTTGATCGGTCCGTGATTATCTCCTTTAGAACCAGTTGATGTTTTATATGCACACCCTATGTGTGTGTATATTCTGGTATTGAAAATAGCATGACGGGGTCTATTGATTAGCAGAAACCGGTTTTGCAGGTTGTTTATTTTTAGTTGCATTGTTGAATGCTCCACCTCTCAATTTCTGTGGTTGTTATAAATTTATTCTGACATATTTTACCGGAGTAAACATATATTAATGCCTTAAATTTCGTAAATTTATATATCATATCATATGTTTGTTGTCTTTGAGAGGTAAATTTAATTATTCAATATTTTTTCTAACATCTGGTTTGATTAATTAGACAAATGAAGTAATAAATAATGTGTTTATTTTGTTTCTGTGAATTGTTTTTACACCAACACAAGTAAAATGGCCGCCAAAGTGCAAAGAACCAGAACGAAATCCCGCCCTCGTATTATTCGACACGCCCACCCAAACCGGTCTTGGAAGTTATGAATAGAAACAACCTGGACTGACTTGGTCTCGTTAGGTAGGGCGTTCAGCAGCTTTGGGAAGGTAAGATGCATGCTTACAAATAGTTTTTGATATTGTTTATTTCTCGTATCTGGTTGCGACTTTGTCGCTGACATAATAAGACAGCAAAAAGATTTACACAGAGTTGAATGGTTATCATAATAGTTTAAATATGTTTTTTTACGAAAAAATATTTTGTAAACAGGGCGAAATGGAAGCCGTCATGTATTCATCTGCAGTGTCATTTCCGTAACGAAGTAGATTGTTTTGCTTGTACAACTTCTGAGAACTGTTTCTCCTGACTCAATATATCTAAATAAAACCTTAGCGAACTACAATTATAATTTGTGTCATTAGCTAGACGTGTCGATCCACTCTAGATCTGCTAAGTTTTCAGTACATTGATGATATATCCCATTTGGTCATGTGTGTTAGGCGACACATACATATATAAATATAGTATATATACGTCTCTGGGCTACATAACAGTATCTCATTACTGAAAGGATTATAACTACCAAACTATGAATTTGAAACTGAATCCAAATTTATTAATGTTAATTTAATACGATAAATAATGGACCTAGGCTGTAAGCCTCTGTGTCCATATCAGTTGATATTACAATATTTACAGTATGATATACTTCTGTTGTACAATTAGCATGTCCTTCATCATATATAAAAAATTAAGTTAATTATTTGTTGGTATTTTCCCAGTGATTGTCCAGTAAAATTTCAAAATGTTTGACATCCTCTGCATCTATAACATCTTGCGGCAAGTTGTTCCAGGCATCTACTACGCGGAAGCTGAAAAAGTTTTTTTAAATGTCTAGGTTACAGCGCTTTTTGAATATTGTTTGTGAGTGTCCCCTTGTCCTGCTGGTGGTATCCATTTGGAACATATTTGTCGTGACTCGTTCATCATAAATCTTCTTCACTATTTTGAATATGTTGATCAGGTCCCCTCTATTCCTTCGGTGTTCTAAGGTTGGCAGGTTTCGTCTAAATATGTGAATGTTCTTCCAATCAGTCCTAAAATACTAGTTGTTAAATGTACATAATAAATTTTAAAAAAACGTCAGTATTATCAAATTAGGAAAACCTTTGACGTTTTGATATTTCAAAGTTCATGCTGTTTAATGTAGCTGTATAAAAAGGTAGAAGCATCTGACATCTACTGCTGCCAGATGATTATCAATAAGTACACTTGTAAATATTTTTTTATAGAATGAAATTAGGTTCTACATTTTGAAGTTGTACACTTCAGGGGAATAACTTCATGAAATAAATGTCTTGATCATGTTCTTTTCGTCAATAAAATAAGATTGTACATATAAGATATCTAGACTGCATGTGGGCTCCAAATAATTATTACATGTGTATGACTATTTCCATTTTTTTCTATTTGATGAATCTGGTTTATAGCCATTCTATGGAGAACCTAAACTTCTAATTTAGAGCCAGCTATATATATAGCTGTTTACGTTACTATAAGTAGACTTAACGCCTGAAATTGTAATACAAACCCTGTCATCCCTGACACTTCATTATGAATTTTCCCAACTTTTGAATTAGAAGAGTTAAAATGTGTCTTTAGGGGTGAATGAGTTAACTCCAAATGAACATATAATGATCCTGGTGAAGTTGGTTTTAGCTCTAATGCTGAAAGTCCAATACTCCTCAAACTGCATATCTGTACTTGTTGAGGAATAGTACACTAGTATTAAAGGGAGGTCACTGTGACCTATATATTTCCACTTCTTACCCTGACCTTATTGAGGCTTTAATGTGTGATTATAGCTCTATTTCTTTCCTGAAACTTAACATGAAACTCCATTTCCAGCCAAGCAGAATACGTAGTGGGAGGTATTCTAGATTCTCCAGGGATTCACCTTCACTTTTGCTCTGTGCACCCTTAGAATTATGTCCTAGGAAAATTGGAGGCATGCTAGTTATTTTATTGGTTTCGGGTAAAAAAATATACCATTAAAAATGACATTCGCTAGGCTGATACCAGCTATTCTTTGAAGATTACAGAGGACTTCAAAGCCAGTCAATTTTACTCCATGACAAATTCTTTTGATGTACATCAAAGGATGAAACGAAAGTCTTACCAGTCTCACCCACAAGGTGGTGCATGCTAAGCCTTTGGTTTTGCTTTGACATATTTCAGGGGTGCAGAGAGCAAAAGTGAGCATATAACCCCTGGAGAATCAATGATGTAGTGGATAATTATACATATATTTAATGTTGTATATTTTTTTTTTTTTTTTAAGTGCTGATTTTCGCGACATCATGTACCAGTCGTTTTGTTGGCTGGGGGCATGTCTTCTGGTGCTCCTTCATGAGGGTAAGTGAACTTTTGCTTCAATTTTATTTACGATTTGGGTTTAATATCCTCGCAACAGCCAGGGTCATATAAATTAAGCCAGGTGCTAAGGGAGAAAGTAGAAATGACAGGAAAATAAAAAGATCCCAAGAGTTACAATGAGGACAGCAGAGTTACAATGAGGACAAGCATAGTTACAATGAGGACATGAGCAGAGTTACAATGAGGACATGATCAGAGTTACAATGAGGACATCAGAGTTACAATGAGGACATCAGAGTTACAATAAGGACATCAGAGTTACAATGAGGACATGAGCAGAGTTACAATGAGGACAGCAGAGTTACAATGAGGACATGAGCAGAGTTATAATGAGGACATGAGCAGAGTTACAATGAGGACAAGAGCAGAGTTACAATGAGGACAGCAGAGTTACAGTGAGGACAGCAGAGATACAATGAGGACATGAGAAGAGTTACAATGAGGACAGCAGAGTTACAGTGAGGACAGCAGAGTTACAATGAGGACATGATTAGAGTTACAATGAGGACATGAGCAGAGTTACAATAAGGACATGAGCAGAGTTACAATGAGGACATGAGAAGAGTTACAATGAGGACATGAGAAGAATTACAATGAGTACAGCAGAGTTACAGTGAGGACAGCAGAGTTACTATGAGGACATGAGCAGAGTTACAATGAGGACATAAGAAGAGTTACAATGAGGACATGAGAAGAGTTACAATGAGGACATGATCAGAGTTACAATGAGGACATCAGAGTTACAATAAGGACATCAGAGTTACAATGAGGACATGAGAAGAGTTACAATGAGGACATGAGAAGAGTTACAATGAGGACAGCAGAGTTACAGTGAGGACATGAGCAGAGTTACAATGAGGACAGCAGAGTTACAGTGAGGACAGCAGAGTTAAAATGAGGACATGAGCAGAGTTACAATGAGGACAAGAGCAGAGTTACAATGAGGACAGCAGAGTTACAGTGAGGACAGCAGAGTTAAAATGAGGACATGAGCAGAGTTACAATGAGGACAAGAGCAGAGTTACAATGAGGACAGCAGAGTTACAGTGAGGACATGAGCAGAGTTACAATGAGGACAGCATAATTACAATGAGGACAGCAGAGTTACAATGAGGACAGCAGAGTTACAATGAGGACAGCATAATTACTATGAGGACAGCATAATTACAACGAGGACATGAGCAGAGTTACAATGAGGACATGAGAAGAGTTACAATGAGGACAGCAGAGTTACAGTGAGGACAGCAGAGTGACAATGAGGACAGGAGCAGAGTTACAATGAGGACAGCAGAGTTACAGTGAGGACAGCAGAGATACAATGAGGACATGAGAAGAGTTACAATGAGGACATGAGAAGAATTACAATGAGTACAGCAGAGTTACAGTGAGGACAGCAGAGTTACCATGAGGACATGAGCAGAGTTACAATGAGGACATTAGCAGAGTTACAATGAGGACATGAGCAGAGTTATAATGAGGACATGAGCAGAGTTACAATGAGGACAGGAGCAGAGTTACAATGAGGACATGAGCAGAGTTAGAATGAGGACAGCAGAATTACAATGAGGACAGCAGAGTTACAATGAGGACAAGCATAGTTACAATGAGGACGTGAGCAGAGTTACAATGAGGACATGAGCAGAGTTAGAATGAGGACAGCAGAATTACAATGAGGACAGCAGAGTTACAATGAGGACAGCATAATTACAATGAGGACAGCAGAGTTACAATGAGGACAGCATAATTACTATGAAGACAGCATAATTACAATGAGGACATGAGCAGAGTTACAATGAGGACAGCAGATCAATTTCACTTTCTTCAATGTCCTCATTCTAGTAGAAGAAAAAACCCAAATTCTGCAGGGGGCCCCACATTAACCCTTTCACCCCTATGTAACTTCATTAGACTCTACCATGTATTGATATGGATGAGTCCATTATGGTCTACAGTGGTGAAAGAGTTAATTGCCTTTTAAGATACACATTCATTGGGATACACTGGGTTTTTGTTTTGCCAGCTATTTTGGGAAAGGGCCCCTGAGCAGGAAATGGGAAAATATCATCAGTATTTTCCCAAAAAATGGGGAAATATCATGAGTGATCCCACATGTACAGGTTTGGGAAAATATGATAAATTTGGAGAAAAAAATAAAACCTGCAATGTGATTAGCAGAAAGTTTTCCTCTGTTCCTGTTTCTTACAATAAAATGGATAGCAATACACAAACACATATTTTTTAAGTGTTTTTATTTATTCTGTTTCAAATCTTCGTTATTAATGTATTTTGAATGCTCCTTCATTTTTAGAGTTTAAAAAAAAAAATGAAGTACTGTAAATAATACGATGATGCGATACACAAGACAGTATCGTGATACAATACAACATATAAGATATTTTAACAAAATTGTATATTTATTTATTTATATATTTTATAATAAGGTTTCGGACAACGGACTCCAGAATGGCAGAATACTATGAACAACTTTGGTTTAAGTGAAGACAGGCCCCAAAACGGTAAGAAATTTTGATTTTGAACTTAATGGTTAGGGTTCTATTTCTGTTTCAAAGTAATTCTTAGGAGAGCTTCTTAGATACATTTGTCTGCCGTTTCAATTATGACATCCAGATTCCCCAAGTACTGTTTACAGCTGTAAGCATTGCCTGTATAGCCTGACAATCATCGTGATAAAGTCCCAATCTGATTAAAATCTGCTCTGCCTGAACATTATAATGGATCAATGTCTAGTGCTTTTTCTATCGTTTCCCGTCTCCCGGCTGTGAGTTTTAATAAAGGATTAATGGAGATGATTCCGTGAGTAGGTTTTTGACTGTACATCTGTATTTTTTCTGTCCACAGCTCATGTTTACACACTGCTTGCTGTGGCCGATGGTGAAATAGAATATAGAATCGAAGACTCCAACACTTTTGAGTTGCGAAATCAACTTGATGGGAAGGTTTATTTGATTAAAAGTTTGGACTACGAGGTGAGTGTTGAGGGGGTCACTTAATCGGCAGCCAAATTTCAGTTTCATTTCTGGTGGTAAATTTCCCAATATCTGGTTAACCCCAGGGGGTCAGAGTTTGAACAAAATTAAATAAATGTTGTCAATGCTGTTCGAATTACACGAAAATACAGCCGCTAAAATTAGAAGTAAGTTTGAACAATCCGAGTCAACATGATCAATCAGGGATCGGTGGTAAGGTTGCGATTACATAATCACACTGTAAACACAGTATTAATATGAATGACGATACACACGTGTCTGTCAGCGATGTGACGGGAACATTCCACACTCCGTACTGATAGGATGTCAACATGCATGGTCAGGGCCTAAAATCGTAAACCTGGTGCACTGCATGCACATAATTACAAGAAAGAAAATCGGCCATCAATATCAAGTTGCAGTTGAATATTTATGTACAAATTGTCCGTCATAGATGTCTTTGTTAGACGCACATCATGAGTACAATGTACTACACGTTACTCAGTTATTTGTTATCGGTGCTGCCATGAAAATAGATCAGTTTGAGAGAGTTTTGCAAGACTATACCGCCGATAGCCAAAGTCGATCAATAATTACATAATTTCAGTAGTATCCGACCTCTCCGGAATGTGGGTATAAGCAGGAATCGAACTATCACGAGACAGAAAATTATTGCTTTTGTTGTACAAAAAGTGTGTTCGAATTATCCACCTATTCTAACTGACCGGAGGTGTATCGTATATGAATATTTTAAAGCAATTTACAGCTTGGATGCATATTTAAGTGTTCTTCCCAGGCTGTTTGAGCCTAATTAACATTACCGCTGATGTGAATTTGGGCCGCTATGCTCAACTGATATATACTGATACACAGGGATTTTATTTGGGACATCCAGCGGGTTGTTTACCATCTTTGACAGGGGCCTCAGTGTGCCTTGTGACTTTGGGAAAATATCACACTGCAGTGGGAAAATATCACACTGCAGTGGGAAAATATCACACTGAAAAAGCTTGAATTTGGGAAAATAAATGATTTAATTTGATTGTATATGTTTAACATCCTATCAATGGCTATTAAGGTAATTTAAGAACGTGGGGGAAATGAAGTGATTTTTATGCCCCCGCCATAAAATGGGGGGGGGGGGCATATAGTGTTGCCCATGTCCATCCTGTCCCGATTCAATTTAAACACTTAGCAACTTCATTCAATTCAATATGTTATGGCGATGGTAATAACATACAGAAAAAACATATTAATATTAAAATCAACTTATCAACTTTAAGTGTAGTACCTTGTGTGTGTGCATGTTTCAGGGAATCAAGATCAAAGTGGTTGTAACTTTTTATAGAACACTGAAACTAATTTCACATGGCAGTGGGGGCATTTATGTCTTACAGACATTTTCTAGTTTACAACAATTTTATGCAAATACAGTAGAAATTTTCCAGCGGAAACGGTCTTTAAAGGGCCTTAAATTCACATCAAACAATTACTGAGTTCTGTTGTTTTTTTATAATTAATATGTAATTTTACAAAAAATAGTTAATGATCGGTTAAAAAATATCATGTGTCTTCAAATTTTATTTAATTTCTTATTTTCAGAATATTTTTGACAGAGTAATTTCTGTGTCATTTACTGCAAGGAATGTAAGAAGAAATACAGAAGTAAGTATTTTTCACCATCATTAAAATGTGTATTTGTATTACATTACCCTGCGTCAGAGGTGGGTGTACCCTACGGTAACCACTGTCCGTCTGTCCATCTGCACATCTTCTTTTCTTTTCTCAAGATTAATTTAATCCCCACGTTGGTGGCAAGACAAAAATATCAATCCAAGTGATAAGATAAAAATGACCAGATTGAGGTTTTGCCGAGGGCTAGACTTTTAAGAATTTTAACCCCATGGTTGAGATTTTTCTGTCTTACTGCAAAAGCGAGGAATGATCCTTTTTCTCCGTCAAATACAATTGGTAATTAATTTTATGAAGTACAAATATTATTATGATAATTACCAGTAAATGTGAGTTTTCTTCCGTGATCTGCCATTGTTGACATGACGTCATTGCATCGTTGGCGTAATGTCATACAATTGTTATTACAGGGGAGAATCCCCCCCCCCCTTCTTTACCATAGGGCAAGACAGAAATTTCTCTCATATCTGGTCATGTAAGATAACCGTGCTTGCTGAGCCTTTCTAACATGGGCTAATCACATCGCTAAGTAATTCGAAAGCTAAGGGGAGCAACTCCCAATGTCAACAACTTACGTTGTCTGCTACAAGTGTGTGTTCTGTAAACATAAACAAAGACACATGGTTTTACTGTTTACGCTACTGAGTTATCATCATCATAATCAGAAGTTTCGTCAAATATGGAGGAATTATATTTCTCTGCGCACTTAATGAGATGTACAGTAAGTAGCGACGAGGTTCAAAGATGGCGCTTACAAAAAGCTGTATGGAAAATAGAAAGTTGAATAACCACTTAACCATAGGGTTATCATGGAAATGTGTTGTTTTTATGCGTGCAACGACGTTGCGGTTTGAGGGCATGAAAAATTCGTTTCTACTACTATTTTCGTTTTTAAACCACTGAGAAAGTATTTAAAAAACTGGAAGATGGCAACCGTCTGTGAACATTGAGAGATAAAGTAACTATTTTTTAATGGTGGATATGAGAGAAAAATACTCTTTTCATATATATCGGTAGGTACATGGATAGAGAATTCCTCCCTCGGGGATCATAATTGGTGTCAAACCCCAATTTTTCAAGAGGAAATCTCTATCCACCTCCGGTACATATGAAAGAGTCTTACAATCTTTCCTTGGCCAGAAGTGTGAACAATTCTGTCTAATGTGGTAGAATATATAATCTTTTCGAAATTTGACATGGTGACATACTGCAAAATAGGGTATATAAAAGTATCTAAGGTCAAAGGTCACTGTTACAAAATTTGACATATGGTGATTAAAATGTGGTATTTAAGTGTGCAATAGTGGCCAGTGTTTAAACAGTTTGTAAGGTCAAGGTCACAGCTATTAAAAAGAAACCATGGAGCTTCAATAAGGTACATGGCGGGGCCCTTGCTGACCTGTCTGTGTTCAAGTTACAGTGACATACATCTGCTTTCCAAAATATTTCCACAATATGACAAATAAGAAATTTTAGCCCTTCATCATCATCATCACCATATGGTGGGCTATTCAAATCGCCCTGTGTCGGTGATCCATCCTTCTGCCCTTCTGTCAGTCCATCTTTAAACAATTCTTGTTGGTGCTCTTTCTCAGAAAGAACTAAAAGGAATCTTTTTCAAATTTCACATAAAGGTTTCCCATGGTTCCAGGTTACGCAAATAAAATTTTGAACTAATCGGAAATATTGAATTGAATACACAATGTAAAGGGAGAAAACCTTTACAAAAATCACAAGAATAAGGTGTACCCTGTAAGCTAAGCATACACCCTTAACTCATTCACCCCCGAAGACACATTTGAACCCTTTCAATTCAAAGGTTGGAGTAGTTCATTATAAAATTTCAGGGGCGAATGAGTTGGAAATAAAAATCTGCTTGGAATGTTTATCTTTACAGGCCACGGTTACTTCCATTGTGAACGTGTTGGATGCAAATGACAATCTCCCAGAATTTGGATCTGATACGTACAGTAAGAGTATAAGAGAGGTAAGAATTCTATTTTATGTATTTAATATTTTGTTTTTTATCTTTGGAATTTGTTAAAAAGAAAAATTATAATTTTACCCCTATGTAACTTTAGAAGCATCTACCATGCATTGATCTGGATGAGTGCATCATGGTCTACAGTGGTGAAAGGGTTAACATTAATTTTCTATATATATAAAAAGCATTGGTATATGAAAACTCGACCATGATATGTAATCACCAGCAACATTAGCACTATAGGGCTGCAATGATATATCGAGATATTTTAAATACAGTACGATACACAATATTTTTTTGGGAGGTTAGGATACATTTCCTACGATATATTCTGAATTTTGTTGTTTTTGAATTTAGACTACTGACATATATCCGTTTCCACATGCCGAGTGACAGCTCAAGCTTGGCATGCACGTCAAACGACATGATGTGTGTGAAGTCATGTCCAAGTCTATTTCCAGTGTTGTAACATTGTCAGTGACAATTTGAAACAATTATTATCTGTTTGCTTTGCTTCTGATCTTACTGTATGTATTGTATCGTGATATATCGCATCCTGATATGCATCGTATCGTCACGTAAATGTATCGTTGCAGCCCTATTCCGTCTTTGCATATTGCAGAGTTATCTTCTCTTGGGAGCAGGTATTGATTGTTACGTCATTGATTGTGCGAGAAAATTTCGTCGTTTTCTCAAAAATTGATGACGTTACTCTCATAAATAAGTGATGTAACAATCAATACCTGCTCCAAAGAGAAGATAACTCTGCAATACGCAAAGACGGAATAATTATCAAAATGACTGGTATTACGACAATATTGCACTCCCCTTCTGTTATAGGACTCGCTGATAGGTCTCACAGTCCTGGATGCTTTAGACAGATTCTTTGTCAAGGATGTTGACGGGGTCAACAAGCTCCTCAACGTGACCTGCGACCCCAGCAGAGCAGCTGCTCAGGTAACCGTAGAGTTTCGCTTAAAGAAGTATGTTAATTCAATTTAACATAAAATCTCACTCCAAAAAGAGTTCCACATAAAAAAAAAATGTGATATTTTATGATTGGTACTTAATGGTTTTGATTTCATAGTTTGCAAATCACATATTTGTCAGGTATATATAGGATCTTACATGAGTTTCCATTCATTTCATGAGATTTATAAAACGAGACAAGAGGCGAGCTAAAATGAAAACCTTGTGACTAGTTTCAAAAAATTTGATATGAAATTAAATTAAACGAGTGTGAGATCATTTTTATCACATAATCAAGATTTGTGGCACTTATTCGTGTAATACAACAATTTTCATGCAACCTTGAAATGTAAAATGCCGCCATTTTGACTCCAGTGTGTAGGTCTGTGACGTCATGTACTTGTCCTAGACGTGATGTCACAATTGAAACAATTGAAACTTGCAACCAATCACAAGGCTGATAGGTTGTAGGGCTAATAGGTAATATTACATGGGTTTAAATGCAAAAAATATGACATGGGTATATTCACTGGATAACACAGTACATTATGTGGTAAAAAGGTAAAAAAAGAATATATTACAATTTTTGTCCTGAAGTTAGGGGACCAACAAAAAATCTAATATGCTTTTCACAGGACACTGAAATAGCATCTCTTAGCATTTCCTTACTGATATGCAATAAACATGGATAGTCTTATTACCAGGCATGGGCTTATTGTCGGATAAATATGTATTTTATGTTATATTTCAAGGTTGTACAAGAATGTATATACAGTTGAACTTCGTTATTTCGAAGTCGGCGGGGTCGTGAAAAAACTTTGAGTTATCCAAGTATTCAAGTTATGCGGGTTCATATATTTGGTATGAAATTTGCTGTTTGAACATTGGTGATTAAATGTTGTTTTCGGCGAGTCTTGGCAAAGTATTTCTAGGTCTGCATTTGTATTTGCATGTCTGTCAAGTTTTCCTTCTGAAGTACGTGTTACATTTAAAATTGAACTATCCCGCTGTCTTCGACCTCGTATTATACAATGCGGAAATGAGAGTGCGCACAAGTCTAAAACAAATCACTTTAAATGAACACACACTCAAACAGATGCTATCGTACATGTAACACATTGATTCATTAAAGCCAAATATGACACCTGACACCTCCTCAACTCGATGTAATCAACAGCAATTATCTTATTGTTCTTAAATTCTCTTGATTGACTTTCAAAGCCATACTGGCTCCTGAAAAAAATGAACCTGTGAAGCTGTCCTAGGTTGGGTTTTTAACTGTGGAACTCTTTTATGCATGACCATGCTAATCAATGTGACCAATTTTCTGGTTTGGACTATCGTCAGTTTGTGTGTACAAGTCATTAAACAAACTCGTAGTAAGTACAGAATACTGTTGATCAACATTGATGAAGTTTGTTTTTTTATTATGAACCACGTGGTTTTGACAGTCTACACACTTTACAGTCGTAAGCTTTAACGATTTCATGTTCTACACACGAAAAATGTTCAAAAACACGGAATGGCGATATGCCGTAGTTTTTCATTTTATTTGAATAAGTGACGAAATGAAATTTGAATACTATTAAGTAGACGATGTTTTGATGTTGGATTTAAGCTGTTGAAACCAAGATCTTACTTCGAGGTATCCAAGTTTTTTTCGAGTTTTCAGGGTTCGGATTATCAGAGTTTTATTTCCGAAGGTGAAGAGATGAAAACATAATACTTTGCATGTGAAATGGAAAAAAAAATAACTGGAAATTGAAGAGATCCCTTCAATGGACACTTTTCTTGAAAAGAAAATTAATATAAAAAAAATTGTGCAGAAAAAAAATGGGATAGTGTTTTTTGAAATTACCGTAAATTACCTAGTAATAATCCCTTTCTACATGTATTTTCTTCATTTTGACAGCACAAAGATGCCTGCAACACTTTTAGTGTGAGTCGCTTCAATGGAAGTAATTCGTACTGGTACGGGTCCCTGGTCCTGATGCAACTCATTGATTATGAAGTCCGTTCTCAATACCAGGTTCCCATCGTTGCATCAGTAAGTTTCACTGGGGAAACTATTCTTTGCCTGGAATTCAGATTGGTGAAATTACAGATAAGGGAATTGGTCAATTAGTGTACTCCAATATATATATATATACTTATTTATTATATAATGAAAAATTCTTAACAACGAGTCTTTAGTACTTCCATCTCTTCTAGGAGATTCTTCAGATTATTTATATATTTATATATATTTAGACCAGTGCAAGATATATCACCTGTTAAAAGACCAAGCTTATTAAAGGAGCATTTTCAACAATCCCCTTTGCAATTATTTTTATGTGAATTAATTGAACAAGGAATTCAGAGACTGTCTTAGGTATACAATAAGATGCAGTTTTTTGAAAGGTCACACGATCTTTGAATACAGGTGCGATTATTTACATGTATTTACCGAATCTTTGGTCTTCTTTGAGAGAGACATTTTTTTTACAAACTTTGGTGATACATGTTCCTATATTTGTATATATTAAGCAACACTTGTGTAGTTTACCATTTTGATATAAAGTTTTATAAAAATGAGTGGTAGTGTGGCTCAGTGGATAGTGCACTCACCTTTCACCCAGACAGCCGGGGTTCTATTCCCTGATCAGACATGACATATTTGACATGAAGTTTAGTATTATATGGAAACGGGTGGTCAGGTGGCTCAGTGGATAGTGCACCGACCTTTCACCAAGACAGCCAGGGTTTGATCCCCTGATCAGACGTGCAAAGGTACAAGGTCATCTGTCGGAATTTGATGGTTAAGTTAGACATCTTGTTTTAATGGTCTGCTGCTACACAGGGGAGCTAACTTTGTGTACATTTGTAGGATGGAACTAACGAAAAACTGATCACAGTGGAAATCACAGTTATCAACATCCAGGATACGCCTCCTCGATGGATTCGGGCCCAGGACGTCACTGTTGTGGAAGAAGTTCAAGTGGTAAACATTGACATACAATCTAAACTCATTCACCCCTTCAAATCTAAACTGGACTTGCCCAGTCTTTGATTTGATAAGGTTCAGATGTGACTAATGAGGGGTGAATGAGTCACCAATACTGTAAAGCATTGCACAGAAAAAGGTCAAAATCTGCAGCAATAAATAGATAAAATAAAATTGTTTTCTCAATATTCATTTAAATTACAAATATATACATAATTTTATTAGGTTTAAAATTCATGGGCAAAGATTATTTGATCGAATGTAAGAAAAATGTGAGAATAAAATTGAAAAGTGAAACATTGTAGCATAATGGTAAGCAAATTGTTATAAAGTTGTAATTAAGTCTCCAAAATGAAATTTTTGCTCAGTTTCTTATTTCTTCCACTTTCTTCCCCGGGCGAGGTTTCCGCCAATTTTCTCAAGAACTTTCATTTGTCAGAATTTCACGAAATTTCACACATTGTTAATGGAAGGCGGTGTAAAGATGTAAGACTTTTCTTTTTTCGATTGGTGATCTAACAAATTATGGCCACTGCCTCTGATTGGTTGAAATTTCGATATTGACCTCAGATTTTGCTCAAGGTGTATAATTGTACAGGTAACACTTCTGCAGCTTCAGTTTTATGATTGAACAGAATGACCACCATCATATAAGATTGGTCTCTGATTGGTTGAAATTTAGATATTGACCAATTTTGCTAAAACTTGATTTTGAGGTGTGTATTCCGTCTTTTCATATTGCAGAGTTATCCCCCTTGGGAGCAGGTATTGATTGTTACGTCACTTGTTTGTGAGAGTAACATCATCAATTTTCGAGAAAACAACGTAATTTTCTTACACAAACCAATGACGTAACAATCAATAACCTGCTCCCAAGAGAAGATAACTCTGCAATAGGCAAAGATGGAATAGACTTACTGCCGTAATTGGGAATGCAGGATGGTTATCGGGGACTTTTGTAATGACCCTCAATCAGCAGTTTTTGATTTTTTGCATTTTCTTTTTGAAGGACACTTCTCTGGATTTTGTCGAGGCTTTAGATGGTGATGTGGATGACCCTCGTCCCATTTTTTATGAAATTATGAACAATAGTAAGTTTACTTTGTTTTCAGTGCATCTTAATTGACATGATATACTGTAAATCAGCATTTTTTGCTGATAACTTATTTTCGAGATATCGCTTCAGAATACTGTAAATCAGCATTTTTTGCTGATAACTTATTTTTCGAGATATTGCTTCAGAATGTTCATATGGATTTTAGTTTATGAAAGGAACACTAACAGATTTAATTGAGGTTCTGTTTTTGGTAAAACTTTTTCCCTCAGTTTAAGTCTTAATTGTCTTAAAATGCCGTCAATTGTCTTAATTGTTGTTCTATGGTAAAATCTTGATATAATGCCCCATCAATTGTCTTAATTGTCGTTCTATGATAAAACCTTGATATGATGCCCCTTCAATTGTCTTAATTGTAGTTCTATGGTGAAACCTTGATATAATGCCTCCATAATTAATTTTAATTGTGGTTCTACGGTAAAACCTTGATATAATGCCCCTTCAATGGTCTTAATTGTAGTTCTATGGTAAAACCTTGATATAATGCCCCTTAAATTGTCTTACCGGTAAGTGTCATTCCATAGTAAAATCTTGATAAAATGCCCCGTCAATTGTCCTTTTTATGGTAAAATCTTGATACAATGCCCAGTCAATTGTCATTATATGGTAAAACTTTGATATAATTCCCCCTTAATTGTCCTAATTTGATATAATGCCCATTGAATCATCATTACACATATATGGTAAAGTCTTGATATAATGCCCTCTAAAATGTCACTATACAGGAAAACCTTCATATAATATATCTCCAACCGTTCGTCACTGTATAGTACAATCTTGATATAACACTGAACGTGGGTTGAATGATTTTCACTTTTGCTATGCACCATATGAAAAGTACCGAAATATCTGCTCCACTCCTGAAATATGGCTGTTATTCATTCGGAACCCAAGGAAGTTCTCCGTATAAAGTTGGAGTTATCTGGCCAAATATGATTTTAAGAATATATAATGTACCGTATATGTTCCTAGTGGGTCATTATCAAAAGTCTAATATTTGATCGAAAAATTTGAGTTCTAAAGGTCCAATACAATTTTTTTTCGTTTCATTCTAGACCATTATCATATCCAATGACTTGCACTAACTGTTGTAGATTGCTTTCCAGGTGATTTTTTGACCAAATATGGATGATAAATCTTATTTTGTAGTCGGCAACGGACACACACTTTTCAGGATTGACAATGGGACCGGAAGGATCTTTAATAAAGTACTTATAGATCGGGAGAGTCCAAATTTCCTGCAGGGATATGTAGACCTAAACATACGCGTAAGTCATAAACATATGCATTCAAAAATTGAAATACAAACAAATTGTTTATTCATATTTTTATTCAGTTTCAACAGGTTTTATTGACTTTGATTATGTCAATTGGATTGGACATCAGGCTGATAGGCCTATTTAAGTCCTTTCCAAACTTGTTAACCAAAATTACATGTATACACTGTTTTAAACAATCCAAATTTAACAATGTAGGGGAGATAACTGCTACTTAGTTTGCTAAATAAATATCTTCACTTTATTCAATATTCAGTCATAATTCAATTTTTGGATATCAACAATCTATTTGTTGTTGGTATGCATCAAACCATGTACTGGTGCTAAAGTACGATTTCATGTGTGCTGAAATCATATATTACGTACATTGGGAGAGATGGATTCAAAACAGTATTTGGCTTCAAGTCTCTGCCGAGTTCCTCCAAGTGATAAGTCATTACAAGAGAGTAGAAGTTGAGTAACTCATTACCGAAACAATGAAACAGGCCTGAGCACAGAATCTTGATAAGTTTAAGCGTGAAAAACAATCGTTTCGTGTATAACAGGCCTCTACGATTTCAAAGTTAATCGACATCCAATTTGATTCACATATTTTGTACCATTCATGGTCTGTATGGTCTGATCCTTATTTGTTACGATGATAATTTGTGATAGAATGTTTTAGATATATTCATGTCTTTTCAAAATTCGAGGTAAATTTGGGAAAAAAGAATTTTCGCAATCACTCAACGGGGTACTCCATCTTCGCTAGCCAAGGGTTACGATCCGGTACGATCTACCTACTCTTCACCCTTGGCAGATTTAGGCCGTGATTTCAGACTCATAGTTGTACTCCTGTTTTTCCAACAAAATTTCTCAAGAAAATAACAATTTTCTCTCAATTTGCCAGCTCATTCCTCAGAAAAAAAAAAAAGAAGTTCTAAATTATGAAATTTGAAAATAATTTTCATTTTTAATCTTCAAGTAATAGAAATATTTTTTAAACCCTCATATTTCTCATATAATATTGCTATAGACATTGTATAAATAGTTTAACTATCATTTCTATCCTTCAATAACGAAGACCCGGGGACCAACACATAATCTCTAACCCAAAGACGAGGGATGGGCTTAATGCAAGACAATGAAATAGCATTTATTGGTATTCCTACTGAATTTCACGCTATATATGGGTGGGCTTATCACCAGGCATGGGCTTATTGCCGAATATATACAATGATCACCAGCTGTAAAAACAAAAAATGATATTAATTTTTTTCCCACAGGCCAGAGAACGAGATCCCTTTACCGGAGAACTTGGCGATGCGCAAATCAACTCGACAACGACACAGATTCGTATTACCGTTGAAGATATCAATGATAACAAGCCCAAGTTTGAACAGGACGAGTACGTTACGAGTCTGCGTGAAGACGCACCAAATGATACGCCGCTCAATCTGCTCATCCCGGTTGAGGATCCTGATCAGGTTTGTCTCCCGATCAGATTTAATTATAAAACATTCTCGACATTATTTTGTTTGCAGTGCAATAAATTGAACTAATTTTATGAGTGACGGTGCCTTTTATCACGATGTTTCCAATTTGGGATGATCGATTAAAGATTTAATATTATGAAGTAATAATGAGGCTTTTGGCAAGCATATAATAACTACAGTTAAAATATAGAGTTCCGCCAATTTTCTGCTGTATACACAGGTCTTAAGGTAGAGAGTCCCACTGCATTTCTACTGTATACACAGGCCTTAAGATATGCATTTCTACTGTATACAGGCATTAAGGTAGAGTTTGCCACCAACATGTCTTCTGTTTTTGTGAAAAAGAAATTATAATGAATCTTATTTCTTTCGTATACAACCCTTTGAAATTATGAGTAAATGAGCTAGCAACTCAAAGTCAGAAAAATGCTGAACAAGTCGGATGTCTTCTTCATTCGATATAAAAAGACAAAGGATCGCTGGGACCTTCTACCTTAACTCATTCACCCCTGAAATTTCATAATGAACTTTTCCAACCTTTGAATTGGAAGAGTTTGAATGTGTCTTCAGGGGTGAATGGGTTAATACAAAAATGAAGGGGGGGGGGGGGGAAATACGATAATAATTTCACACTTTTAAAAATGTGGTGTTCTATTCCGTCTTTGCGTATTGCAGAGTTATCCTCTCTTAGGAGCAGGTATTGATTGTTACGTCACTTGTTTGTGAGAGTAACGTCATCAATTTTTGAGAAAACGACGAAATTTTCTCACACAAACCAATGCCGTAACAGTCAATACCTGCTCCCAAGAGAAGATAATTCTGCAATACGCAAAGACGGAATACTTCTCACGTAACACATTTATTGAGCTTAAGACAGTGTTAAGTCTTTTTAAAAAGAAGAAAAGAAGAAAAAAATGAAGTCATTTTGCATGTAATGTTGTGCTTGACCTTATCATGAACTTTCTTGAATGATATAACATTGTCTTTTTATTGTTGTTGACTTTGGATTGGCTTTTCTCTGTTAATATTAAATACAGGTTAATATTTTATAAAGTTGAATGAAAACGGTTCATTGGACCTGGTTCTGTATGGCGAAAAGTAAGTTCCTGGTAATCAATGGCTCGACAGTTCAGCCCAAATCTTACTCAAACACTTTTAATTCCAGGGTACAAACAACAACTTCATATTCACCCTAAGTGCATTCAACGCCGAGTTCAAACTGTCCGATTCGGGGAACCAGTCCGAGTCTGCCTCTGCACAAATCCGTGTCCGGGATACAACGCTGATAGACTACGAACAATCCCAAAAGCAGTATGTCTTCTTTGTAAGTTTGGAATCATGGAGTTTTGTTTTTGTTTTTTTTCTTTTCTTTTTTTTGGGGGGGGNNNNGGGGCGGGAGAGGGGTGTATTCCTTGTGTTAAAAAAAAAAATGTGGCAAATAGTCTTTATTTAATCCATTCACCCTAAAGTCACATTTGAACTTAACCAAATCAAAGACACGGGTCAAGTCCAATTTAAATTTGTAGGGGTGAATGAGTTCAAATCATCTGCATGTGACGTACAATATAAAAAAGACACTGGTTTGTTTTTGTTTTTCAAGACTTGTAAGTCTTTAACCCTCTTCTGTATCTATTAAACAGTTCTACAGACAAGTACACTATAGTCCTTCAACTGTAGCTATTAAACTTAGACTTCCCTAACTCATTCATACCTGAAATTTCATAATGAACTATTCCATCTTTTAAATTGGAGGAGGTCAAATATGTCTTCAGGGGTAAATGAGTTAAAACTATACACTTCAAATTGCAGTTATACAAAATAGAAATGATTGTGGAGGGGTCTCAAATAACTGCCCGCCACACATGTTGTGTCACACACAGAAGGAAATGTATACATTTTTTATCGGAGAGTTAGCTGGCTTGTGAAAGCTGACATACGACATACCTGAACAAATGCCCGTTCAATAAACATGTTTGAACCATGAGGACTTCCGAAATTAATTCGGGACTCCTTAGGACTCAGTTTAGTGTCTTTTCACAATGAGGTTGTGTTTTCAGGACTGCCCTGGGAATCAGTATGCCTTAAACTTTCGGGCATGTGTTGTTCACGCTAACCAATCACAATGAGTGTTACATAGAATGTTCACACTAACCAATCACAATGAGTATTACATAGAATGTTCACCCTAACCAATCACAATGAGTGTTGCATAGAATGTTCACACTAACCAATCACAATGAGTGTTACATAGAATGTGCTCAATCAACACTCTACTCATCAGGTTGTTTAGCTCACTCAATTCATTATATATCAAATTAATAATTAAGGTCTACATCAATTAAATATTTTAAAAAGAGCAAGTAGTCGTTAGTTCCATTATATGATGGGAATGTACAATTTCACCTGATTTTCTGTTGAAACAAATGTTTCGATTGCAACTACAGTGACACCTGTCTAATCTGACCCCCTTTACAATAAAAAAACATTGACTGGATGAGACAGCATGTCAGAATGGAAAGGTTTTATTTTTCTTCAGACCGAGTTAATTAACAAGTCTTCCTCATGAATAGATTATTCTTGTCAAAATTAGATGCAGTTAAATTCAGGTTTCTACAAAACAACAAAGACAGAAAGTATAGTTGAAATAATGTTTATTAACTCATAATTGTTAACTACATAATTATAACAATTTGGCATTCTTGGGGCTACTCTGTATGACTGCTATTGGCAAGCTGATATATGATATCGGCCAGTGTAGTTAATATTGGTGCATCATAATTGGAGCCTGTAGATAATGGCATAATGTCATGTTAGTCTACAGGTCCAAGCTTAAGGCTGTAATTGGGGCGAGCCCGGCATTAAGACAGCCTAGTCTGCATGGTCACATGGTACATATATATATTAACTACTGGCAGATAATAAAGGTACTAAATGTTGTAATGATATTAGTGTATCTTACTGGAGCCTGTTATAGATCATCATCTGTTATAGTCTACAAGTCCAGGGGCTGTAGTTGGAGGGAGCCCAGGCAAAGACAGCCTATAGTATAGCCTGCGAGTGTTCACAGGATACAGCAATATATTACGTAAACTGACAGATGAAATGATATCATTATTTAGTAAGAGTAATTAATATTAGTTTATCCTACTGGAGCCTGTAGATAATCATCTGTAGTAGATCACTGGATACAGAGAAATACTAATTACTATATGGTTTTCAGTTAGTTGAATTTTATTGGCCAAATCGATTGAAAGAGACAAGTTTTGAAATGTGTTTCCAAAGTTGTTTCTTGAAGAGAGCCCCCAAAAGAAAAAGGCCAATAAATTCAACAAACTGAATTTTACCCCCAATTCAGACAAATTTACACCATAGTAATTAGTATTTCTCTGTATCCAGTGATCAGACTATAGGTTGTTTTTACATTGTATCTAATAAAAATACACAACACAGCATCTCAACCTTTCAAGTTTGAGCATACAGGTAACACTTGTTTTGTATAAACTTGAATCTTATAATTAAATTCTTATTTGTTTTATTTTTTATTTTATTTTTTCATTTCAGAATATTTTATTGTACTGATCTTATGTACAAAAAGAATTGGGCAGGTTGTATTTGGTGAAACATGATGAAAGTTTGGGGAAAACAAACTTTCAAAATGACTTTCAGTTAAAACAAAATTATCTAGATATGTCACTGAAGCATGCAATGGGACACCAAGAACGAAAATGAAATATTTTCAAAAATAGTCTACATTTCTTTTATGCAGTATGAAATGCAAAATTGTTTCAATCATTATTTTGTTTTAGGTTCAAGCCCAAGAGTTTTTGACGCCACAGAGGTTTAAGAGTGAGGCCAAAATTACCGTCAATATAATTGATGTCAACGACAACAACCCAGCATTCATCCAGTCTGCTTACGTGCAAAGTATCTTCGAAAATGCTGCCCCTGGTCTTTCTATTGAAACAATAAGTGTAAGTAATTAAAAATCATATTGAGGTGCCATATGTTTGACTGGTGTGAAACCATTGAGGATTATTAACTCATTCACCCCTGAAGACACATTTGAACTCCTCCAATTCAGTGGTTGGAATAGTTCATTACAAATTTCAGGGGTGAATAAGTTAAGGGACACGTGTGGGGATCATAAAAAAAATTGAGAATTGTATTTTTGTGAAAATTTAACTACAAAGATGACCATAGCCATACGTGGCTTTAAAAGTGAATATAATAGACTCCTTAATGCCCAGGGGTGTAGGATAGCGAAATTCCACCCGAAGGGTTTTCAAATTTGGTTAAACCCAAGGCTTTCTAATGTGTAAGGTAAATATTTTGTAAAAGAATTAATTTCATCACGTCGCCTTCTCATTGCGGCATCAGAGTTTTTCCAAACTCGTGACGTCACGTCACGTCATTGTTGAGCCATTGTGTCGTTACATCACGTGAAATAAGATAGAAATTTCCTACAACCCTTTCTTACCCTGGACAGCTCTATCTTACTCACACGGAAATGAGAGAAAATGTGTTACTCTTTGTTGGATTTTTGAAGATTGTCAAATAAATCCTCGTTACAGGCCAACGATCCCGACTCAGGTGACTTGGGTAAAGCTGGTATAGTGTTTGGAATGACAGGCGATGGTAAAAACTTGTAAGTATTCAACATTCTCTCCTCCTAGAGGTTTTTAGTGAAATCTGACTTTGAATTGCATAATCTATATTTAGACCGCCTATTGAAGGTCATCCAAAATGTCAAGGTCAAATTTCCGGTCAAATTATATGACCTTTACTATCCAGATAAAAAAAAAAGTGTCACATTTTTCGTCTCGCCGCGACGAAGCAGCGGAAGCGAGACTATAAGGTGTTGGTTTTACTTCGATGGCGTCAACATAAAGTATTTGCGTTTAACTTAGTTTCACTGAAACTACAAGTGCTGGACCAACCAAACATGGACCATAGATGCATCTTTGGTAGTACATCTCAACCCATGCATCAAATGCTGGATGCGGCCTACCTTTCATGGTCCATTGACTTTGTCAGCATCTCTACCAACATTAAGTTTTTGCATTTATGTTAGTTTCTCTGAAATGTGCATTGATGGTCAAAGTGGGGCACAGGCGAGACATATCAATCTGAATGGCTTGTTTGAAATTAAAATAACTGCTGATATTGATCGGTTAAATTATTTGTATTGAAGGAGATATACAGTATATACTGGGAAATTTTGTGCTGTCAAAATTTAGCCCTTCACTAGTAAAATCCATATTCGCCCCGTGTGTTAACTCATTTACCCCTGGAGACACATTTAAACCTTTTCAATTCAAAAGTTGGAATAGTTCATTATGAAATTTCAGGGGTTTAGTTAATATCACCCTTCACATCTAATTGTCGTAATAAATTTACTTTTGTTACAGATTGCAAAAAAGGCGGATATTAAAATTGCAACAAACTTTTCCGGTAAACAGTACATGTAATTTATTAGGTCTTTCTTGACATGGATTTCCATTCAAAAGAGTTTTTCACAAACTTTAACTCATCCACTCCTGAAATTCCATAATGAACTATTCCGTCCTATGAATTGGAAGAGTTCAAATGTGTCTTCAGGGGTGAATGAGTTAAGTAAAGATGTTATTTTGATTGTAGTCCAACACTATTATGGGATGTTTGATATTTATGTAAAATTTAAATATCTAGATAGATATTTTGATGAAACTTGGTGAGGTTATATATTAACCAATTGCTGTGTGAACAGATTGTCTACTGAATTCCAAACAGTATTTTTCAAAGAAATTATTAGATTTGATGAAACTTCTTTAGAAATTTATAATATTTTAACCTGATCTGTACCCGGCTTAATCAAGATTGGCGTTTGGCAAAATGTATGTATTGAAAATGCAGACCAATGCCACAATCTGATCCATTCCTGAAACCAAAGTTCCAAGCCCATCTGTTCTTTTCACAAGTGCTGGCAACTTTTGTAGAATTTTCAGTGTTGAATTTAATAAATATGTAGCGGAACTGGACTGTGTCAATAGTCAGCGACCAGGTACTTAATTGGCAGAGTGTCTGTCTAGAGTTCAGAGGGTCCAAGGTTCGAACCCCGGTCTGGACGTTGCATTTCTCTTTCTCCCATTACTTACCTATATATGAAAAGCATCTTTAAAAAAAAAAAAAAACTTTTAACACAGACACAGGTGTCTGAAAGGTTTATATAGTGTTGAATTATTTCAGGAATAACCAGGAGTATTTTTAGGATGATTTGGTATATACTATGTGCACAAAGCGATTTATGAACAAAAATGCACTAAGTTATGAGATGTGTGTTTTATATCTAGATCCATATCCTTGTGAAGGTCATCATTATATTTTTGTAAGCTAAAGGTCACTAATCTGTCTGTGTCATATATATTCAGGTTCCAGTTGAATGGTCAGTCAGGTTTGGTAACAGTTGCAGACTGTCCGACTCCGGGAAGGGGGGACTGTATTGACTTTGAAAAGAAAAGGCAGTACGTTTTGACGGTCACTGCCCGGGACGAGAACGGCCGTGGACGAGCAGGAACAACCACACTGACCATCAACATTCTGGACGTCAATGACAACAGTCCTGAGTTTGTTAATAAGAACTACACTAGTTATATCGAGGAGAACCAACGCAACCCGAACCCTGAGGTTATTGTGTACGCCTTGGATAAGGATACTGTTGGAGGTCCTGTTGCTTACAGGGTCATCGCTGACCAGACCGGGATATGGGCGGTCAACCAATCTGGCTTCATATATTCTACCAAGGATATCCAGTACTCCGATACACCGGGCAATGTGGGATAGTAAGTGTTGGATCAAAAGATTTTGTAGAAAATTGTAATATAGGGGAGAAAGTGTGCTGGCAATATAAAAGGTAAGAAAATATAGTGTGAAGATATTGTATAAGAAAATACACTGTGAAAAAATTGTATATTTTAGAAAATATACAGTGAATATATTGTATTAGAAAATACACAGTGAAAAAATTGTTTATTTTAGAAAATATACAATGAAAATATAGTATTAGAAAATACACCCTGAAGATCTTTTATTAGAAAATACACTGAAGAAATTGTATTAGAAAATACACTATGAAGAAATTGTATTAGAAAATACATTGACAATATTTATGAGGGTAAAAAATCACTGAAAATAGAGGGTAAGACTCACTGACAATATAAACAAATAGAAAAGAACTGTATAACTAGGATAAAATACACTGGCAATATAGAGTGAAAAATACACTGGCAATATAGATATAGAGTGAAAAATCCACCGACAATATAGTGTGTAAAATACACGGGCAATATAGAGTGAAAAGTACACTGGCAATATAGAGGGGAAAGTACACTGGTAATATATAGTAGAAAGTACACTGGCAATATAGAGTGAAATATACACTGGCAATATAGAGTGGAAAGTACACTGGTAATAAAGAGTACACGGGCAATATAGAGTGAAAAGTACACTGGCAATATAGAGGGGAAAGTACACTGGTAATATAAAGTGGAAAATACACAGGCAATAAAGAGTGGAAAGTACACTGGTAATATAAAGTGGAAAGTACACTGGTAATATAAAGTGGAAAGTACACTGGTAATATAAAGTGGAAAGTACACTGGTAATATAAAGTGGAAAGTACACTGGTAATAAAGAGTACACGGGCAATATAGAGTGAAAAGTACACTGGCAATATAGAGTCGAAAGTATACACTGGCAATATAGTGTGTAAAATACACGGGCAATGTAGAGTGAAAAGTACACTGGCAATATAGAGGGGAAAGTACACTGGTAATATAAAGTGGAAAATACACAGGCAATAAAGAGTGGAAAGTACACTGGTAATATAAAGTGGAATACACCGGCAATATAGAGTGAAAAATACATTAGAAAATACACTATGAAGAAATTGTATTAGAAAATACATTGACAATATTTATGAGGGTAAAAAATCACTGAAAATAGAGGGTAAGTCTCACTGACAATATAAACAAATAGAAAAGAACTGGATAACTAGGATAAAATACACTGGCAATATAGAGTTAAAAATACACTGGCAATATAGAGTTAAAAATACACTGATAATATAGAGTAAAAAATACACTGGCAATATAGTGTAAAAAATACACTGGCAATATAGAGTAAAAAATACACTGGCAATATAGAGTTAAAAATACACTGGCAATATAGTGTGTAAAATACACGGACAATATAGAGGGAAAAATACACTGGAAATATAGATATAGAGTGAAAAATACGCTGGCAATAAAGAGTGAAAAAATAAACCTGCAATATAGAGCGAAAAATACACTGGCAATATATAGTGAAAAATACCCTGGCAATATAGAGGGAAAAATACACTGGAAATATAGTGTGTAAAATACACGGACAATATAGAGGGAAAAATACACTGGAAATATAGTGTGTAAAATACACGGACAATATAGAGGGAAAAATACACTGGCAATATAGAGTTAAAAATACACTGGCAATATAGAGTTAAAAATACACTGATAATATAGAGTGAAAAATACACTGGCAAAAAAGTGTGTAAAATACACGGGCAATTTAGAGTGAAAAATACACTGGCAACATAGTGTGAAAAATACACTGGAAATATAGTGTGTAAAATACACGGACAATATAGAGGGAAAAATACACTGGAAATATAGTGTGTAAAATACACGGGCAATGTAGAGTGAAAAGTACACTGGCAATATAGAGTCGAAAGTACACTGGCAATATAGAGGGGAAAGTACACTGGTAATATAGAGTGAAAAATACACCGACAATATAGTGTTTAAAATACACGGGCAATATAGAGTGAAAAGTACACTGGCAATATAGAGTGAAAAAATACACTGGCAATATAGTGTGAAAAATACACTGGCAATATCAATATAGAGTGAAAAATACATTAGAAAATACACTATGAAGAAATTGTATTAGAAAATACATTGACAATATTTATGAGGGTAAAAAATCACTGAAAATAGAGGGTAAGTCTCACTGACAATATAAACAAATAGAAAAGAACTGGATAACTAGGATAAAATACACTGGCAATATAGAGTTAAAAATACACTGGCAATATAGATATAGAGAGAAAAATACACTGGAAATATAGATATAGAGTGAAAAATCCACCGACAATATAGTGTTTAAAATACACGGGCAATATAGAGTGAAAAGTACACTGGCAATATAGAGGGGAAAGTACACTGGTAATATAAAGTGGAAAGTACACTGGTAATAAAGAGTACACGGGCAATATAGAGTGAAAAGTACACTGGCAAGCTAGAGTGAAAAATACACTGGCAATATAGTGTGTAAAATACACGGACAATATAGAGTGAAAAATACACTGGAAATATAGATATAGAGTGAAAAATACACCGACAATATAGTGTGTAAAATACACGGGCAATATAGAGTGAAAAGTACACTGGCAATATAGAGTGTAAAATACACTGGCAATATAGAGTTAAAAATACACTGGCGATATTGATAAAGAGTGAAAAATACACTGGCAATATAGTGTGTAAAATACACGGACAATATAGAGTGAAAAATACACTGGAAATATAGATATAGAGTGAAAAATCCACCGACAATATAGTGTGTAAAATACACGGGCAATATAGAGTGAAAAGTACACTGGCAATATAGAGTGTAAAATACACTGGCAATATAGAGTTAAAAATACACTGGCGATATTGATAAAGAGTGAAAAATACACTGGCAATATAGTGTGTAAAATACACGGGCAATATAGAGTGAAAAGTACACTGGCAATATAGAGTGTAAAATACACTGGCAATATAGAGTTAAAAATACACTGGCGATATTGATAAAGAGTGAAAAATACACTGGCAATATAGTGTGTAAAATACACGGGCAATTTAGAGTGAAAAATACACTGGCAATATAGAGTGAAAAATACACTGGCAATATAGAGTGCAATATACACTGGCAATATAGAGTGTAAAATACACCAGCAATATAGAGTGAAAAATACACTGGCAATAAAGAGTGAAAAGTACACTGGCAATATAGAGTGAAAAATACACTGGCAATATAGAGTGTAAAATACACCGGCAATATAGAGTGAAAAATACACTGGCAATATAATGAAAAATACACTGGCAATAAAGAGTGAAAAATACACCGCCAATATACAGTAAAACCCTGCTAACTCGAACTTGTAGGGTCCAGCTCAATAGTTGGAGGAATAAGAATCCGAGGTTCGACCAACGTTGTCATTTTTTTTATCAGTTGGGACAACAGACGGTACCAGCACTGCAAATATCGCTGATTGTAGATGATAGAAGAAAAAGGAAGTTTTATCAAGATGACAGCATTTATTAAGATTTAAAATAGTTTAACAATGAAAACATATGTAGCCACCGGTATTTAGAAAGTAAATAAAATTAAAAAAATGGATGTGTAACGTACTTGTCGTTTAGACATAGTCCGCCATACTGTAATCGGCTACATTAATTTAACAAAATATCAAAACGATAGGAACTCTTCAACCATTTTAAAATGAAGAAGAACTTGAATCCTTGTAATCATAATGTTGATTGATAACGAATTTAACTATCACCAGGTATTCATGCTTGAATATCTTTTGAGTTGGTTGAGAATCCGCAGTGTGATTTTCGCTTAATATTGCCATGCTGAAATATGGTTTTACACACCCAGTGAATTAACACTTCTGCCAAATCATTGATGTCAAATCATCAAAACACTTATATATAGGGCAATATAGAGTGGAAAGTACACTGTTAATATATAGTGGAAATTACACTGGTAAGATATAGTGGAAAGTACACTGGTAATATAGAGTGGAAAGTACACTGGTAATATAGAGTGGAAAATACACTGGTTATATAGAGTGGAAAGTACACTGGTAATATATAGTGGAAAGTACACTGGTAATATATAGTGGAAAGTACACTGGTAATATAGAGTGGAAAGTACACTGGTAATATAAAGTGGAAAATACACAGGCAATAAAGAGTGGAAAGTACACTGGTAATATATAGTGGAAAGTACACTGGTAATATAGAGTGGAAAGTACACTGGTAATATAGAGTGGAAAGTACACAGGCAATAAAGAGTGGAAAGTACACTGGTAATATATAGTGGAAAGTACACTGGTAATATATAGTGGAAAGTACACTGGTAATATAGAGTGGAAAGTACACTGGTAATATAAAGTGGAAAATACACAGGCAATAAAGAGTGGAAAGTACACTGGTAATATAAAGTGGAAAGTACACTGGTAATATAGAGTGGAAAGTACACTGGTAATATAGAGTGGAAAGTACACTGGTAATATAGAGTGGAAAGTACACTGGTAATAAAGAGTGGAAAGTACACTGGTAATATATAGTAGAAAGTACACTGGCAATATAGAGTCGAAAGTACACTGGCAATATAGAGTGGAAAGTACACTGGTAATATATAGTGGAAAGTACACTGGTAATATTGAGTGAGAAATACCCTTTAGATTTAAACACTGATCAATACAGGGAAGAAAATAGACTCACAATTTATATAAATTAGGAATTGCACTGACAATATAGGATAGATTTGTAATTACATCTGCATTATGCGATACTAGTAACCTTCTTTCAATTTAAGCCTGATCAGGTCAACATTTCATGTATATTTTTCATGTTTCAGTTTTATCTTCCAAGTGCAGGCCACAGATGGAAAGTTTTCACCCGTCAGCAACGTTAAGATCGTTGTTATCGTAAGTTTCATTTTGAACAGTTTTTCACTTTTCACTTTCAAATCGCCCTGTGTACGTGGTCCGTGGTCTTCATCAAATTTAACATGTAGGTTCCCCTTGGTCTGTAGTTGTGCATGTTTACTTTTGAGACTGATCAGATAATCAAAATGGCTGACAGGCAGCCATCTTGAATTTTGACAGTGAAGGTTTGTAATAGCTATTTCGCAATAAGGACTGGAGAGATCTTTCTCAAATTTGACATATAGGTTCCCCTTCGTCTCTCGTTGTGCATGTTTTCTTATATGAGACTGATCGGATAAACAAATCTTTGATTTTGACACTTAAGGTTTGTTAGTGCTATTTCCCAGGAAGTACTGGAGGGTGAATTCTTTCTCAAATTTGTATATGCAGATTCCCCACTGTCCTTTTTTGTTCATGTTTTTTGCTTTTGAAACTGATCAGATAAACAAAATGGTCGACTGGCGGCCATCTTCGATTTTTTACATTGAAGTTTTGTTAGTGCTATTTCTCAGGAATAACTTGAGGGATCTTTAATTCTCAAATTTGATATGTAGGTTCCCCTTGATCCCTCATTGTGCATGTTATATTTTGAGACTGATCTTAAAAAAAACTGTCCGAAGGAAGAACTCAACAGATTTTTCTCATATTCAAAGATCAGTTCTATGTCTTTCACATTAATTAAGTACTGTACTAGTAAATATGTGAAATGACAAACTCACTTTGAAGGTTGTCTTTTATACACAGCAGTATTAAGTTTAAATCAAAAGTTATCTTGAGATGCATTTACTGTTAACATGACTTGATCAAACAGATTAGAGAAAAAATCCAACTGACAAATAACTAATGAAGATGGTACAATGGTGGCCGCCAAGATCCCTCTGGGATCTCTTGTTAATCTTATTGGAATAGTTTCCAAAAAAAAATCATAGGACATTTTTTCTTTTCTTTTTAAAACTTGAATAAACTCCTTTTCAGAAACTGAAAAATCTGTCAACTTCTAAAAGAATTAGGATTATTTATGACATGGGTTTTAACCTACAATACAATTTCAGGCTGTTTAATAACAAATTTCTTGTAAGCTATGGATATAAGTATATGTAACGTTTATTTTTAACATCGCAGGACATCAACGATAATACGCCTACTTTCCCCCCTGCTATCTACGAGACAACAATCAGTGAAAAGACTGCTGGAGGTAAGATCAATGTCGCCACACTCTCCGTCTACCTTCTCTATATAATGTTAATTATCCCCACTTTCACCAGGTCTGTGTGTCTGTCCAACTGTCCGTCTGTCTGTCATGCTTCGTTTCCATGCAATGACTACAACAAATGTTAAACGATTTTCTTCAAACTTGGGTCACAAGGGCTCGGCCAAGATAGATGACCACTTTCAGGGGACCCTATTTGGCGGAGTTATGGTGAAAATTGATTTCGATGAAAATTTGTATATAGGGATATTTCATGTGGACTTCGAATTCAACTGCATCGGTTTCGTTGCCATAGCTACCACATGGAGGCTTCTGATTGGTCAAAATTTAGATATTGATTGATTTTGATGAAAATTTGTATATAGGGATATTAGACAACTGCGAATTCAACCACATAGGTTTCGTTGCTATAGCACCCATAAAGCAACCACAAGAAGGCTTCTGTTTGGTGGAAATTAAGATATTGTACGACTTTGATGAAAATTGGTTTCTTGGGGTATTATTTAAGGGGACTGCGAATTCAACCGCATAGGTTTCGTTGCCATAGCAACCAAATGGAGGTCGAAAATTAGATTTATTTTTAATTTTTATGAAAAATGGTTTATAGGGTCATTAGGGGACTGCTAATAAAACCGCATAAATTTTGTTACCATGGCAACCACACTGAGGCTTATGATTGGTCGAAATTTAGATATTGTTTGATTTGATGAAAATTGGTATATCGGGATATTAGGCACTGCGAATTCAACCGCATAGGTTTCGTTGTCATAGCAACCATATAGGTTTTGTTGCCATAGCAACCATATAGCAACCACAAGAATGCTTCTGATTGGCGGAAGTTCAGATATTGTTCGATTTTGAGGAAAATCGTTATAGAGGGGTATAAGGGGACTGCAAATTTAACCGCATAAGTTTCGTTACACGGAGGCTTCTGATTGGTCGCAGTTTAGATATTGTTTTATTTCAATGAAAATTGGTATATAGGGGTATTAGGGGACTGCAAATTCAATCGCATCATGCCGCTGCCATAGCAACTACACAGAGGAGTCTGATTGGTTGCAATTTAGAAATTGCTCAATTTCACTCGAATTTAGTATGTACATTGTAGGTGTACTATGGCAATGCGATCTTTTTCTGATGCATCTTTGCGACTATGGGGGCAGTTTGGGGGACATCTGTAATGGTCTCCCATTTCAATTAGAACTTGTTGCTGTAGATATTGTTAAGATGTTTCAACCAAATTCCATATGCACTCATTGCTAAGTTTGCCAACCGATGTGATTTGTGCATATTTACGAATAATCAATGAGGTCAAGTTTCAAGCTATACATTATGTCTCAACAGCACGATACTCGTATGTTTAAACCTAACCTCAATAATGTTAACCTACAATATGTCCTGCAAGCGGGGGATATAAATTCCACGAATTTGCTTATTACATGTACGGTTGTGTGACCACACAACACACCCAAAAACAGTTTGCATACACCGTCCCCACATCATTCGCACATGGTGCGCACAACTAAGCGATTTACCAATTGTTCACCCCACCATTTTTGCGCTCTCTCCACGCAAATGTGCGATAAGGTACAATATTGGTTGATCAATATTACGGAATGAAAAAACATCCGGAAGGCTCATATGGAAAAAGGAACACTGAATATATAAATTTCTCATGATATTAATTAAGATTATGTTCAATTTTACAATGCGTGTTACACAGTATAACAGTGAATGTTAGAATATCAAGAATGGGTTTGGCTCCCAGGTAACAGAATAGGTAAATACCTTTTTGATGAGTTTTACCTAAGCGCCCTGTGCCTGACATAGAGAGTCGATATATGATACCGTATGACTGTTGTGAAAACACAAATGGACGTCAAGTATTTGTTATTTGCATTTGTTTTGGTCTATGGCTCCCCTTCACCAGGATTTCCACACCTTGACGAGTTACGTAAGTGCCCTGGGTGAGGAAAACTATGGTGCAGGTAAATAAACAAAACAATTAATGAGGATTATAGTTTATGCTGTTTGTTCAAAGGTACAAGTGTGATCACTGTGAGCGCTACGGATGCTGATTCGCCAACAACAAACAATGGTGTAATCGACTACAGAATCCTTTCCGGTAATGATGGGAAATTCGCTATCGGCCTAACCACTGGCGTTATCACAACGACACCGGATGCGACCTTTGATTATGATGTTAAGAGACGATACACAGTACTGGTGAGTTGTTTACAGGATACTTTAAGAATTAACCTTCGTTTTGAGGGTGTACATGTATACGGTAGTCATGGTAACGAACATATTCTTTATGGAGCATGTTATTAGTATCAATCCCCATAGCGTTCTTTCATGCACTGTGTATACGTTAATTTATACACAGTTTATAACTACTAAGCTGAATAAGGGAGAGATTTGAATATATAAATGCACATTGAAGTCCTTGAACAGGATTCGCAAATAATTGAGGTCAAAGTTTGGCCCCTGTAGTTTTTGTCTCACCACCACAAAGTGAAAGTGAGACTAATAAGGTGTTGGTTTTCCGGCGGCAACGGCGGCAACATTAAGTTATTGTGTTTAGGTTTCTTTGAAAGTATAGATAAGTGCTACACCAACCAAACTTGGACCACAGATGCATCTTAGGTAGTACATCTCAACCCATGCATCAAATGCTGGATGCGGCATACCTATCATGGTCCATTGACTTTGTCAGCATATCCATCAACATGAGATTTTTGCGTTTTAAGTTAGTTTCTCTGATATGTGCATTGATGGTCAAAGTGGGGCATAGGCGAGACATATCAATCTGATATGTTCTGTTTTGTTTATTTTTTATGTTTGTTTCAAATAATCAAAATTTGATCAACAAGAGTTCTGAAGAAAATTACATACCAATGTGTGATTCATATAGGATAATTATTTTACTGTAGAAAAGTATTTAGACACATATTATTCCTCCCCTGGGTCGCGGTTTCAAGGCCTACGTGGGGCAGTCACCAGGTACTGGCCTCAGTTTGACAGTTTTTCTCCGGTTTTACTCCACCATCAAAACTACTAGATGGTACTATGTCGATGTAAAGTATTTATTTAATTTGAATTTAAATCAAATAACTCTATTCCGTTATAACTTCAATAATAACTTAAGTTGACATCCTCCTGACCTCATTCACCCCTGAAATTTCATAATGGACTATTCGAACATTTGAATTGGAAGAGTTCAAATGCATCTTCAGGGGTGAATGAGTTAAATTGCTTCTTCAAATACGCTTCCAGCTACAGAGTATGATCTTGATTTCTGAAATATCCTATTTTTTTACGACAGGTGATGGCTCGAGATCGTGGCACTCCCCCACGAAACGCCACCAAGATAGTTTACATTAACATCCGAGATGTCAACAATAAAGATCCATATTTTGAAGAATCAACGATGCAGGACAGTGTTTATGAGAGTAAGTAACATCCAGACAAAAATTATTTAGTTTGCGTTTTCATGCGTCTTGCCAGAAATGAGAACTGATAACTGTAGGTAAAATTAAATATTTTTGTATTTATCTTCTGTGATCTGGCTCTATAGAATAATGTTTGGAATCCATCTTTGATTTCAACAACAACAACCGATCTACAACTGAAAACGTCCAGGATGTTGGTTCTCTTCCACTCTGTCAGGAGTCCCCATTTTTACTTTAGGTAACAGTGTGATTTAAGTAATTAATTTAGAACTTTGACTAGATTAAATTCAAACCCGTCAGAATTCTACGGACTTGAATTTCAAGCGAATTAAGAGAAGGGTGAGAGAATTTGTTTCATTTGTTCGGATATGATTTCAGATGTTGCGGTTGGTTACTCTGTCATAACCGTGAAAGGACTGGATCCTGATGCCAATGCCGTGCTCCGATATTATTTCGTGGAACCGAAATCGTCAATCAGTCCTCTTGGTAACACCGTTGACAGAAACATCTACGATTACACGGTTAATATTAATTTTTATTTACCCTAACAAGGAAAATTATTATAATGTACACATAAAACTGTTTCATGCCTATATGCAGGGGTGTAGGATAGGAAAATTTCACCCAAGGGGTTTTCAAATTTGGTAAAACCTGCATGCTCTGTTGAGTGTTTTTGCACCAGTTTGAAAATCATGATGTCTGAATTATCCTATCCTACATCCCTGTGCATAAAAAAAGTCTTTTTCCCTCGTTTCACTAGAGCTTGCTCAGAAACCCAAGAAATGCATCACAATTACATCATTGGGGACATTGAAATATTACGATTTCGTGACTTCGCGTCATTATTGTCCCATTGTGATGTCACATACGTGAATTGGGGCAAGATAGAAATATTTTGCACCCCTTTTCTTGCCCTAGACAGTTCTGTTATTTACTCTCAAGAATTAGTGAAAACAATAAGTTCAACATGGACATCATGCACAGACCACGATTCAAACCTAGACCTCAAATTTTAATGCAGTCACTTTAACCAGCTGGGTTACCTGGGGAACAAAAGTGCTTTTGCCAAATTGCCCAACAGTTATTTCCAAAATGAAATTAAGGGGAGGATACTGTATTTACAAAAAGAATATGTAGTGGAACCTCTACAGTTTTGCTTGCAGAAATCCTTAACCCTTTCACCCCTATGTAACTTTAGTAGACTCAACCATGCATTGATATGGATGAGTTCATTATGGTCTACGGGGGTGAAAGGGTTAAAGGTCCAACAAAGTTTACCTTCAATGTGTCAAGCACATGCCTACCTGCACAACAGGGTTCAAACTCTGTCAAATATGCTTAACTCATTCACCCCTGAAATTTCATAATGAACTATTCCAACCTTTGAATTGGAAGGGTTCAAATGTGTCTTCAGGGGTGAATGAGTTAAGCTCTTGGGATGGACTGATACAAATTTGATTCAAGATATATTGGACAGAGTATTGCTTGGAACTTCTATTTAAAGGGCCCTGCAATAGAGTTGTGGATGCACCCTTTAAGTAACCACGGTGACTGGCTGTTTTGTCTGTCTGTCTGTCCCATCCACACTTTCGTTTCTGAAGATTATCAAAGAATGACTTTTTCGAAAAAAATAATTGACATGGTGATTACACTGTAAAGGTCAAGGTCACTTTTACTAAAAATAGACCATGGGTGATTGGTGGGGGGTGGGGGTGGAGTGGAGGGAGGTACGGTACAATCGGACACATGGTGGGACCGTTGCTGTCCTGTCAGTGTTTTAGCTAGTTGTGCATGGTGAGCAGGGGCTCATCAAATCTGTTACTATGTTTACAGAACCTGTTCACCGTGGAGGAGGCTTCTGGAATCGTCCGAACCAACAGTAAACTGGACAGAGATCTGACCTCTATATTAACCTATTCCTTGAACGTCGTGGACATCAGCGCCAACCCTCCACAGACAGGCACAGGTGACAACAGTTCTTCTCAAAAGTGACCACCTCTTTTAAGAGGAATAGGAGATTTCAGTCAAATCAGTCCTGTTGGCATTTTCAACTTTTTATATAGTCAGATTCCCGACATGAAAAGGTTTTTTTGGCAGAAAAATTATGTTAATATTAAATATGTATAATTAAATACTGTAAACTTACACATTTCAGTGGCAGACTGCTTTTTTTAAATTCATTTCCCTAGGTCATATTTTTATGTCCTTGTAGTATCTTTAAGGTAGAGAGTCCATTACTTTGTGTTAAATCTCCAAAGAAGAAGAGTTCCACTTTGTTTGGCCTTTTATCCTAACTAGAAGTAATGTAGCCTGATTAACTAAAGCAAAGAGTAATATGTATACATAAAAAAAAAACATTTATATATCTGCTCCTACGTCACACAACACATGTTCGGCTCCTCAACAGAGATTCAAACCCCAGACCTTTGATTTTAAAGCTTAAGTTGATGTTTAAGCTTCTCCTCCACACTTAAACCTTTTCACCACTGTAGACTATAATGGACTAGTCCAGATGAATGTATGGTAGAGTCTACTCAAGTTACCTAGGGGTGAAAGGGTTAATATTTTCTGCAACTTTACTGGGCATAATTTCAAAATCTTAAAAACTTGCAACCTATAATCAGTATTGTATGAATACAGAGAGGAAAAAGCATAAACTTTATATGAAAATAACTTGTCTGTATACAGACGAAAAGTAATTGGTCTTTCTACTTTAAGAACTGTTTTACATTTGTCTTCGCACTATTTACATTTTTCTGTTGGTCCTTTTGACAGGAACGCTAATTATTACGATTTTGGAGTACAATGACCAACCGCCGTACTTCCTGCCATTTATCAATCAGTCAATTGCTGAGGAACAGCCCTTTGGAACTTTTGTCATGGTGCTTCAGGCTCGTGACCAAGATGATGCCATCGCAGAATACCAAATTATCGAGGACCCCAACCAGTTCTTTGCCATTAATTTTGAAACAGGTAATGACTTATTTACACGTCTCCCTGTTGAACAGTAGCCGTAATCGCTCGTAATAGTTCGGAATAAGGGGCGGAATGGGTAAGCATGTTACCCACCCTCCTGACTGCTTGCAATATTAGAGTACAGTTGGACAAAATGTCTCCATGATTTTTGACAGCTGACTTTACTTGATTTGACCCTCTGCGGCTTAGTGAGTTGTTTCCTGCGGTTGGGAGTCGGGGAAACCGGTCATTTACACTCTTGGCTTGACAAAGGAAACTGACGCTTTTTTGGAATCTCGCAAAATAAGTTTTCAATTTCTGTTTGTGATCAAAACAGCCTTTAGCCTTTATTGCTCATAATAGCTAGTAAGAGTCATGTTTATTCATTGATGTAAATCAAATCTTTTCTTACAAGCATGTGTACAATAGTAACATTCATCTATGTACAATTATACAGACTCGTAACTTCAGCGTTATGTCTCAATCTTCCAGCTTAGTAACTTCAGCGTTATGTCTCAATCTTCCAGCTTAGTAACTTCAGCATTATGTCTCAATCTTCCAGCTTAGTAACTTCAGCATTGTGTCTCAATCTTCCAGCTTAGTAACTTCAGCTTTATGTCTCAATCTTCCAGCTTAGTAACTTCAGCGTTATGTCTCAATCTTCCAGCTAAGTTACTTCAGCGTTATGTCTCAATCTTCCAGCTTAGTAACTTCAGTAATGTGTCTCAATCTTCCAGCTAAGTAACTTCAGCGTTGTGTCTCAATCTTCCAGCTTAGTAACTTCAGTAATGTGTCTCAATCTTCCAGCTAAGTTACTTCAGCATTGTGTCTCAATCTTCCAGCTAAGTAACTTCAGCATTGTGTCTCGATCTTCCAGCTTAGTAACTTCAGCATTGTGTCTCAATCTTCCAGCTTAGTAACTTCAGTGTTATGTCTCGATCTTCCAGCTTAGTAACTTCAGCATTGTGTCTCAATCTTCCAGCTTAGTAACTTCAGCATTATGTCTCAATCTTCCAGCTTAGTAACTTCAGCGTTGTGTCTCAATCTTCAAGCTTAGTAACTTCAGCGTTATGTCTCAATCTTCCAGCTTAGTAACTTCAGCGTTGTGTCTCAATACCTGCATTATCAAAACCATCTCTCTGGCGTGTAAGGCATGGATACTTTCTGGCTGAAACAGTATGACCTATTTAACATGGTGGCCAAAACCAGACTCATCTACCACATTTGGTGCACTACCCAAATCGGTACACGGTCAGAAAACGGTTTGAATAGTACTTTGAAATTAAATTTGAGCATTTTCCTCTGACAGTATAACAAAAGAGATATTTATTAGCATTTCCACCGAATAGGTTTGTTTTCAGGAACATATTAAGAGTACACGATGACTTCAAAGTAAACATATCAGTAAACCAGTAAAAACAATGTATGTCGATGAAATTTTGGAGGATTTTGACGGGGTTATAAATAAAAGCATGTTCAAATGTTGATTTCTGGTCCTTATAACCGGATAATATAAAAGTGTATATATACAATTGTAGTTCAGTATGGTATTTATAAAAGCAATATATTTAGTCCTACTAACTGTATATTTACCATGTTATATAATATAGTGGAATGGAACCGTGCACATCAGCAACTAGTCGTCTATCTTTAGGCCAATTAACCTGTCATCGATAAACTTTCTTGAACGAATGAAAGTAAGGCTGACCGTTTGGACATGAATACCTAAGGCCCTGTACCAGCTGTCATAATGAGCTCTTCGTACGTGTAAAACTGGCCAAATGAGCATTGAGATAACACGTAACCCTCGGACCACGCAGGAAAGAGATTCATATCTTGAACATAAAATTTAGCCCATTCATTAATCTTTGGTAATGCTCACTACCTCAATCTTTGGTAATGCTTACTTACCTCAATCTTTGGTAATGCTTACTTCCTCAATATTTGGTAATGCTTACTATCTCAATCTTTGGTAATGCTCATTAGTACCTCAATCTTTGGTAATGCTCACTACCTCAATCTTTGGTAATGCTCACTACCTCAATCTTTGATAATGCTCACTTCCTCAATCTTTGGTAATGCTTACTACCTCAATCTTTGGTAATGCTTACTTCCTCAATATTTGGTAATGCTTACTATCTCAATCTTTGGTAATGCTCATTAGTACCTCAATCTTTGGTAATGCTCACTCCCTCAATCTTTGGTAATGCTCACTACCTCGATCTTTGGTAATGCTTACTTACCTCAATCTTTGGTAATGCTTACTTCCTCAATATTTGGTAATGCTTACTATCTCAATCTTTGGTAATGCTCATTAGTACCTCAATCTTTGGTAATGCTCACTACCTCAATCTTTGGTAATGCTTACTACCTCAATCTTTGGTAATGCTCACTACTTCAATCTTTGGTTATGCTTACTACCCTAATCTTTGGTAATGCTTACTTCCTCAATCTTTGGTAATGCTTACTACCTCAATCTTTGGTAATGCTTACTTACCTCAATCTTTGGTAATGCTCACTACCTCAATCTGTGGTAATGCTTATTTCCTAAATCTTTGGTAATGCTTACTACCTCAATCTTTGGTAATGCTTACTACCTCAATCTTTGGTAATGCTCACTTTATCACACTGTACAATAAAAACACTTTCATAACAAACTTCACGGGACCTAAGAAATTAAGAAGTTTTTTAAGGATCCCAGCAGTCCCACTGCATACAGTTAAAATGGTTGAACCAGGTCACGAAATCTGCCCAAATATAAAAAAACAAAATGATTCTATGTACCTCCTGTCTCTGTGAAATTTCGTTTTGATTGACATCCATTTTTCTTTTTTACTGAATAGGTACTGTGACCATCGCTAGGAGGATTGATTTTGAAGTCATAGAGTCGGCCTATTTCACGGCCCAAGTGTTCGACACCGGGACACCTAGACTAAGCGCTTCGACCACCGTCTATTTCACTATTGTGAATATCAATGACAACTCTCCGAAGTTTCTAGAGGTAGGTCCTCTGGCGTAAAGGATGAAACATTTTCAAAGTTGACAACTTTCATATATCAATTGGTAGGAAAAACAAATACAGGTAAAAATGAAAAAATTCACTATAAATATCACATGTGTTATAACTCCCCACAGGTTTTTAGCAGAAACGCAACAAGGCCAACCACAGCTCTTTCAGATTTCAACAGATAAGTGAAAAAACATATCCAAACAACGCTACATTTTTAGGGCCCCACATCAGAGGTGTATGCTCTATAGTAATCATTGGGTCTGTCTGTCTGTCTGTCTGCCAGTCCACACTTTCATTTCCAGAGATTATCTCAGAGTCTGAAAGAGCTAATCTTTATGAAGTTTTACATGGTGATCAACTGTGAAATGTAGATGTGCAATAGGGGTGTAAACAAGTTTCACGGTTAAGGTCAAGGTCAAGGTCACTGTTACTAAAAATAGCCGGGGGGGATGGAGGTCCAGCGAGGCACACGGTCGAACCCTTGTTGACCTGTAAATGTCTACAAGGGCTCGACCGTATGGTCAAATAAGTAGAACTCCACCCACAAGTAACTTCTCTAAATTTCATGAGGTTAGGTATATATATATATCACTTTGTCACCCTTCTAATTTATAACACTCTTTCTGATTGGATATCAAGATATCCAATCAGAAAGAGTGTTACAAATTAGAAGACAAATATAGACCCCACTCTGCCAGGGTCTATAAAAGCATGTGCAAGGGGAGATAACTCTAACTAGAATATCTCTTCATAACAACAAAGATGGTGTCGGAGTCGCACAATCGTTCGAGGTGTGCAAATCATTCACTGGATGAAATAACCTACACGCAATCTAAAACGATAGCAAATTCAACAAAACAGGCAATGAGGAGGCCGCTAGGGTGCTTATTGCAAAGATGGTTGTGTATTGTCCGAAATATAGCTGAGAAGATGTTTGGTAGGGCTATTTTGGTAAGCAATCAAGTACAACTCAAACTTACAAAGTGACTTATAATTTTGCAAGAAAAAATAAAACAAAAAATTGTCTGGGTGACAAATTTGTTATCTCTGGATAAGGAGGGGTCTACGAGCTCATAGACCCCGTCTGGTCTTTATAGACCCGTCTGGTCTTTATAGCTAGACCACGAGCCAAAGGCCAAAGGCTCAGGGTCTATAAAGACCAGACAGGGTCTATAAAGACCAGACAGGGTCTATGAGCACTTAGACCCCCTCCTAACCCTGAGATGAATAATAATATTAATCCTAATAATTGTCCCATCTCTTGTTAGTGTCAACTGTCCCTTTTTGTTTTGCTCCGAACATCCTATCCGTTCACCATAACTTTTGTGTCGTTTTCTTTTCAGTCATCATACATCACAAGAGTGCCGGAGCATTCACCTACAGGCACGTTTGTGATAAAAGTCAGCGCCACGGATATTGACAAGGGGGACTTCGGCGTTGTGCGATACACGTTGGGAGAACCCAGCTCCTTTGTTGATATCGACAGTATCTCGGTAAAGATAATACATCATTACTCAAAATATTAAATTTACATCTCTCTGCTGGTACAATTTAGTATGAAGTTTCATAAATCCCTTTGAAAGTCTTAATTTAGTGAAAATCAATTGGTTCAAGCTACTTCCTATTTTTCAAAATGTCTGTATAACAATGAAAATCAAAATATGTACTTATCACTTATGGATTGAAATCAATTTTCCAATAGCACAATGAAAAAAAATGTACGTACCAGGATACAGGATTGAAATCCGTGGTTTTTTTGCCAATAGCAGAATCCAGAAATCCATGTTGACTGGGAGATTTCTATTTCTAAACAAATCAAAGAAACTTTTGCTTTGCCGGAAGCAATATATATATGTCATGTGAAAAATCTGGGTTTTTTTTTTAAAGATTTGTCCTGACAAATGAAATGAAATTGTATTAAATGTACAACATCTGTCGGCAAAATTTCACATGTAAAACTAGATTTCGGAGACCAGTTTTCACAACCACTTCTTTTTCAGGGTAACATCACTGTCAAAGCTGGAGCCAATTTGGACCGAGAGACACTTGGCGACGTTTCCATACAAGTCACGGCTTCTGACAGTCCAAACAACCCGAACGTCCGGAGATTTGCCACCACAACAGTAAGTGCACTTATAACTGGTGTGAGAGAGCTCTGACCCTCTAACTTAACTTTCCTGATGTTACCTCCACAGTTAAGTATTATAATGAGGTATATTGGATGAAGCTTGTTCATCTGGCTTTCTTTATAACTATGTCCATCGTTCTTAACATTTATCTAATTTTAACAAAACTTCATATGCATGATTTGTCTGTCAAGAAATTGCTCCTGTGACATTCATACTCGGTGTGAACATTTTTACCCATAGCTATTGCCTTTTTTGTTACTTGGCTGCTTTAAGCCCTGTCCAGACAATTTTTCCCAACTTTCTGTGAGAGATGCATAAGGAATATACAACTATTACTTTTTGGGATTCAAGATGGCTGCCATGTCCTCTGATTGACTGAGACAATAATGATCATAACTTGACTTGGATGATACTTTGAATGGTCGAGTGGAGTGCATCAGCATGTCTATGGCTTACGTTTTCTCTGCTATCCTATCTCTTATGCCGTCTTTTCCACCCTCTGCATCTCCTAGCAATGGAATTCCCCTTTCACTCCGCTACTAATCTGTCTCTCATCTGTCTCCCGGCCTTCCCAGTTTTGACGATTCAAATATTGTCATGTTCCTTTAAAATGTAGTCCTATAGGGACCTCTCTAAAATGTGTGAATTCCTATTTCGTGATTTGGAATATAGAAATATGTGACTATTGGGAAACATTTTCTCGTCAATTTATCTTTGCACAGGTGTACATTTACCTGGATGACATCAATGACAATCGACCAAGGTTCACTCAGGCCCATTACTCCACCACCATCGTGGAAACCATTCCTGTTGGGACCAGCATCCTTCAGGTCCGGGCCACTGACCTTGACATTGGTTTGAATGCCCTCATTGGCTTCGAAAAGATTCTGGGCAGTGGTGATATCGATGGTACGTACTGTAAAAACATTGATTTTTGAATTTTTGTTGTTGTGTGAAAATTATATTTTTGGTGTTTAGCAAAAAAATGTGCACGTGAATCAGAGAATTTTTTTTGCTCAGTTTTACAGCCAAATAAAAGTCTTGTTTCCCTTCGCTAAAAAGTGTCTTATTTTCCCAAAATGACCAAAAAATTAGGACGATATTCCCAATTTCCGTAAAAATAGTGCTATATTCTCCCAATTCACAAAGAGTCAGGCTGTTAAAAAAACCCACTATGAATATATATCTATAGAATATATGCATTTCAGAACCATTACAAACGCAGAAACAGTTGCAGTTAACATCAACATGCTTTCTATCAACTAGGCAATAACTTGGCTATACCTTTATATGTTTGAATTGTTCGGTAACATATTCCTAGTATGATAATTGACATTTAAATCAAAACGATTAAGGATTAACTTGAATATATTTTTTATGTTATGGAGATATAACACACAAAAAACGGAGTGTACTCTGTTTATGATGAGAGTACACTTCGTTTTTTTGTGTTATAGCTCCATAACATAAAAAATATATTCAAGTTAATCCTTATAATTTAATCTACTATACACAATCCCTGTGGAAATCAACTTTTATTGATGGACTCTTTTCTGTTAGAAATTATTACGCCGCTGTATCAGCCAATCAAAAGCGACGTTACAAATGGCGACGGTTTTTTTTATGTTATGGGATGATAACATAAATTTTTAGGCCAATGAAAAGGTTTGTTACAAGCAGATTAAATTATTCACCAATATATGAAACTATCTCCTTTCAGTGGAAGGAGAATGTAGAATAAGGTCCTGCTTTCTATTATCATTTGATTTTTCAAGAAAACATTTAAGAAATATCTATTTCGGAACTTTTCCGTGTCATTGCATGTGACAGTCTATTTATTGTTATTGTCATTGTCAATTCAGTTAATTTTTTAACGATAATCATTGGAACATCACTTATCAATATATATATGCTTTATCAGTTGTTTTTTTTTCAAGTTCAGCTATAATTTATCTAATGTGCTAGATAGATCTCACTGCCGACAGAAGCTATAAATCAGTTTCTTTCCTTTCCCAGAATTCTTCAGCATTCGTAAACGCACAGGTGCTATTGAGATACAGAAGAGTCTGCTGCGTAACTCGGGAGTGTACTCGTTTAACGTAACAGCAACAGACATGGATGGTCAGGGGCCATTTTCCGCCACAGCTAGCGTGAAGATCACTGTCTTACAGGCAACCAACTCTTACCCCGAATGGAGAACCCCTCCTTTTGCCAATATGAGTATCGACGTTCTTGAGGCGAGTTCCTAAAACCTTGAAATGGTTTTCACCAAACATTGACATTTTGGTTTTAATAATTAGTATTGCAAATTTAATGTACTGTAAAACCGTTCATTTATGTGGGCTTAAATTTTCACAATTTCGATCCAAAATTTTGAAATAATATTGATACAGAATTATAATTTCACGATCTGGACATGTGAAGGAACTAAATTTTCGTAGTAATTTCACAAACAGACAGGACCCTCGGCATTTCAAGTGTCAAGTAGTCGAACAAATAGGCTGCTATATTATAGTACATTGAACAGCAACAAGTAAATTTATTCTGTTAAATAAATCATCAACAAAAACTATTAGATGTTTGATATAATCTTTTTTCAAACAACATTAGGTACTCTTTACTTATACCCAGTATGCATTGTCACAGCCTCAGGGACACTATTTAATGACGACGTTAAGGTTATGAATTTTTCATGGCAGTTAATTTCACTTTTTAAAATATTTTTCTGCGGATCTCTTTTTCGTGATCTAACTTAATTGACCCATGAAATCGCGAAAATATCCTCCCCACAGAAATATCTTGCTAGACAGTATTGGTATTTATTTACAGGTACCCTTTTTGAACGTCTTGTTTATGTAGGTTTCTGGATTATACAGGGTTCAATGCTTTGGACCTTCTTTTTAATTCTACTGCACTTGGCCACAGTGATAATGGGGGAAAAAAATTCAATTTCATATTTGAATGTTGGTCAATACTGAATTTCCACTTCAGTAGATGCTCCGTTTATGAAGGCATTTTGATTGTCTTAATTAGATTATTGAGTAATCATTCAAGCTTTCAAAAGACAAATTTAATATGTCATAAAGGACTTTATAGAAATACAAAGGGACTATTTATATAACTGCTGAAGGACAAGATACACTCAAGTGAAGGACGAAATTTAAAAAAAAAAAAAATGGAAATTTGAAATCTTGAATTCTGAAATAAAAAAAATGCATCTGAAAAAAAGAATGATTTGGTTACAAAAGACTTGTTAATTTTACAGAGCCAGTACCTCGGAATGCTGGTTTATGACGTACACGCCAGTGATGCTGACCGTGGAGTGAATGGTGTTGTCGACTACGGTTTCTACCACAACGGCTTGTACACAACAGCTACACCAGAGTTCATGATAAACTCAATCACCGGAGTCATCCGAGCCCAGAGGGTGTACGATCGGGAGGAAACTGACCGCTATGTGGTGAGTAAGACTGACCACAATGTGGTGATTGAGTGGATCGAGACACTGCTATGTGGTAAGACTGACCACAATGTGGTGAATGAGTGGATCGAGACACTGCTATGTGGTAAGACTGACCACAATGTGAAGAGACTGACCACTATGTGATGAGTGAGACTAGTACTGACCGCTATGTGATTATTTAGACTGACCGCTATGTGATAAGTGAGAGACTGACTACTATGTGATGAGTGAGACTAGTACTGACCGCTATGTGATTGTTTAGACTGACCGCTATGTGATAAGTGAGAGACTGACTACTATATGTGATTATTTAGACTGTAACCTCTTTGCGATGAGTTCTAGACTGACCAATATGTGATCAATGACAATGACCACTATTTAGTAAGACTGACCTCTATGTGGTGGTGAGACTGTGACCTCTATGTGGTATTAGACTTGACTGTTATGTGGTAATTTACACTGACCTCTATGTGGTGGTGAGACTGACCTCTATGTGGTATTAGACTTGACTGTTATGTGGTAATTTAGACTCACCACTATGCAGCATGAAAGACCACTTTGTAATAAGCTGGAGTAACAAGCTCATCTTGAGGATAAATGCTAATAAATATTAGAACTTTATTGTTTGAATAAGGACAATAAACAGGCAGGATTGACACTGCCTAGAAACAGAAACATTACTTCAGTTCCTTATGAAGGTCGAGAAGCTGAAAATTTGAATCTGAGAACTTCATTTTTATAAAACTTATAAACTTCTTTAAATAGAGACAATGTGTTTGTAATGTTATAGTCATGTGATACGCCTCGGGTGACAATGGGTTTCTCGGGTTGACAATATTCACCGTCACCTGCTAATGAATGTCATATCTATTTTAATACACCAAAAGTCTTTGTAGCTCAGAAACGGCAGCAAACCTCGATAATGACATCTTGTTTGTTGATAGTCTGCTGTTTACAATCGCTATCGCACCGGCGCTTGATGAAATTGGCTGTTGCCGTCAAACGTTCTTGTGACCATCACGGTGGGGAAACGAAGCGGTGCACGCACATTTTTTGCGCATGTGATATTTTTCACTGTCTCATGACAATATCACCCGGGCCCCTTAAAACCAATGTATTTTTGGAGAGTGACAGAGATTTTTGACTAATTTTCTCCCAACCAATCAAATAGCTAGAAATTCACTTGAGGTGTAACAATTTACATTGTCTCATTGTTCCCGGTAAAATAACAGGTTTAAAATGAGAGTTGTTTTCTCAGCTGCTGCTGTCAGCCAAGGATAGGGGAACCCCAGCTCTGGAGTCCACCCGTTTCCTGACTGTCGTAGTCCGTGATGTCAACGATAATCCGCCAGTCTTCCCAATAAATACGGTAAGTCAATATAATATGATTGATATTCTGATAAGAAATATATGAGGCTGTCTGATCAAGAAATTGCAAAATTCCTGACTTCACAATTTATATTGGCACAATATTTTTCGAAATAAATGTCTACTTTTTCTAATAAGTTTCTACCATCAGTTGTAAATTAAAATATCATGCAAACAATTAATCTTACTGATTGTAAAACAAACATGCTGGGTGATAAGAAAATCCTTTGTAAACATTTTGAAAAGTAATTTTGTGAAATTAGATGGCATGTTTAATAGAAGTAATCCAAGACATTGTCCATGTAATCCACAATATTGTCAAGGTAATCCACAATATTGTCCAGGTAATCCACAATATTGTCCAAATGATCCACAATATTGTCCAAATGATCCACAATATTGTCAAGGTTATCAACAATATTGTCCACGTTATCCACAATTTTGTCCAAATGACCCACAATATTGTCAAGGTTATCCACAATATTGTCAAGGTTATCCACAATATTGTCAAGGTTATCCACAATATTGTCCAGGTAATCCACAATATTGTCAAGGTTATCCACAATATTGTCCAAGTAATCCACAATATTGTCCAAATGACCCACAATATTGTCCAAATGATCCACAATATTTTCCACATTATCCACAATATTGTCTGTTCTGCATTTTCCAATCGAGTTAAATATTGCAGTGACATATAAAAAAAATCTCACAAATTTCATTTCTCTGCAAACAATTACTCATTTAAATGGGTTTATTCATTGGGTAACTGTTGCTCCTGAAATTTTGATTTTCATGCATACTGCTGAATGTTGTTTTAGGTAGGGGAGACCATTGATGTTGAAGTCCAGGTTCCAGAAAATGCAAACATTGGTGTTCTGATCACCAGGCTGGTAGCTACAGATCGGGACTTTGAATCGGAAGCTGTCAAAATTTACTATTACATTATAAGTAAGTTAGCATGGCTAGTTTCACACTGACAAACTGGAGTTCACATTGTTTATGAAAGACATCATTACCTTAAAATTCCATTCAAAGAATTGAAATATAGGCATTTAACAAATAAATCTTTGGATACTGATTTCGCTTTCATAAGATAATCTCTCCTGATCGGAATTGGAAGGCATATGTGAACCAGTGTCATTTGACCTTAACAGTTATGATGGCATGTGACCTAAACAGTTATGATGTCATGTGACCTAATTAACAGTTATGATGTCATGGGAGAACAAATATCAACCTGCTTGCATGTAGAGATATTCTGTGTACTTATTCACACCTGGTAAGGGTTTGAGGGAGATGTGCTTCATATAAATAAAATTAAAAAATCTAAATATCTTGGTTTGGGAATTAGATGAATCGTAACAACTTTTTCTAATACTGTACATCAAATTATTTGCATGTGATGCACTTTTTTTTTCTAATTTCCCCCTTTTTATTTTTTTTCATATTTATCTCCATGCTAATGCTATCACATAAGTGTGTGGTATTTTTGCCGTATATGATGAAAGATTTGCCTCCTAATTTTTCGTGATTTCATAATCTCTTGGAAAGAGTGAAAATTAGATACCTGTGCAAAACCCCGGGTATATTGTTAATTTTTATCAAGAGATTACAGTCCTAATTTTTATCAAGAGATTACAGTCCTAATTTTTATCAAGAGATTACAGTCTTTCAGTTTATATGTCCAAATGGCAATTCGAGTAGACTTAAGTCGCCGCACAGGGCGCTTACTTCAGAAGCTACTTTGAAAAACATTAACAAATCAGAACTGTTTTGTCATCATACAGTACAGTACGTACTATTATTTTTTGCAGGTGGCAATGAGGGGAATATGTTTAACTTGAACAAGACAACCGGAGAACTATTCTTGGCCAGGACACTAGACCGTGAAACAAAGAGCATCTTCCTCCTTGACGTTCAAGCCACCAACAATGTCAGCGACTACAGTGTCATCACCAGCCGTCGTCGACGTGCCGTCGATCCGAGCATCGTCACAGTGAAAATCCTCGTCGGTGACACCAACGATGCTAAACCCACATTCACCAAAGTACTATATCGTGGCTGTAAGTGTACAAGGAGGTTTTAGGAAAAATAGGAAGTAGTACATGTATTAGGAATTTCCAAGGGGATTTTGGGAACTTCCACGATCTTGGAGTTAGGAATATTTGATTGCATATATAGACAAAGGAGCACTGCGAAACCACTTTTCTTATGTCTATTTACATGTGATTCAGTGAAAGAGATTTAAAATATTCTTATTAATGATAAAAACTTTGAAACTAATTACTCTTTTGGATTCAAATTTAAAGATTCGTCCATGTGACCTGTTGTAGATTCATTCGTCACAAGCGTGAGCTGTATTTCACGCTATTTCCATTTAAACTCCACAACGAATCACAGGATTCGCATTCAGCCATCATTAGAGATAAGATTGGATATTCTTCCGAGTGACCAAAAAAATAATTGGCTTTAAAGGTGTCTCAAATGGATCAACATTCAGCCATTATTAGATGGAATCAAATATTCTTCCGAGTGACAAAATTTATTTTCGGCTTTAAAAATGTGTCCCACAGATATACATTCAGACATCATTAGATGGAATTAATTATTCTTCCGAGTGACAAAATTTATTTTCGGCTTTAAAGGTGTGTCCAACAGATCTACATTCAGCCATTATTAGATGGAATTAATTATTCTTCTGAGTGACAAAATTTATTTTCGGCTTTAAAATTGTGTCCAAAAGATATACATTCGGCCATTATTAGATGGAATTAATTATTCTTCCGAGTGACAAAATTTATTTTCGGCTTTAAAGGTGTGTCGAACGGATCTACATTCGGCCGTTATTAGATGGAGTAAGTGATGCTTCTGAGCGTGTAACATCTAGTGTTGTGTAACAGGTGACAGAATTTATTGTCTATTTATAGGTGTGTCTACCCGGTCTGCCATTGGTCAGAGTATCATCCAAGTGCAGGCTATCGACGTGGACTCCATCGACATCAGATACAGCGTGGTCTCGGGGAATACCGAGGGCCTGTTCCATGTTAATGAGATCACTGGCATCATTTCCAACAGAGTGCTGATGTCAAATACCAACAATCAAGTGTACAACTTACAAGTCCAGGCGCGGGACAGTAACTTACAGGACAACGCCGATGTACAGGTGATTCTTGAAGGCCGCATTCGTTTTTCGCAATCCAAACGGTTGAACCGGTTGGACGAGAGTTGTTCGTTTATGAAATTAAGGTCGGACCTAGCAATCTGATGCTTTTTTTTTATGCGAGCCTTGACAAAGCCTTGCAATTAAGGCCTGCATAAACATTTGCAGGTCTGTCATGATTTAAATCCGAAAATGTTACATTTAAAAACAGACAAACCAGTTTAACCGGATACGCAAAAGTGGCATTACTGTTTCAGCGGTAACACTGTGAGGGACTATAAATTAGCTGTCTATTTGTCAGTGAATTACTTTCTCCGTAGGATATTTCATAAATTATGTCGCCTACAATTGCCAAATTGTCAATGAAAATATCTCATGGGATAGCGGAGTGTGGCAAGTTAAATTTGGTCTAAAGAGTTGTGCCCCTTTAATTGTTTTCACTTTATGGGCAGGATTTGGATTGCTTTTTGATGCTGTACTTTTGAAATGAGTGACCGATGTTAAGTAACATGTTCTACAATGAGAGTATAATGTAACAACATTATTTTTTATTTAATGTCTACCATACTTTCTTTCAATAAATATTTCTTTAAAAAAAATCAAAAAATTCTTTTAAAAAAGGGGGTCAGGAGTTATTTTTTATTTTTTTGAAAATGTATACCATATTTTCTGTTCATAAATATTTCTAAAACATCACAAAATTCAACGTGAGCTTTTTATTCTTTTTAAATTTGACAGATATTTGTGACACAGCCTGACAACGGTGTGACATTGGTCATCAAACAGCCGGCGTCTGAAGTGAGACTGTTCAAGGAACAGATACAGAAGTAAGTAAGAATGCCGACCATGTCAAAAACTGGCCTAGTTAATCCCACTGCATGATTGGTAGAGGTGACTTACATGGAACTCCATGTCATTGTAAGGAGTTGAGCTATTCTATCACTGATCAGTAAGTAGGCTTACAAAAAAGGGCCTATCTTATCCAACTGCAACGATGGTAGGAGGTTACTATAACATGGCACTTGTCAGGGAAAGTCTTTTATATTCGCACCATACTATGGTTATATTGAGTCCTACACCCGATTAGATTTTGCTGGTCATTGGTGCAGGATGAAGGGTCAAAGGTCATGGGCAAAGATCACACTTGACAACGTGTTGGGGGCAGGCAGGGGTATATCTGTTTGAGTCTCTGCTTGCTTTACTTTTATTTTATTTTATTTTTTTTTTTTTTTCATTTCAGATTACTGGAGAGTTTCACAGATGCAAACAATGAGCCCATCTTCACTTTTGTGTGTTTCAATTCTATAAGTGACCATGTACTGGCTTCAGGAGATACAACCAGCCAGTGGTATGTACATGTACATTAAAACCTGTCTATAATGACCACAACACAAAAATGGTCCTCCTAGACAGTTTGTTTAAATATGTAACAAAGCACTTAGGGATATAGTTACAAAGTATATAGTTCTAATAGAGATAATACATAAGGAATAATACATGCCGTTTTCCATATCACACCCAGTATCAACCCGAGACTGCAATATCAGCCCGCTGGCTGATATTGGTCGAGGGTTGATACTGGATGTGATATGGAAAAAGGCATGTTTTATTCTGTTTATTACTTACTTACTAATAAAAGCTACTATCTTATGATCTATTTTTCTTTTGAAATATTGAAAAACGAAAAATTTCCAAAAGGGGTGTGATACAGGTTTTGGGGTGTGATACGGCGGGGGCCGATACAGCTTTTTGGGGTGTAATACGGTGAGGGCTGATATGGGTTAGAGCAATTGTGTCGTTTCGCATAAACAAAAAAAAACATATTTATTAATAAGTATGTAATAAATGTTAATATTGGTAAAGCTTCTATTTACATAGAACTGCTCTTCAGTTCTGCCATTTTGAAATGTATATTATCACCATTTGATTTTTTTTATAAATAATAGCTTTTTAAAATTATTTTCAGTACAATATGAAATGCATATTGTAGTGTATTTTCTTTTTTGAATTGGATATTAAAAATAACAAGAAAATACAAAAAAAAAAGAGTATATATATTACAGGGTCAAACTTGAAATCTACCTACTGCCTTTTCACCACTTTACAAATGTAGTTATACAGGAATTGTGAATGCATAGTATCAGAAGGAAAGATGGTTAACTTGCCACAAAACAAAACAAAAATAAGCCAGAAAAACTTCTTTAGGTTTACTTATCTTTATCTAAAATGGACAATATTCTAGCCAAGGTGAGGAAGTCTTCTTTTAAATAATCTCTTGTGCATCGGTACTGTTTATCTTACCTTGAGTATCCCTGTCCCAGTGCTCCGTTGTTTTTCCTATAATAAACAGTAACCTTTCCTTAACTTGCGCTTGGATATAACCGTAGCACTGTTTGGACAGGGCACTTCCGTTGACCGGGTAGCTCAATCAGTTATATTAAAGCAGTCGGAAGTCCCAGGCTAAATTCCGTGTCAAGCTCTGCTCAATTTTTACACTCGGAAATCTTGTAGATTATATTTTGTTAGTTTGTCTTTTTCATTTCTCATAAAAGACCCACAAGATATGGTTTTCTTTTGTGATATGATTTATCAAAATTATAGTAATGCTGGAAAAAACAGTTTCCAACACTTAGTTTACAATTTTAGCACTGGTATGGGAACCCTTAAGGCTAACACTGTCCTGTACGGGATACGATTTTGTTTTGTAGGGCAGATGCCACGATCTCCACGGGATGCGCCAGATGCAGTAACGGTGGAGTGGGTGTGTTCAGCGGTGCCCAGCTTCTGTATGAACTCCAGATCTTAATGAGTCAAAACAGTGATGGCTTTGACCTTCTGTACATCCACGAACTCATGGTAAGGTCAAGGTCAGGGCAAAGGTCAAAACTACATATTTACATCTCATAGGGTTTGTATTAACAATATTGGCGCGTGTAAGATCTTTTATTTCAAGAAGGTCAAGTCTTAGTGGAAAGGTAAAATATGCGACGGCTTTATAATTTGACCTTGTCTACATCCATGAACTCAAGGTAAGGTCAAGGTCAGGCAAGATTACATATTTACATCACGTAGGTTTTCATTTGAACAATATTGGTGTGTATATCCTTTAAGAAGGGCAAGTCTTGGTGATAATGTCCAAAATTATAAGATCTTCCACATTTTACAAAGTAAAGTCACTTCTGAAATAGAAGTTGTGGATAGTTTTCATCGCCGATGAGAAGGTCAAGGTAATATTTTACAATTACTTTATGATTTTGATAGAAGGTAATATTTAATAGAAGGAAAACAGAAATTGAAAAAATTCTAATTGCATGAGAATTTAAGGATTAACAATTACCTAAAGCCTGCACTAGATTGGCTATTTTACATACAGTAAAACCTCGATATAATGCCCCTCGATTACCGCCCAAATATTTCAATGCCCATTTTTTCTTGTTTTCGAAGGAATTCCTTTACACATTTCCCTCAATTTATCGCCAAACCCCTTTATAACGCCAATTTCTCTGGACATATGGTGGCAGTATACCAAGGTTTTACTGTATTATCAAAATGGATGCTGCTAGCTTAAGAATATCAATTTTGACGTTTTTTCTAGTTGGCCACGGAGAAGGAGAATAAATTGGATCGTACTCCCACGCTTGTTGTGATGATCCTCATCATCGTTCTCATCGTCGTCGGCCTCTTCTTCCTCATCATTGCATGTTACTGCATCAGGAAATCGTAAGTAGAGAAAAACAGAAATTGTTGGACAGTAGTAATGGGAGTGATAATTTTCAGAGACTAACGTTTGACAAGAAATATTGGTTAATAACTCATTCACCCCTGAAGTCACATTTTGAACTCTTCCAGTTCAAAGGTTGGAATAGTTCATTATAAAATTTCAGGGGTGAATGAGATAATAGCAAAAAGAAATGTCTTCTTTGAAGAAGTAGAAATATAACTTTATTTTTTTTACCAGGGGAATTTTTAGCTCGGGTCGGAAGGTCAATATTCATGATGAACTGCATCACTCGATGTCATGTGCAATAAAGGAATTTGCGTCCTTATTTGCTTGATAAGAAGAAGCAATTAATGAAAACACCAGTAATTTTTTTATCTAAATATTTCAGTTAAGAAGAAGCAGGAATTTGAAATATGTAATTGCGTATTTTCAAGTTGGAATTTAATACCCATGCAGGAATATGTCATGCCGTTTTTTCGCCCATTGACGATGCGAGTCAATGAGGGCCACAATAAGTCATGCGCAATACAGGAGTCAATTCTTCATGTTGCTGCAAATATAGTCAAGATGTTTATTGTGGCTACGGTATATATAATCCAGAGGGTCGTTATCAGTATATTGTATATACCTGGTATATATAGAACCGTTTTCCTATACGATTACAAGCTTCAATAATCAGGAAACAGATCTATTGCTGATCACCAGAGGTTTATGGTGCATTTTTGAAGGGGGGAGGGGGAATGAATTTCTTTATTTTATTGTCTACTTTTAAATGCGAAAAGGTTTCATCAGTACATGGCGTTATACATACATGTGAAGATAACTGTAATATCAGTTTATAAAACATCTAAAAACTGTTCAAATTAGAATGTACATATGGTCAATTCTCATGGGGTGCTTGATATTTTATTCAAATTTGAGAGAGAGAAAAAATATATCTAAACCGACCTTGAGGAAATTACTTTACCAGGTATATTTAATGAAAACAGTACATGGAAGTCATTTCTTTAAACGGACATAATCCATGAATTCTTAATCAGATAAGGGAAATGTCTATAAGTGTATGACTTTTTATTCTGTTTAAAATGTACTCGAGGACAAGGACATTTTCTTTCACAAATATTCTGGTTGGTCCCATTTTTACAAATGTTCAAAGTTCTGTACTGCTTACATGTGAACGATCTGAAGTTAAAAATGTTCCTGAAGTTAAAGTACTGCTGGGTCTCCTCGGGAAGTCGATGATTATGTGAAAATTCTTGAAATTTGTCTTGGACAAAACACAGGACCTCAGTGAAAACTGTTCTTGATTCAATATTTTCTCATTAATCTTTTCAGCACACGGTGAGTTCATTTCATGGAAATACATTCAACCCATTTTTATGAATGTATATGAATATTTCAGCTTCTGCTTAATACAATATGTACACAAATATACATATACTCGCATTTAAATATGTTCATTTTATTACTGGCAGAGCTAGTATAAAGACCCATTTGATAAATCCCTTTTCTCGTAATGATATATATGTTCATGTTTCTATTGGAAGGGATTTTAACAAATTTGATTGAATACTGATTGCAAATGCAAAAATTCAAATGAATATCACAGCATGCAAATTGAAAAGCTAATTGAAAAACAGCAAAATATTTGTCAAAAATTGCTTATGAAAATAGATTTATAGAATTATTTTCAAGAAAATAAGATGCACTTTTGCATTTTGCATATAAATAATTGCTTCAAATTAACCACAGCACAATTTTGAATTGAATATTTTATTTGAAATAAATTGCAAAAAAAACAACATAATTGATTGTGTCTCATCATTGTTTCATTTTTTTGTGTTTCTTGTTGGTTAAACATGAACACAAGAAAAATGGTGTCACTGAACTGTCATGGATGTGCACAAGAAATGATGATGTCACTGAATATTGCACACATAAATGAGCTATAGAGGCAGGCTTAGCTATAATTTTGCACTTTAGACCCCAACCGGGGGGACTATAGGTTTTGTCTGCGTCCGTCTGTCCGTCCGTCGCCGAAATCTGCAGGTTAAGGTTTGGGTTAAAGTTTTGTAATGGCTTACCATTCGCTTAATAATGATGTTAGGATGCTGATTCTTAGCATAGAGGTTCTTTAGTGGTCTAGCATTAATGCTGTGGATTGAAAATGGAAAATATTTAATTTTGTTTTGAATTTTTGACATGTTTTGGACTTAACTATCTTGGCCAATATCTGCAGGTTAAAGTTTGGGTAAAAGTTTTGTAATTGCTCACTGTTCACTTTATAATATCGTTAGGATGCTGATTTTATGGACAGAGGTTCTTTAGGGGTATAGCATTAATGTTGTTAAGTGAAAGTGAATAAATAATCTGAAGGTTAAAGTTTGGGGGGCCGGTAGGGGACATGTATTGATTCATCAATAACCACAGAATGCTTGTTTTATCAAATATTTTGACAAATTTGAACTTTTATCAGCTTGCAGTCACATCCCACTTGCCTTTTAAAAATTACACGTACCAATAATCATCTCGTTTTTTTACATTTTAAGCCTTTCACCCCTACATAACTTTAGTAGACTCTACCATGCATTGATATGGATAAGTCCATTATGGTCTACAGTGGTGAAAGGGTTAATCTCCAAATATTTACAAAAAATTGTTCGAGAATCATGGAGACTAAAACATATATGTCATGATTATGTAAATTAATTTTATAATCTGAATGCTTGCACATGTCATGTATTGTATAGTACTTAACTTTATTAAAAATAAAACTGCTAAAAATGAAAAAAAAATAGAGAGAGAAAATTGAGGTGTAATATGAAACAGAAAAAACAATTTCTGGGAGTTTAATACCGGTAGCTTAATTTGCCTTAAAACATTATGGTATTGATCTGATCCATGTCTGTAAATAAGGCCACCCCACATATATTGCACTTTGACAGAAATGTCAACAAATGCCATTGCATCGCCCTGTATTGAGCCCAACCATTTACATTACATTCATGTGTATGTGTATTTAGGCTTATTACAGGACAAATACGTAGCACAATGGCTGAATGCACATATAAAAAGCTTCATTTATTAAACAAAATATTCGTTTTTCATGATATTACTTAGTTAAAAACAAAATAATAAAATAATTTTAAAACTTCTGTTTTGTGTAAACCATGTCTATTTTGTCTCATGTAACAAGTTGTTTTGATGTGAATGTTTGGATATATTTATATTTCTTGACAAAATATAAATAAAACCTCTTCAAAATTCAAAGATGAAATAATTGTATTTGATACCAATAAGAAACAATATATATTATCTGGTATGAGGTTATCAATAATTTCTTTTTCTTTTTCAGCAACGAGCAGAAGACTGCTTTGCTTGGTAAGTAAAACTCATGACAGACAAAGATGATGGAATTTTTTAAAATATTTGATTTTAATTAGTTTGATTTTAATTAATGGAGGAAAAAATCCTGAATAGAATCAGATTTCAATCAAATTTTACTGTATGTATGTTCTTAAAATTCTTTAATGAAATATAAACAGATACAGGACTTTAAGGATATTTTCCCGTTTTTGTGCAATAATCATATTTATTTTGTTTATTATGAATTCTTACAGAAACCAAAACTGAGGAGAGATTTGAAGAGGTATGTACATTTATCTGATATAATGTTTTTAAAAATAAAGGGATAATGAAAAAAATTAGGGCAAACACATTTAGATATATTTTCAATTCTATTTCAAAAATTGTATTAATGAGACAATATTTACTGTACAAATAAGCTAATTGATAAAGACACCAACTGAGCCTAATCCAATCAAAAGTAATCGTAAAGTTTTCATAAACAATATTGAGCATGATATCCAACAAATATCATGACCTTGGGTCACTTGGTTATTTAGAAGAAGATTTTTGAAGTTGTTACCCTAAAATAGCACATATGAATATGACCGTGTATTTATTAGCTCACCTGTAACGAACTGCCAAGTAAGCTTATGCCGTGGCGCGGTGTCCGTCGTCCGTTCGTCCGTCCGTCCGGCGTCAATATTTTACTTTATACGACTTCTTCTTAATCTAAAATAAATGACCTTCACTTCACCTATTTTCAAGATCACAGGGGTCAAATATGTTAAAAACTTTAAACATTTTCTTCTCAATAACCAAACTACCCAGGGAGATAATATGTGGCCAGTAGCATGTTTGGGTGAAGGGCTACCAAGTTTTTTCAAATGAATGACCTTCAATTATATTCAAGGTCACAGGGGTCAATTGTCTTAAAAAACCTTTAAACAACTTCTTCTTAATCTAAAATAAATGACCTTCACTTCACCTATTTTCAAGATCACAGGGGTCAAATATGTTAAAAACTTTAAACAACTTCTGAATAACCAAAATGCCCAGGGTGATGATATTTAGTCAGTAGCATATGCTGGGATCAAGGACTACTATGTTTGTGAAAGTGAATGACTTTGACTTATATTCAAGGTCACAGGGGTCAAATTTGTTAAAAATCTTTAAACAACCTCTTATAAACATCCTGGGACCCATGGTTATTCATACTTTGCAAGTTGCATCCTGAGATGAAAGGCTATACAATGTGTTCAACATAATGACTTTGGTCGACTTTCAATCACAGAGGTGAAATGTTTTAAAAATAATTAACAGGCTCTTTTGAATGAATTTTAATCATAAATACTGATATTTTGCCTGTAGCTTTATTTAAGATCACTTTTAAGGATACAAGTGTGAGTTTTATACCAGGTGAGCAATGCAGGCCCATTGGGCCTCTTGTTAATAAATTGCCATGGTAACCATGATGAAGATTGTGTGTCAAGGGAGATAATTCTTTTTTTTTCTAGCATCCGCCTCACAACATGTATGACAATTTTGCTTATCAACCGGAACCTGTTGCCTATGCCAAGGTCATGAAGAAACCTTATGAACCTGAACGACCAAAATACCCTGAACCCGAGTTGGAGTTCGAACCAGAATATATACCAGAACCAGAACCTGAACCAATCATTGTGGATGAGGTTATCACTGCCGAGTTTGAGCCTGAAGATCCGTCTCCTCGATCGTCTATTCCGTATGAAACAAGAATCGAGACCACAATTGTTGATGAGACTGACGGAGCGGAAATGTTTCCTCCGGAACCATCTGATGAATACCGAATAGAAACGTCCTATTAGTTTTTTTTCCAAAAACAATTGAGAAAATAATGATCTCCAATCTTTCCTGATTTTCTAATAAAATTTCGAAATTTAAAAAAAAAAAACGACAGGAAAATGGTTAGTGCTATTAGAATTTAACCATGAATTTTGTTAAATCTAAAATGATTAAACCTCATTGAAGGCATATTTTCATGTAAGTTAAGTTGTGATGTTTAATGTAAAATTTTCGGAATATCATTGCCAATTTACAAAGCTACCTTCCTCAGAATAGGGTGAAAAGAACAATTTTTCCATGCAGGAATAATCTCATTGCATAAAAAATTCAACCAATGTAGTTTGTGATATTAAATAATTTTGTTTCATATTATACCAACCCATATTGGTAAACATTATAAATTTTTGTTCCCAGCATTCTTGCAAAATTTTGCAAAAAATGTACATGTCAATATATGGGTTCTATGTGCTCAAATGTGTTTGCTTACACTTTTTTTTGGGGGGGAGGGGATTCTTTGTTTCTATATCACAATTGTTTGAGAGCTTCGAATATGTATTCATATGTACCTATATCTGTATACTGTGAAAACAGGTATTTTTGAGGGGCCTAAATTTCATGGTTTTCCAAGAAGAAGAAAAAACACCATTTTGTAGGTACATGAATTTGTTGGTTACTAGAACCCGCTGAAGCTGGTAGTTTACTACTTGGGGTATACTCGTATGGAAAATACCTTCATGGGCAAATCTGTAATTATTCATGGAAAAGGAATTCAAGGATGACCCACGGAATAAACCAAAATAATAACCCCACAAAAATGTGTGATTTCACACTAATGATATACCTAGTTACATTTAGTGTTATAATCTTGCCGAGGATTTGTGTATCATTATACATAGACTTCTGGGGCCCGTCAAACTTACATTGCTTTCTGTGTTTTGTATGATAGCTACTTCTACTATGGAGTAATAGCGTGCGTGTGTGTATAAATATGTTGGTGGGGAGGGGGATAAGACTCGGGTTGTGAGAAAGAGGGGTTTCTGGTTGGGGAAGATGATCAGACAATAGGGGTGGGGGTCCCTGTTCACTATAAAGGTACTTATTTAACTCACTCACCCCTACATATTTAAACTGGACTTGCCCAGTCTTTGATTTGGTAAGGTTCAAATGTGACTTTAGGGTTGAATGGATTAAGCGCACACAGATTTTTTGCATATTATCAAATTTTAACAGATCAGCGCTTTGATGAATTAGCAAGCTAAGATATATTGTGTAGAAAAAACATTATACAAACCAAATTAGCCCAATAATAAATAAGCACAATGTCTAAAGCGCAAAAATGCTACAATTAGAACACCGCTAAAATTTGTCGGCTTACAATATTCTTGGGAAACTTAGAGCTATTGGTTAGCACTGATTTCTTTCATGAGGGGGATTGGGGAAATGGAGCTTTGAATCCATCACCATCCCTGATTTTCAGTTTGGGTCATTTTGATCAACATTTGAAAAGTCGCTAATCAGGGATTTCCTATGCTAAATGCATGTTACAGGAAACTTGATGTGGAAATTAGTTCATCTGATGTGTGCTACAAAATAAGCAAAAATGTGATTATTTGTATTTTTATTGTTTTGAAAATCCATGTCTTCGGGTGAAAGTAATGATTTTAGATAATATTTTTATGTATTTTTTGTATGTTTAAAAAACAAAAATGTACAGAGAAAAAAACATTACCCAATGCAATCACACATTGGAAGTGCAAATCAAGATTTTTAAAGTTGGATTCAATATATTTATTAATTACTTTCTAGAACTAAGTTTTGGTTATATTCATTGGTATGAAAACGATTGCAAGTGTAGTAAAACAATTAACCCTTTCAACCCTATGTAACTTTAGTAGACTCTACCATGTATTGATCTGGATGAGTCCATTATGGTCTACAGTGGTAAAAGGGTTAATGCATCTAAAAAAAAAAAAAAAAAAAAAAAAAATGCTAAATTCAGATTTGGTGAAATTCTGTTTAGGAATGGGATTCGAGGACTGAAATATGTATTTAATATTCCATAAAATATTTAGCTGTAAAAGTTGTGGCTGAGAATGTTAGATTAAATATATATTTTCCATTCCGCACGTAGCATGTCTCAGAGTAAACCCGATCATAGTGTATGTGGCATTCTTAACAAACATTATACATTTTGATACCTTTGTTTATGGAAATTATACACGCCTTCATTATTTTGTATGTACAGCGTACATAGAATATTTATATATATGTAAAAAAAAACACCATAATTTTTATACGAAATAAAATAAATAGAATCAGATATTTTTCTTTTAGTTGTTCATCAGATTCAAAGTTTACCTGAATTTGTTTTGATTTCATCTTTGAAATCCAAGGGTTTCTATTATCGGTCCAGATTTCTTTGTTATACTGTATGTAGAGAAAATTTGGGTACAGAGAGTGATGCTCTTGCATTTTGAAGACGTTATGACTTTGGCTTTCTTGAATTTCTGGTCTATCATGGAAGATATTTCATCTCGCCAACATTAGCTGGTCATTTAGCGCTCCAGCCTCATTCATTCTGTCAGTCATTTTGATTGTAAACAATTTGTACTACCCATACTGTTCTCGGTAACTATGTCTAATTAGGGCTGTGATGACCAAGTGGTTAGGGTGTCTGACCGTTTATGATCACTAGGTTGTGGGTTCAATGTGGGAAAGCTACCTGGTGCTGGCTGCAGGTCGGTGGTTTTTCTCCAGGCACTCCTGTGTCCCTCCACCACAAAAACCTGGATTGTCCTTATAAATAACCCTAGCTGGTACCGAAGGGATCATTACGGAAAACGGTATGTGTTGGTCCCCTGGACAATAGTTATGTATTCTCCGACTTGAGATGGATGGGAAACATTGAAATGGATTTTAAGGCACCTCTCATATCTGTTTTACTTTCGGTTCATGTCAAATTCATTAAAACTGATAAAACTAACTTTTTCATATCCTTATACGTATTGACCCACGGTCAATATCAGCTCTCGCGCCGATGTGGAGGTCTCCGGTTGATACCTGGGTAGGATATGGAAATCATCCGAACGTAGAAAGCAAAAATTTATCGGACAATATTATCATTGACGAACAGATAGATTTTCTATATGTTATGATGGCCGAGCTGAATTTGTTAACACTCACTTGGTAAAAATGTAGATGTCTGTGTCAGGCNGCGGGGCGGGAGGGACCTTTCTGTAGTTCCGAACATGTACATGTAATTTAGGCGATCATGTTCGCAATTTAATATTAATTTATGAATGATGATTTAACTGTTTGTCTTTTGTTGTGAATTTAATAGTATATGCATACATATGTACAATGGCAACACCTAATGAAAAGGATGTACACGCCAGGCTTTTATGCTAACATTGGTTATTACATCACCTGATGAAGTGATGCTATAAGGAGCATGCTTCAATTGTCTTTGAAATTTTTGAAACACTTTACCTATATACCTATAATCCCAACAGATGGCATAGTCCTCACCCAACTGACAGGGTGAGCATGAACAATAAGATTAGATAGAGTCAGTCCGGTGAGTCTTGACCACTGACCTGATAGGATGGATGGATGGATGGATGAGGGTTTCGCACCTACATGAATCCGTCCTTACTGGTTTCATCTCACTGACAGAAGTTGACCTGATAGGTGGAGACCCTACTTATATATAGACAATGGAGGATTAATCCCCTATTGTTTAGAGCATAAGTAGTGGACTCCTTATTTGGGCAACACCCTTAGGCATATATAGATATTTAAACTGCTGCTTGCCATAGAAAATCATAGTTCAAGGGATGGTTGATATTAGAAGGAAATCCCATATGAAATAGAGGAAAATCTTCAAAAACCTTGGTCCAGATTATATTTGGACACAGAAAAAAGGGTGTTGCCCAGGCAACTAGGGCAACACCCCTGGGTCCGCCACTGACTTAAAACATGTAAAATTACTCTGAACACCCTAGTTTAGGTCCAAATATAGCTGTAACAAATTATCAGGTCCTGGTGACCTCAATCACACGTTTTTGTAGAATAGGAGGGGGAACTACTGCCCTACTGTCAACTTCGCTGTTCCAGTTGTAAAGTACGTGGTATTAACCCTTGGACGCGGTTCTTAGTCAGTGGCTGGATGGGTGTTGCGCCGTGACCTGGCCATAATGTAATGCCAGTTCCTGCTGGATAGGGAAGGCGCATCGGTACACATAGAGGGCCATGCACGGGACTCCGCAGGCCAAGTCTCGGGACGAGCCGTCGAAGGGGAATAACGAAAAGCCGTAGTTTTTCCAGCAATATGGTATAACCCTAGGTCTAGGACGTGCTTTCTTATCCAGCAACGTCGAGTGTGGTCAATGGCTGGAAAGGTGACCGTCAGCAAGTTATATTTCTATCGCAAGTGACACAATCAAATACTTGTAGATCGATGGGGCAATGAGCATGAGCTACGGTTCTCACGTACGCGTGTCATTTACCAAACATTGGTAGCAATGCATGGATAAATAGCCAGCAAAACAATGGAAGATTATACAGAGAGAAAACAAAATCCAACAAAATATCATTTATTCCGGAAATCAGCGGAAAATAAATAACAATTATTTTTCATTCAATATAACACCATTCCAAAACATTCAAAAAAATACCTGTAATTATTCTTTATATAATAGCATCATAATATACTGAAAAACATGTAAGTTAGTAAATATTTCAAAATTACCACGCATTCCAATAAAAAACAGCGACCATTACTGGCCTTACTGGAATGGGCAATATTCATAAAACAGGGTGCCAACATTCCAAGTGGTCTCCCCATTTCATTCTATATAGCATTTGTTATTTACTTATTTAAAGTTAATTTCCTTTTTTATTCTTTTTTGATGAACTTTGGCACACGTCTAGATATAATTATCGGGATTTGCTAAAAAAAAAAAAAAAAAAGGGGGGGGGGATTAATTCGATCTATCATAAATCATACATGTTTGTAGGATTCCGGATGATTTTCGGTAGTATTACTAAAACGCGCTTCTTATTGTAATGCGTAAAAAATGTATATCTATATATAGCATTATGCGATTATTTTTAATGAAATTTGGTCCAAAACAGTGAGATTTTTTCTCTCAATTCGTGAGAAATTCGTGAGACATTTAAAACATAACTTATATAGCATATATCATAGTATCGAATCATTCGTGCTATTCTGAAGCCTCTAATTACTTTGTTAGAGCCAAAATTGAAGATTTTTTGATATTTTAAAGGATTTTAGGAAGGTTTACACGTGACATACGCATTATGTTGTTTGCTTGCAAAGCTGTGTCATTCAAAAAGATAATAAATTCCATACAAAAGCAGTCCAATTCTTAATTAAATCAATTCATTTCTGAAATTTTATATAAATGAGTACATTACACAAAAACAAAATACACAGATCAGCAAATATTAAATGGAAAGCTTAGATGATGAATGTTTTTGCATACATATACAATTTTCTTACATTGATCAAGGACATCTATAAAGCAATATCTAGGTATCTCCTTTCATGAGAGGCAATCGCAAATTAGTGGGCCTTTGTTGAATAACTCGGATTTTTTGCACTGACCGGATCAGGTTCCCGATTGCAGTGAAATGATGCATTGAAAGCAATCGGGAACCATCGGCACTTTCCGTTTTCGTTAACAGAAAGTGACCAGGGTTCCCGATTGTATTTCACAGTGGCTAACATACCAGCTTCTCAAATAGCAACTTTAGTCTTCTGTAGATACTTCTTCACGCTAAAAGGATTCGTTTTTGAAAATATGTCTCAAATCGCTGTAAATAAGTTATTTTCTTGCGCAAACACAAACAATTACCGAGAGTATATACCGTTATTTTACTGAGCAGTCTATAACGTTACACCAGAGACGTATATAACACATTATATATACGTCTCTGGTTTCACTTACAAATTTATCATTCTTGTTTTGACGTTACGCGCGTGACACCGCTTCAGGGCGCCCGCTAAAAGTAACGCTGTTTTATTCACTTTACAAAAGTTGGTGTCATATTACATATCACAGAAACCGTTAAATTCGCGCTAAAAGTACGGAAGCAGATAAGTTATCTGCATGGAACTAGCTTATATACATGTAAAGCCGTTATAATACACAGATAGCTATATTACAAGTGTTTGTTATTACCCTGTGTATATGGACAACAGACAGTGACGACGATAATCATAGTTGTGGCGGCGACGGCAGCGATGACGCCGACGCGGACGACGATGATGTTGATGACGGTGAAGACGTCGATGACGGTGAAGACGTCGGTGGCTTTGGTGAGGAGGAGGAGGAGGAGGACAATGATGAAGTTTGTGTTGACGGTGACGACGGCGACGACATCACTTATAGAACAGTATAACTCGGATTAGAACTTGGGCCTCCAAACTCTTGACAGACATTCGAACCAATTAAGCTTCCTTGTCAATCCGACAAATCGATGGCGACCCAGTCCAGTTCCACATAATGGAAATGTCCGTTTAAAGTCTCTTTGAGACAAATATAGGTGTATATTGTACATTGTATAACAATATTACAGCAAATTTTAAAATGACTAGAAACACAGTTTACTGTTCTAACATCATAAACAACCATTAAATCAGTACATCAGAAATCTTATTGATTACATGAGACAAAAATACACCAACCCTCAACAAATCCCACACAACATCAAACATCACATAGAAAGCTTCCGTGTTGAATATTTAAGTATTCTAACTTTGATCAGCTACCTTTTTTTGTACAGGTCTCGGTTTTTATTAGTAGTATAATTTTTGAAAGACGTCAAATATTCGCTCCAGTGTATCAAACGGCAAATAGATGGATTTTCTGGCGAAAGACATTCCCATGACACCTATTGTCAAGCCCAGAACGCCAAACCCCCAACACATCCAGAATCCACTTCCGCTTGAACAGGAAGTTATACGGTTGGTAGATAAGTCCACGTTGTCCGGAAGCTCACTCTCCACTAGTTCCGGTCTGAGATGGAACAGCACCTATTTGAAATATATTGAAAATCAACTTTTTATGATGTGTTTAAAAAGTATAAACAACGGAAGTATCCCACTGCCTGTCGTAACAGGTGACTTATGTGACCCCCCCCCTTCCCCCTCCCCCTCTTGCAAAATCAGGAATTGTCTTAGGTGTCTTCTACCTGGAGGATATTAAAGAAACCAAAATTGATCTGATGCCGCCATTGCAACATTGTGACCTGTCTGTACTTTTCTCTCTTTCCTACTCCTCCCTAGGCACCCGTCTTCATATGACTTGTCCTTGGCTGATACGGGACGTTAAACTCCCCATACGCTCCAGTTTTCCTTCTTCAGACTACCTCTATAAAAATGGGCAAGAGGTATCAAACCTGTATTCCGAGCGACTGAAACAGACGACCACAATGGCGCGGAAAACTAGTTCTTTTTCAGTATGATAAAACATGTATTGCCCTTGCGGTACAGTTCTTTGTTTAATCGTGTTTGACGAAGGGAGGGCAATCAAAGCACATTGTATTTTTTTTTATTCGATCGCTTTAAATAAAGTGAATTTTGAATCACCTGGTATTTTGATTATCATGAAGATCAAAAACGTCATAAAAATAATAGAATTAAAACCAACAACAGTGAGACATTTTACAAAACTGACGTAATATGTCACTTAATCCTAATTCAGCTTTAGACACACTTGTCTTTGTCAGATTAATAATGGATATTGCTGCAGTTTTTACCTCCGCGCCGGCTCTCAGCCCAGACTGCACGGCGCCATTCATCAAACCACACCAGACGGTTCCGGTTTCCGTCCCGGCGAAATGAACACTGGCAATAAATTCAATTGTTCATTTCAAACTGATATTGATTTTCTGAATAATTCTGGAATTAAACATACCAGCATACCTGAGATTATTATACAACACATTTGTGGACTGCATTTAACATTATCGACCGCCAACTTTTTAGAGTTTAATTGAAATGGAAGTTGTCTAAAATAATCCGATAATAATGACAAATATAATAATGCTGAAATCTGAATACTGAATAATGATTTCGAAAATCGATCAGATTCGGTACATTGTTTGGGGGGACAAGCACAACACATTTTGAAGACCCTTCAAAGCACAAAATTTTACGACAGTTAGAACTGTTTGTTTTGCAATCGACATGCTTACAGCATCATTGGGAACGCCCTATTTAATTTCATTTAAAAACCGATCAAAATTTGATACAGATGAAACTAAAACAAACACTATGGTGTCTAACACATAACAACAGGAAGCTAGATTAAAATGGCTAATAGTTTGGAAAAGGTGCTTCCATTTAAAATTGTCGGTCATAAAAAATCACCTTTGACAAAACACTTTATTTAGTCTATAAAAACGTTTTAGTGCTTAAGCGATTTCAACGGGGTTTGTTTTCATTGATTCTAAAACGTCATAGAATTAGAATGTCAAAATAAAAATTAGAATAAAACAAAGAAATGAAATTAAGATAAAATAACTAAATCTATTTTTGGTGGTTGTGCTTACTTTAAACATATTTTATTGCCAATTAAATTGAACAAGGGATTGGGCACAATTTATTACAACTTATTACAATGGCTGTGCTCTCTTACGGTTTCTAGAACTGAAGATGTTTATATCAAGAGAGTGTCCTTGGATTTTGATAAGATAAATTTTACTTACTTTTCGAAGGGTTCCCTAAGTGTTTGACACAAATGTCTCGTAGTCCCCGGAACAATGCTTTTCAAAAAACAGCCGCCATTGTACTTTTCCGTGCTCCAGTCTACGAATGCGTAGTCGATGTAATCGTGAACTTCCGGTCCGATGGCGTCTTCAAGAACAGACAATATAGCCTCGTTTTGGCGACGGGACTACAAACAAAATATTTAAAAGTTCTAGCAATTCCTTTAAACCTGTAAGATATACTCGACGTTTTCACTAACATCTTAGCATATTGAAGTCATTAAAATTTGATCAAATATCAAGAACCATCATTTAGTGGGTTATCTTGTTTCTTATATATCCCTGATAATCGTTGGAACTATTCTTCATCTGCCGTAATATATTTTATCAATTTATGGATCTTATCTTTTCGATTATTCTATTTTTTTTGTTTTGTTAATCCACCTTTTTTCTAAATTTTTCAAACTGAAAATAAAAGGGAAAACGAACCTCCTGTTCCGGTGTCGACTGATGAGGGAGTTGGAAGTCTTGTACGTGGAAAGGTCCTTTTGTACTAGACACGAAACCCACAATGGCGGGGTTGTTCCGGGACGAGGTTCCGTCGTAGGCTATACCCACGGGACCGTCCGCGTGATCCTCCAGAACCACCTGTAAACCGTGCCCTTCGGACCCCTCGTTACTCCAGAACCTCTACAAAATATACAAACATTTAAAATACACTAATATAAATGAAATAAGAAAAGTTATGTAAACATTTATTAATACATTCTTTTTTACGGATCGCTATCTTATTAAACAACAACGAAACCTGCTTTATTTGACTACTTTTAGTGATATTAGTAAACTTTTCATCACAATGTCATTACCACGGCAGATTTTCTGAGGTTTGTAATCCCTAACTTTACCTTTATATTCGTATAAAGAGTTAAGGCCAAAAGTATTATATACCATATTAAATTGTTTGTTAAAATCTACCTACCCTATTTTTTTCCAGCATGTTACCGGAAACACAACTACAAATGTAGTTTTTGTCTGGCCTAAATATGGTCACTAGTGGCGACAAAAATCTCTCAATGGGCACTGACAAAAGGATATTTTTTATAAATTCTACAAGACGCTTAACGCCATTTAACACGTGGAAGTGTATTCTCGATATATTATAAAAGCAGAAAAAGTATCCTTACGGACGAAGAAATATTATAAAAAGAAAAATTCTAAACTACGAGTCTTTTGTACTTTCATCTCCAGACTCTTTATTTGAAATATATGTTGTGACGTCATAAACTATAACGTCGCATTAATAGTTCGCTATAGCGACGTCCGCCATATGCGTAGCCGCCATAGCGATATCACAGCAATAGAAATACATTAATTATAGTCTTAAGGCAAAGAGTACTATTTGTTTAGGATTTAGAATTACTAGTAATTCTATTATTTACAAAAAAAGATAATAATAAAAAAATTATAATAAAAATAAAAACTCTTCCTGTTGGGGGCGAACTCGGGACCATTACATTACACTACCGATGTCACTACTTTACAAACATAACTCTTCAGTAGACAAAATAAAAATGCTAGAAACTCGTGTATGCACATCCTTTAAAATACAGAGGTATTCTCTACCTTAAACGTAACATGAAGTTAGAACACTATAAGATATGAGTCAAACAGTACTGTTCAAGCGGGGTCTAAGAAGTCTGATGAATTCAGCTTCCTCAGCCTCACGTGTGATTACGTCTGCGTTGTTCATTTGATAAATAGGAAATATTTTAAATTTGTCATCAGCGCAAGCATGTATGTGTTTACTGACTGGTAAAAATCTTAAGCTGTCTGATCGTATTTGTTGTCTATGTACAGTCATCCTTTTTCGTAGCTCACCGCCCGTTTGACTGATATAAAATTCAGAACAATTGTTACAAATCAATGCGTAAATTTCATTACTAGCCTTACAATTCATATGTTTTTTAACCTTAAAGCTAAAACCCTAAACTGTAGACAAACTTGACGATGTGGGCTAGGGGGGGTGTTCCGGAGGATATCTAGTTTGACTGCATTTATTTAATTAAAGCAACATATGTGCGTGCATTAAGGTGGAATATATAACGAGGTGAGATAATTTTTGGAAAACGATAAACAAATTCCTCTTCGTCCAGAGCTAACTAATTCTTTCAGCATTTATATTTTCCACGATAATTTACAAACATATGTTCATTATATATATTCTACCACGTCGAAAAACTATGGAATGTGCTTTGGTGATGCCTTATTTTCATTCACAAACAAGCCACGCACAGTTGATGTCATATTTTAGAGACGCTACAGCCAATGGTCCTATTCTACCAGTTTAACATGGATGTCTTTTTTAAGAAACAACCTTAAAGAAATCAATGGATATGACTTGATATGGTACATGCACACGTGTGCCCTCAATCGACAAAGTTTCGTCCAAGGGCAGTCACACCTGGCTCACATATATATATATATATCGCAATTCGTCTCTTGGAACGACGTTGCACGTGCATGTTCTATTTGGGCAAATAAGATACACGCATATGTTAATTGACAAAAATACGTGAAAGCTGTCGTTACATCGCCGACAAAATTATCAATGAAATCCCTACCTCTTCGTAACTGTAGACAAACTTGACGATGTGGGCTAGGGGGATGTTCCGGAGGATATCTACTTTGTTGGAGGGTAAATCGGGCGTAAAGTGGATATTCGCTGTAATATAGTAAACAAAAAACGCAATTTACACTTCAATTTTCGCGAAAATAACCCTGAAAACTTTTTCCCTTATCATACCAGTGATTACACTATAGGTCTATGATCAGAGGCTTCCAGCAACTTATTGACGAGAGCAGTGTCCAGATAAATATTTGCGATATATTTTCGTTCACGATCTTCTAATCCCACGAATTTCCCCAAAATTAAGTGTTTCGCGAAATAGAATTGATTTGCAGTATATCACAAAGGCATGGACCCTTAAAGGTTATAACATGTGGATTTGATATGAAACTGTCGTATTCGGGTCAAACAATATTCCGGCCCGCCGTCCGATTATGCAAATTACCCTGAAGTGGGCTTACAGCAATGTGACGGGATTATGTAAACATTGAAGGATATCGAGTACAATGTATTGGAACATACCGAGGAGGTGGGGAGGCACCGCCATGATGATCCTCCTACATTGGTACTCAGTCTTGTCTGTAGTAAGCACGGATACTCTGTCATCTGTCTGTAATTAACAGAGAGCTCAAATTTCAAATGTAAGCATTAGGCCTAGAGCGGTTTTTTTCATTTTTACTGCATACAAGGCCTTAAGGTAGAACGTTTCTTCATTTGTACCGTGTACATGCTTTAAGGCAGAGAGTCCCGTTACGTTTTCTACTGTATACATGCCTTAAGGAAGAGAGTCACGCAAATGTTTTGCTCTATACAGGCCTTATGGTAAAGTCCCGCCAATTTTTTGCTGTATACATGCCTCAAGGTAGAGAGTCCCACCACTTTTCTACTGTATATAGGCATTAAAGTAGAGAGTCCCACCAAATTTCTACTGTATATAGGCATTAAGGTAGAGATTCCCACCAATTTTCTACTGTATATAGGCATTAAGGTAGAGAGTCCCACCAATTTTCTACTGTATATAGGCATTTAGGTAGAGATTCCCACCAATTTTCTACTGTATATAGGCATTAAGGTAGAGATTCCCACCAATTTTCTACCGTATACAGGCATTAAGGTAGAGATTCCCACCAATTTTCTACTGTATATAGGCATTAAGGTAGAGAGTCCCACCAAATTTCTACTGTATACAGGCTTTAAGGTGAAGAGTCCCGTCACTTTTACTGTATAATATACAGGCCTTAAGGCAGAGTGCCCCATTAATTTTTTACTGTATACAGGCCTTAATTAAGGTAGAAAGTCCCACCAATTTTATATTGTATACAGAGTGCCCGATCACTGTTCTACTGTATAATACACAGATCTAATGGTAGAGAGTTACTGTATAGAGGCCTTAAAGTGGAGAGCCCGGTCACTTTTCTAATGTAAATAGGCCATAAGGTAGTTAGTCCGTCACGTATTTAATATGACCAAACATTTAAAAGTCGTTTTTGGACAAGATGGTGCAGCAGTATCAACCAAGAGATGTTTAGGATCTAGTTTGAGTAATGTAACTCCGTGTTATAGTTACCTGGGTGATGTGAGTGACCGGTTGATTCTTCACGATTCCATTCTTTCCCATGACCTGCGCCAGACGATGGCACAACTGTTGTGATCCACCCTGTAATACACAGGTAAAATCGAGTCCAACATATTCCAGAGATAACATTCACACGAATTTTATTTCTGTTCAACATATTCAGTTTGCCAAGTTAGAAGATACAGTTTTACATACTGACACTATTATTTCCTTTATTCCCAGCGAATAGGCACTCCGCGCGGTATTGACCACGGGGAGGTACATGTATATACTTTAGAGTTACAACTACTGTGTGGCAGGCAGTGCAAATTTGGGGGAAATATATATATATATCAACATCGGGAAAAAAGAACAAAAATATAGATGACCTAACAATCAAATGACTAAATATAACAAAATAGAATCCGCCAATTTGCTTCACCTTGATTCTTCGCTCCTGACCAGAACACAGCTCTGGATGCAGAAATGTGTCGAAGCCTCCAGCAGACGACACATTCATCAGGAAGTACAGTAGGGTCATCTCCGTGGGCTTCAGTCCGAACATTGACTTACAAGCCGCCTCCACAGTATGTCGGGCATCTGGGAGGGAAGCAGTAGAAAGGCATCAGATTGTTTCATTTGTATTTTCACATCTACAATGCCACCATGGTAAAAGAGCAAGTTGCATCCATCCGCCACCGTTATGGAAACTCCCTCTTTAGCTCTTTCGGTGGAGCGCAAGACTAGTAAACGAGATGTCCTGGGTTCGACTTCTTACAGAGGCATTGGAAAAAATAATGACCTCTGATAAACTGGTGCCCAAGTAGGGACCATGGAAATATTGAAAACAAACAGACCATCCTCGATACTCCAGGGGTTACGCTCACTTTCGCTCTCTGCACCTCTGGAATATGTCAAAGCAACATCGAAGGCTCAGTGTGCGCCACCTTGTGGATAGGACGACGAGAAGACTAGTTTGATCCTTTGATGTACATGAAAAGAATCGGTAGGTCGCGTAACTGTACAATTTGACTACCTTTGAAGTCGGTTTTCGCGCCTCTAACAGCACAGGTATAAGACAAAGCGATTGGTCAGGTTTTTGTTTACCTGAGACCAATCAAATAGCCAGCCGTGTGCCTTCAAATTTGCTATGACATATTCCAGGGGTGCAGAGAGCGAAAGTGAGCGCAACCCCTGGAGTTTCGAGGAAGGTTAAATACCTGCCATTTTCTATCGACACGGCTAGTGAGATTCCTCATAAAACCATTCGAGAGAGCGTAAGACTAGTAAACCAGAGGTTCCGGGTTCGACCCTTTGCGGAACCATTTAAAAAAAGAAAAAATATCTGTTACGATCGAAGTGCGACCACAGGGACCTGAGGATGTGTTACAACTTTATTTGGACCTAAACTAAGGTGTTCAGAGTAATTTTACATGTTTCAGGAGTTTAGATCAACTTTTGGTAAAAATGACACCCACAATGATGATATTATACGAGTATATAGTATCATTATCGGGGTTGACCGAAAATTAATCTGAACAACCTGGTTTAGGTCAAAATATAGCTGTAACAAATTCTCAAGTCCCTGTCAGTGCGGCCACTCGAGGATCACTTGATAAAATCCCGATCATAGGGGTCTGAAAAAACAATTTAGAGTACGGACTTTTAGAACTTTCCAGATGACGGCTCATGGGGTCCAGTACTAACACTGTACAAATGACCTCGCCTTAAGACCGATTCACAATGTTAATATTATACAATTTAAAAAACAAACAAGACACTGTAACCGAAATCAGCATCCGCAATATGCATTCAGTAGAGCAACCCTAGATTCACAATTGATGCAAGTATAATCAACATAGCACTTGTAGTAGGCAAGATATAATATATGAGAACAATTCTTCTTAACCAGGTGCATGGACGCACGCACGGACGGACCTCATTTCTATATCCCCTGCCAACTCGTTGAGCGGGGGATACTAAGTTTAGCTCACCGCTATTTATTTGACAGAAAAAAAATACGTGAAGTGTCGACGGTTCATGCGTAACTACCCAGACACAGGGACCAGACACAGACAAGTAGCAATACGGATGCGGACCACAGGGATTGGGGAATGTTATAAATATGATAATTATGAATATCGCAGTATAATGAGTACAATATTCACAGGAATCTTTTCCATTTTATTGCTGTTACTAATTGAAATGAACATTCCTTGTTACCGCGGTCACATAACTGGTCCCCGTTGCAAAACAATTGAGGCTTTCAATCACATACCTTCCGTCCAGAGCCGAGCTTTACAATAGTCCTCAAACATAATCCCGTCACATTCCAGAGCCTTTACAGAACTCTTCATTTGGTTAACACCAAATCGGTCAAAAAAATGTTTTCGTCTTCGTAGCTAGAAATCACAAAACAGATTGAAAAGTCTACAGATATTTAAAAAGTGACATGTATAGTTATCACGTACCCCGAAAGAAAGTAGGTAATAATACGTACCATGAGGGGCAGCATAGGTAACAGATAGCTACATGGATCAATCGCAACTTCTCGGCCAATTCCGGCTAGGCGCGGTATCATGATCCCTAACTTGTGGGAAGGACAATGAAAGGAGGATATTATTGACTGTTTAAGTAACCCGAGGCTGCTTCAAGGTAGGGAATGATCCTTTTTCTCCACCATTTCTCTCAACATCTCTTATAATCAGAATAACAAATAATATAAACAACGGCATGCTCTTTTCAAGCTTTAATGTGTAATCTTCCACGATATTCTATCGTTAATGTGACGTCATACAGATGTTATTACTGTGAAATCCTTTCGTCTAAACCCTAAGGTAAAACAGAAAAGACAAAAAATCTTTCCTTGACCGGCAGTATGTGTGTCTCTGTCTAAAATGGAAGCAAAGGGGGAATCGCAAATTCAGAGCCATAAGGTAAATTTCACAGATATGTACCCTGAGGAATAGTAGCCAACAGATACTTACTGTCTCTCAGGGTACATATGTACGTAACAGATACGTACCCTGAGAGACATTAAGTAACAGATGCATTCCCTGAGAGACAGTAGATAACATATACATTCCCCGAGAGACAGTAGGTAACAGATACATTCCCTGAGAGACAGTAGATAACAGATACATTCCCTGAGAGACATTTAGAAACAGATACATTCCCAGAGAGACAGTAGATAACATATACATTCCCCGAGAGCCAGTAGGTAACAGATACATTCCCTGAGACAGAAGGTAACAGATACAGTCCCTGAGAGACAGTAGATAACATATACATTCCCCGAGAGAAAGTAGGTAACAGATACATTCCCTGAGAGACACTTGGTAACAGATACATTCCCTGTGAGACACTAGCTAACAGATACGTGCCCTGAGAGACAGTAAGTAAGAGATGCATTCCCTGAGACAGTAGATAACAGATACAGTCCCTGAGAGACAGTAGATAACATATACATTCCCCGAGAGACAGCAGGTAACAGATACATTCCCTGAGAGACACTTGGTAACAGATACATTCCCTGTGAGACACTAGCTAACAGATACGTGCCCTGAGAGACAGTAAGTAAGAGATGCATTCCCTGAGACAGTAGGTAACAGATACAGTCCCTGAGAGACAGTAGATAACATATACATTCCCCGAGAGACAGCAGGTAACAGATACATTCCCTGAGACAGTAGGTAACAGATACAGTCCCTGAGAAACAGTAAGTAACAAATACATTCCCCGAGAGACAGTTGGTAACAGATACAGCCCCTGAGAGACAGTAGATAACAGATACTAGGTAACAGATACATTCCCCGGGAGACAGTGGATAACAGATACATTCCCTGTGAGACACAAGCTAACAGATACGTGCACTGAGAGACAGTAAGTAACAGATGCATACCCTGTGAGACACTAGGTAACAGATATATTCCCCGAGAGACAGTTGGTATCAGATACAGCCCCTGAGAGACACTTGGTAACAGATACATTCCCTGTGAGACACTAGCTAACAGATACGTGCCCTGAGAGACAGTAAGTAACAGATGCATTCCCTGAGACAGTAGGTAACAGATACAGTCCCTGAGAGACACTTGGTAACAGATACATTCCCTGTGAGACACTAGTTAACAGATACGTACCCCGAGAGACAGTAGATAACAGATAAGTACCCTGCGAGAAAGTAGGTAACAGATACATACACCGAGAGACAGTAGATAACAGATACAGTCCCTGAGAGACAGTAAGTAACAGATGCATTCCCTGAGACAGTAGGTAACAGATACAGTCCCTGAGAGACAGTAGATAACAGATACATTCCCTGAGAGACACTTGGTAACAGATACAGCCCCTGAGAGACAGTAGATAACAGATAAGTACCCTGCGAGACAGTAAGTAACAGATGCATTCCCTGAGACAGTAGGTAACAGATAAATTCCCTGAGAGACAGTAGATAACAGATACATTTCCTGAGACAGTAGGTAACAGATACATTCCCCGAGAGACAGTAGGTAACAGATACATTCCCTGAGAGACAGTAAGTAACAGATGCATTCCCTGAGACAGTAGATAACAGATACAGTCGCTGAGAGACAGTAGGAAACAGATACATTCCCTGAGAGACAGTAGGTGACAGATACATTCCCTGAGAAACAGTAAGTAACAGATGCATTCCCTGAGACAGTAGGTAACAGATACAGTCCCTGAGAGACAGTAAGTAACAGATGCATTCCCTGAGACCAGTAGGTGACAGATACATTCCCTGAGAGACAGTAAGTAACAGATGCATTCCCTGAGAGACAGTCGGTAACAGATACGTTCCCTGAGAGACAGTAAATAACAGATACATTCCCTGAGAGACAGTAGGTAACAGATACAGCCCCTGAGAGACAGTAAGTAACAGATACATTCCCCGAGAGACACTTGGTAACAGATACAGTCCCCGAGAGACACTTGTTAACAGATACAGTCCCTGCGAGACAGTAGATAACAGATACATTCCCCGAGAGACAGTAGGTAACAGATACATTCCCCGAGAGACGGTAGATAACAGATACATTCCCCGAGAGACAGTAGATAACAGATACATTCCCTGAGAGACAGTAGGTAACAGATACAGCCCCTGAGAGACAGTAAGTAACAGATACATTCCCCGAGAGACAGTAATTAACAGATAAGTACCCTGAGAGACAGTAGGTAACAGATACATACACCGAGAGACAGTAGGTAACAGATACAGTCCCTGAGAGACAGTAAGTAACAGATACATTCCCCGAGAGACAGTAATTAACAGATAAGTACCCTGCGAGACAGTAGGTAACAGATACATTCCCTGAGACAGTAGGTAACAGATAAATTACCTGAGAGACAGTAGGTAACATATACATTCCCTGAGACAGTAGGTAACAGATAAATTCCCTGAGAGACAGTAGTAGGTAACAGATACAGTCCCTGAGAGAGGGTAAGTAACAGATACATTCCCCGAGAGACAGTAGGAAACAGATACATTCCCCGAGAGACAGTAGGAAACAGATACATTCCCTGAGACAGTAGGTAACAGATACAGTCCCTGAGAGAGAGTAAGTAACAGATACATTCCCCGAGAGACAGTAGATAACAGATAAGTACCCTGCGAGACAGTAGATAACAGATACATTTCCTGAGAGACATTAGGTAACAGATACAATACATTCCCTGAGACAGTGGTAACAGATAAATTCCCTGAGTGACAGTAGGTAACATATGCAGTCCCTGAGAGACAGTGGGTAACATATACATACCCCGGGAGACAATAGGTAACATATACATACCCCGGTAGACAGTAGGTAACATATACATACCCCGGGAGACAGTAGGTAACATATACAGTCCCTGAGAGACAGTAAGTAACAGATGCATTCCCTGAGAGACAGTCGGTAACAGATACATTCCCTGAGAGACAGTTGGTAACAGATACAGCCCCTGAGAGACAGTAGATAACAGATAAGTACCCTGCGAGACAGTAGGTAACAGATACATACACCGAGAGACATTAGATAACAGATACAGTCCCTGAGAGACAGTAAGTAACAGATAAGTACCCTGCGAGACAGTCGGTAACAGATAAGTACCCTGCGAGACAGTAGGTAACAGATACATTCCTCGGGAGACAGTAGATAACAGATACATTCCCTGAGAGACAGTAGGTTACAGATACATACACCGAGAGACAGTCGGTAACAGATAAGTACCCTGCGAGACAGTAGGTAACAGATACATTCCCCGGGAGACAGTAGATAACAGATACATTCCCTGAGACAGTAGGTAACAGATACAGTCCCTGAGAGACAGTAAGTAACAGATGCATTCCCTGAGAGACAGTAGGTAACAGATTCATTCCCTGAGAGACAGTAGGTTACAGATACATACCCCGAGAGACAGTCGGTAACAGATAAGTTCCCTGCGAGACAGTAGGTAACAGATACTTTCCCTGAGAGACAGTAGATACCAGATACATTCCCTGAGAGACAGTAGATTACAGATACATTCCCTGAGAGACAGTAGGAAACAGATACATTCCCTGAGAGACAGTAGGAAACAGATACATTCCCTGAGAGACAGTAGGGAACAGATACATTCCCTGAGAGACAGTAGATAACAGATACATTCCCCGATAGACAGTAGATAACAGATACTTTCCCTGAGAGACAGTAGATAACAGATACATTCCCTGAGAGACAGAAGATAACAGATATTTTCCCTGAGAGACAGTGGATAACAGATACATTCCCAGTAAGTAACAGATACATTCCCTGGGAGACAGTAGGTAACAGATACAGTCCCTGAGAGACAGTAAGTAACAGATACTTTCCCTGAGAGACAGTAGATAACAGATACTTTCCCTGAGAGACAGAAGATAACAGATACTTTCCCTGAGAGACAGTAGATAACAGATACATTCCCTGAGAGACAGTAGGTAACAGATACATTCCCTGAGAGACAGTAAGTAACAGATACATTCCCTGAGAGACAGTAGGAAACAGATACATTCCCTGAGAGACAGTACGTAACAGATACATTCCCCGATAGATAGTAGATAACAGATACATTCCCTGAGACAGTAGGTAACAGATACATTCCCTGAGAGGCAGTAGGTAACAGATACATACACCGAGAGACAGTAGGGAACAGATACAGTCCCTGAGAGACAGTAAGTAACAGATGCATTCCCTGAGACAGTAGGTACCAGATACATTCCCTGAGAGACAGTAGATAACAGATACATTCCCTGAGAGACAGTAGATAACAGATACATTCCCTGAGAGACAGTAGGTAACAGATACATTCCCTGAGAGACAGTAGGTAACAGATACATTCCCTGAGAGACAGTAGGTAACAAATACATTCCCTGAGAGACAGTAGGTAACAGATAAATTCCCTGAGAGACAGTAGGTAACAGATACATTCCCTGAGAGACAGTACGTAACAGATACATTCCCCGATAGATAGTAGATAACAGATACATTCCCTGAGACAGTAGGTAACAGATAAATTCCCTGAGAGACAGTAGATAACAGATACATTCCCCGAGAGACAGTACGTAACAGATACATACCCTGAGAGACAGGAAGTAGATGTCCCAGGAAGGTAGCAGACGCAGTGGGACTGGTTTTACATCTTGCTGACGGAGACTGAACGTGTTTATGTCAAACTTCTGCAGTAAATACTGTAGGTGAGGATAGGGTCTACCAAAGACAAAGTTAACGAATACGGAATGCAGGATTCAGAGGCTGAGTCACAGAAATATCAGACAGTGGACCTGCTATGAATTGATTGTAACAAGAACTGGAAAAATGTGTAAAACTTTTTAAAAATAAAGAGGCAATATTATCGTTGAAATATTTCATTACTTTACAAAAGCATCGGTATGGGGAGTTTTTGACGATTAAACTCTTTATATGTAAATGCTATAGTCATCCAGTGATCATTTGGCCACAGATCTAGACACGTCGTTTATATGATATCAAAGGAAGACGGACCTGGTGTGTTTAATGCTCTTGAATACAGACAGGTCAGGTTTTGCACCGGTTCTTCTTATATTTTTTTCATTTTTTTTTTCTTTCTATTGTCTAGGATGAAATGGTTGTAGATTTGACATTCAGACGACAGTCTCGATAAATAAAATAAAAATACCTTCCAACCCATTCACCGCCGACATCCCAAAAGTCAAAATTCCCGTCAGACCCCTGTAACTGTTTCGTCAGTGTCCGTCCGCCAATACGACCTAAGAAGAAAGTAAACCGCAAATCGTTTGTAACATTTTCATTGAATAATGTGTACACACAAGGACAGTAAATATTTTACCATACATACCGAGATAAAACAATAAAACAATTTAGTAAAGATGACCATGTTGACGCGCCCATTGTTGTCGTCTGCTTCGGGGAAATAAGACCGGAAAACTCGAGCGCGTGAAGCCGACACGATGTACTACTATCGGCATATCGATAAAGCCTGGATATAAGCTGAAAATGTAGAAACAAAATGGACGCCAGTTTTATCCGGATACTCCCTTTTCCCTCTACACCAAGACCACTCCCTTTTCCCTCTACACTAAGACCCATACCAACATATTTCAAAATAAATTAAGGTTATATACAGTAGGGAAAACATGAAGGAAATTGGTCGAATCAACATGATTTTTAAAAGAGGTAAGAAAACAACGGTCAACAGAATAAATATGAATAAAAAGAATCAATGAATTAATGATAAGAACTTATTGTAACTTTAAAGGATAAGTTAAAACGTCAAAGATGAGAATCCCTTGCCTCTCTTTACGGATCGAGGCTTGGGGTCTAGACTATCTGTTCTGACTGAACTCTTTGGAAAATTAATAGTTTCATTTTGACTCCACTATCATGACGTCATGCGTGACCTATTTATAGGGCGTTAATGCATAATCATAATGTTAATTGTCTTGATCATTTGACATTTTTACTTGATGACACACTTACTATATTAATTTCAAAACGTTGGAATGAATAAACATAGGCACTTGGGTTAAAACAAATTCTAAAAAGTCATTTATCATTGAAAATTAATATGCAAACGGCACCACAGTGTTTGTGAACACTTCGCGTATAGGCCCCTGCAGGTAGAGCGTAAGAAATGTACCTGCTGCCCCCATTGCATGATCGTAAGAGGCGACTAAATTTGGGATCCTTTCTTTTCTATTTTTTTTCTAAACAACTTTCTTCTTACTAATGTCACCTTTGACAATGCCTCACTTTTGGCCTTGAGTTGAGCGTTCGCCCCTGTGGGGAAGACTTTGCGTTCTGTCCCCTGGCCGAGAGATACCAGAGTCTGTACAAAGGTATACGTAGTTTCTACTCCTGCTTAACGCTCAGGAATTTCGGAGAGGGATGACTGGTTCGCCCGTTGTCAGTATAATGTGACCGGAGGGGGTTGTCCTGCTGGGGCTCTTCGGCAGTATGTTTCAGTGAGGTAGCACTATAAAGTCGGCATCAGTTCCGCGCTATCACAAGGAGACAAACACGAACATATTGCAGCTTCCAAAAACACACACGCATACACTATACGCATGCATCTTGCACACAGGGGAGGCCGTCCTTAAATGACCATAGCTGTTGAATACTAAACCAAACCAAAACCTTGCATATATATATATATATATATATTATAAATCAGAAAAATAATCCTTACGGACGAATAAATATTATATAAAGAAAAATTCTTAACAACGAGTCTTGACAAATAATAGATATATATATTATAAAAAGAAAAAATCTTAACAACGAGTCTTTAGTACTTTCATCTATTCTAGGAGATTCTTCAGACATATATATACGTTAAGAGACTGGTCAGGTTCCGGATTTTTTTACCTTTTGAATTTTATTTATTTTTATTGATTATATATATGTATATCAATTGTCTAAACTAAAGTTGACTTCAGACTTCAGAAACTGGGATTTTTTTTTGTCTTTATCGTTTTGCATATGTAATACTGCTAGATGTACATTACGTCATATCACAGACCAACATTCGCCTGGCACGCGCCATATCAGCCCGGCACGCGCTATTTCTGCCCGGCACACGTCAATATCCGTTTAACTTCTGGTCGAACACTTTTCAGAAATAATCACATCTGAGACAAGTTGTGTGCACCCTGTATATCCGTCTGTATTTACTATTCTGTTCATGGTGTTTTATTCACGGCAGAAAGGATTATAGGTACATGTATAAGCTCATGGAATAGATATTTTCTGCATGTTTGATGTGTTATTGCTTGTACTTTTGATGTTATCGAGCAGTTTATGATAAAAAAGCTTACCATATGACCATTTCCATGTTCTACTCCTTGTCAGCCCTCGACCCATATCAGCCCTCGAGCCTCCGGACCCTCGGGCTGATTCGGAATAGAATGTGGAAATGGTCATATGCTATCCTCTATAATTATTTTGTAAATTATCTAAATACTTATATCGTGGAAATTCGGCTAAATTTCAAATTTGAAGGTTTGTATGAATGTAAAAATGAACCTAGATAATCTATATCAGAAATAAACATTTTATCTATGTCTTTGTAACATGTGATATGATGTGTGACACGGTAAAGTAAACTATTGATTGCTACATATATGTATTATCTGCGCGTACGTGACAACTCAAGAAAGCGCAATGGCGGGTTCCACCATCAGAGCAAAGCACAGCCTACCTTTAGCCTCCAAAACGATCACATTTAGAGTGCTGTCCTTCTCCAGGAGGGCGTTGGCGGCTGTCAACCCGGACAGCCCGGCCCCAACCACCACTACGTCACAGTTAACTGACGTCATCCCCTACCCCCGGGCTCCAAATAATGGTGACGATGTACCGTATCTGTTAGCACTGTCGCTGCACACATGGAGGAGTGAGTGAGTGTACGTACGGACTGTCGGTCGATAAAATGTGAAACTGAATCGTACACAATCTGTACGTGACGGCCCTCAGGTAGAAGACCCCCAATAAAATTAATTTAACATTTTTTGACCTCAACGATAAGTTCATAAGTAAATTTCCTTCGTCGTATTTACATATTGATTAACAAGGGGTTAAAAGGGAATCATCTGCTAGTCGCTTTTCACCGCTCCCCGTATTTTTATCTACAGTATATGTTTGGATTGTATAGCTTGACAGCTAACATTTGAATACATAGGTATGTTCCCCTAAATTCATGACTCACAACCGCACCGGGAAAAAAATCCAGTTGTACACGTGTCAGAACAATGCACATGTACATTAATACACGTGGTGTTTACTTTGGGACATTTTGTGACGACATCAAAAGTTTGTCTGCTCCGGCTCACAGAGGCGAATTAAGTGTAGTAAGAGAAAAATATCTATGAGGCATAGAGTGCGATTGTATATCTTACTTACATAATATATATCATAGCTATTACGGATGTTGACTCATATCAATCCTCCGCATTAAAGCCATTTTGGTCTCTGTGTAGTATAACATATAAATAGATAGATAGATAGAACATCTACTAACTACCCGTTGAGTACATAGACTTGCTCAAGTCCGAAATTAGTATCTCCTCAAACAGTGCAGGTAGTATTCCGTCTTTGCGTATTGCAGGATTATCTTCTCTTGGGAACAGGTATTGATTGTTACGTCACTTGTTTGTGAGAGTAACGTCATAAATTTTTGAGAAAACGACGTAATTTTCTCACACAAACCAATAACGTAACAATCAATCCCTGCTCCCAATAGAAGATAACTCTGCAATACGCAAAGACGGAATATAATAGCCTTGCACAAGTTTTGTGATATTTTAGCGGGAAGACGTGAAAATATTTCGGCTGTCAGAAATGAGTCAGTGAAAAATCAAACTAACACTTTAAGTCCCAAGTACTTCACAGCATAGCGCTTATGGTCTTACTAAATAATTACTGGACCGGACTGAGGATTTCTGCCGTAATAAAAACAATGCCACTAAATGTACGTATTTACAGGTAGTAGGCTCCCTTTATTTTTCTATTTTGCGTCCAGTATTTAAAGCAGGATTTTCCCCCATTTAGTTTCCAATTAATACAATGGTATAATCATACACGTTTGATTGTTCAAGAAAAATATCTTTGAAAAGAAGTACATACATGTAAGTTTTGTAGAGAACCTTGGGTGATTTGCTGGTGGCTTTAATCGATCTGTTGTTACTAGTAAACTCTGTCCTGAAATTCTGTCTCAAAAAGTTGTGAACGAATCGCTTGAAGTGTCAATCTGTGTCACTTTGTTAAAAAGTCTGGTTAGCTTAACACTATCTTTCCGCACAATTTCAGTCTAATAAAAAAATAAATAAATAAATAAATTCAAAGCAAAAGACAGTCTGTGAATTGGAATTTAAAACGATATCATAAAGTCAAGAAGGAACGAAAGTGAAAGAAAACATAAAAAAATTACATTATTTCTTAAAATATTTCGTTTTGAAACTTTACATTATCGACACGTGAAGCTAAGCAGTCTTTGAACTACTGGACTCATGCATTTTATGAAAGAAGCCCCTGGGGACGATGGAAATAATAGTTTTGAAAATCCGTAAAAAGATAAATGTCTTCATGTTTTCATAGGAATGGCTACGGAATATGATATTTCTTTTCGTTTCCGTTTGATAATTTTATATAACTGTAGTACGCGTTGACTGAAATGGAAGAGTAATTAGCTTAGTTGATTGTGAAATCCAGTGATGACTCACCCGGGCCATATAAGTACAAGTACATATTGATACACACCTACGTATTAAGTTAGAATACATTTGACTGTAAATTAACTGATACTACATATATCGAGGGCAGTATCGCTTTATGTGTTTTCTGTAAAGAAGAGTTCCAATTTATTCCGACTTTGGGTTACTTGCTAGTTTACTGTAAGAGAGAGCTTTATACATTTGAGAGAGCTCAATTACTGCGCTGCTGGTCGTGATATTTTTTATGTTCACGCTGTTCTGCATGGGGATATAGTATCAAAATATTCAGAAGGTGATGATGGTTGGGGGCATTAGGAGGGATATGCAAATTATGCTATGTAACATTGCTTATGGCATCAAGTTTTTCCAGGAACAAAGTTTACAAAATCTAGATGTTTTCGGTCGTGCACTAGACAGTCTCTGATCTATCGATATTTTACACGCGAATGTGATTACCTGTTTTCAATGCTAACGACTTAACATAATCAATTATATTTTCAGGTAAGTTCTGCAGAGTCTGGAGAACCTTTGATCTTCATATGAAGCAGGGAGATGCATCGTATAGTACTCAACAATGTCAAGTTAAGGGCCATGTTTTGTATTATTACTAGAAACATATAGTCATGGTAGGGGACACATAGGAGTACTGTATCATTGGTGGACATTGCTACACAATTTATCGTGGCAGGGGTTATGTTTTGTATTTTTACTATACAGTTAGTGGTTGTAGGGTACCTGTCTTCCTTAAAAATACGAAAGAAAATGATTCATAGTTGGATACAGAACTCGAAGACAACCATCAGTGGCTTAAAACAACCCTCGCCTGGAAAGTGATCAGACACTGAAATATATGTCTCTGTGTATGCGAATGCACATGAAATCTCAGGTGGAAGACAAAATTAAGATCCTTTCAGCCTACAAAAAAATGATTCAAAAAGGGTAATAATAGAAATACGTCTACATTGAAAAGAAGAATCCAGTTGAAGGACACACAATCACGAGTATCTGCTATTTTACGAACTAAGTAAGTTATAAATAAACCAGGTAAATGATCAAGTAAGTTATAAATAAACTAAATAAACGATCAAGTAAGTTATAAATAAACCAGATAAACGATCAGGTAGGTTATAAATAAGCCAGATAAACGATCAGGTAGGTTATAAATAAGCCAGATAAACGATCAAGTAAGTTATAAATAAACTAAATAAACGATCAAGTAAGCTATAAATAAACCAGATAAACGATCAAGTAAGTTATAAATAAACCAGATAAACGATCAGGTAGGTTATAAATAAACCAGATAAACGATCAAGTAAGTTATAAATAAACCAGATAAACGATCAAGTAAGTTATAAATAAACCAAATGAAAGAGCAAGTAAGTTATAAATAAATCAAGTAAGTTATAAATAAACCAGATAAACGATCAAGTAAGGTATAAATATACCATATAACAATCAAGTAGGTTATAGATAAACCAGATAAACGATCAACAAAACCACAATTTGAACTCAAATTCGATAAAACTAGTGCAAAACATGGACAAAGGAAATATTTACAGAAATACCATTGAAATTGAAACAGTACAAGGAAACTAAGACCAGGAGTTTCGGTAGGATAAGCGTCCTCTACTCACGCCCTCAAAGTGAGAACAGCGATATTGACTACAAAATAAAAATAAACAAGAGGCCCAATGGGCCTGCATCGCTCACCTGGTATTAATCTCACACTTGTAATCTTAAAAGTGGACTAAAATACAGCTACAGGCAGAATATCAGTGCGACCTTGAATGTCAAATAATGACATTAGGTTGAAAGTGGGTCAAGGTCATTCATTTGAACAAATTTGGTAGCCCTGATTGCTACACGCCGAATATCAGTACCCTGGGCCTTTTGGCTATTGCGAAGAAGTTGATTGAAGATTTTAAGACATTCAAACCCTGTGACCTTGAAAGTTGGTCAAGGTCATTCATTTGAACAAACTTGGTAGTCCTTCATCCCAGCATGCTACAGGCCAAATTTCAGTACCCGGGGCCTTTTGGTAATTGAGAAGAAGTCGTTTGAAGATTTAAAGACATTTGACCCCTGTGACCTTGAAAGTGGGTTAAGGTCATTCATTTGAACAAACTTGGTAGCGCTTCATCCCAGCATGCCACTGGCCAAATATCATCATCATAGGCCTTTCGGTTATTGAGGAGAAGGCGTTTAAAGATTTTAAGACATTCAACCCCTCTGACCTTGAAAGTTGGTCATGGTCATTCATTTGAACAAACTTGGTAGTTCTTCATCCCAACATGCTACAGGCCAAATTTCAGTACCCTGGGTCTTTTGGTTATTGAGAAGAAGTTGTTGGAAGTTGTTTAAAGACATTTGACCCCTATGACCTTGACAGTTGGTCAAGGTCATTCATTTGACCAAACTTGGTATCCCTTCATCCCAGCATGCTACAGGCCCAATATCAGTACCCTGGGCCTTTTGGTTATTGAGAAGAAGTTTGTTGAAGATTTTAAAACATTTGACCCCTGTGACCTTGAAAGTGGAACAAGGTCATTCATTTGAACTAACATGGTAGCCCTTCATTCCAGAATGCTACAGGCCCAATATCATCACCCTAGGCCTTTTGGTTATTGAGAAGAAGTTGTTTAAAGTAAAATATATTGACGCCGGACGACGGACGGACGGACGACGGACATCGCACCACGGCATAAGCTCACTTGGCCCTTTGGGCCAGGTGAGCTAAAAACTAATAAGCACCATAAAAAACATTGACCTTCATATCACACAAAGACATGGAATATTTCCCAATAAGATGCTGATGCCGACCATTAAAAATTCCCGTATTCTTCATCAACCTGCATACCTGAAAACCCCGTCAATGATTTGGAAAACTTTTGAAGAGACTTAAAGCTGGATACTGATTTCAGCGTTTAAACTTTTGATTGTTTTTAAAATGATTTAAGCAAGCTACAAGAAAGTTGGTTTGGGCACAGAATCCATGCTTGAGCATGACAATGGTTTCACGAATACGGTCCCATGCAATAAACTTACAATAAACCAAAGCCTTCAAAGAGCCCACACTGGGAATTCTGGCGTTAGCCAAAATGAAAACTGAGCCACGTTACCTTCAAATACTCCCCAAAATAACGATCAATTTAGTGCAGTAAAACTGATAAATTTGTTTGCGTATCTGCATCCAATTACTATTAATGATATGTTTCCTTACTTCGTATTCCGTCTTTGCGTATTGCAGAGTTATCTTCTCTTGTGAGCAGGTATTGATTGTTACGTCATTGGTTTGTGTGAGAAAATTACGTCGTTTTCTCAAAAAACCGATGACGTTACTTTCACAAACAAATGACGTAACAATCAGTACCTGCTCACAAGAGAAGATAACTCTGCAATACGAAAAGAC